AGTGTGTGACCTACATACATATATACAAGAATTTATTATCTGAGCACCGCCGCCGTTAGTTGGCGCCAAAACTCGGAATCTGCTAATTGCCTGTTTTGTATAATTAAAGCACTAATTGCTACTTTCACCGTATTGTTTGAACTGTGAAAGTTTGTGGCGGATTCGAATGATGACAAAGTGTTTGGTTTTGGAGAGTGTCCTCAAAATTGTGTGGCAGGCAAGGTATACATCAGCATTTTTATATTAATTTTGGGAATACACAGTAATTTGTCATCCGAATATCTTCTTAATTATTTGATACTTACTTCTTAAATGCCCGATACTCGTGTTTCAGGGTATATTCCGTAATATATACCAGTATTCTGGGGGCCAATCGCCTAACGGAAATGCTTTGGAAAACGCTAACGCTTACGATTTTATTTTGTTATTCCTAGCCGCCTGAGGTATTCAAATGCCTCGCGCTCTTTCTTTTTCTTCTGCATTGGTAATAACAATATTTAAAAAAATGAGCGTGAGTTATTCGAAAACCTCAGGCGGCAAGAAATAACAATATAAAATCCTAAGCGTTAGCGTTTCCCAAAGCATTTCCGTTAGGCGATTGGCCCCCTGGCCAGTGCTAAGGACGTCATGAATCGACGCTATACTGGTGAATTGTTCCGAAATATAATGGCCGGTGCACTGACGTCATAAATCTACGAAATATTAAAAATAGTGCGAATAAAGAAGATTTTTTATTCACCTCATCAATTAAAAGGAATTCTTTTTGTTCGGATGCCATTATTGTTCTTTATATAAAAAAAAAGGAAATTCGAATGCATCTCACGCACGCTCGGTCATACGTCATATTCGTTTTCCCGGTTAAAATATGCTAGCATACCAGTACAATATAGCGTCGGATTCGTGACGTCATTACCACTGGCCAGTATACTGATGTATATTTCGGAATACACCCTCAATGAGGTCTATCGCGTATGAAACCGCCGCTAGAGGCGCTAGTTTAGCGTGAGGTCGCCGAAATGTCAAATGTTATTGCTTGTGGGTTGACTTCGCGGGTTTATTACTAATTAAAATAATGTTGTGAATATTTGGTAATAACTCGGCTTCACTATGGCAAATATGACTTATGTGACAATGAATGTCAGTTATTTAAAAGCGGACGGACCCGTCTTTGCCAGTGGGCACTTTGGGCAAGTGCCCCCAGGGCCCTGTGATCGACAGAAGCCCACCTCAGATCACAAATATAAAGTCCCTAGTTCCTGTCAGATCACCAAACGGGAGTTATAGGGGCCCCATTATCCTAATATGCCCAGGGCCTCCTGGGTCATAGGTCATAGGTCAATAACGGCGCTGAAACCGGAGCTAAGAAAAAATGTTATTTCTTCCTTTTTTTCGAACAAAACGGAACTGCGCATCACTGTGGCATGGCCGATTATGTTTAAGTTACGGTTCTTTTGTATTAAAATATGATTTAAATGTAAACTTTGATTTCACGCACGTATTAAATCAACTTTAAAAGCTTCAGGACCTCAATCAACAGTGGCGCCATCTGGTGAGACCAAAAAAACAGTAGCCCTCATTGGATTGACTTTTTAGGCCTCGGGCGCCACTTAAATGGCATTAATTACAAAGTGAATTGGGGTTCTTTTATATACGAGACGCAACAAATTTCCCTACTCCACTTGATGTTAAGTTAAACTGGAGACCAGTCGCGAAGATGGATGATGACGCAGAAGGTTGCCGCTCCAACTATCCCACCTTACCGCAAGGGCAGATCCAGCTTTGGCTCCAGGGGGGGTCATATAGTCGTGGTCAAGTCACAGTGGGTACAGATTGTGAAGTGGGTACAGATGGACCCAGCCCAGGGGAGGGATCATGACCCCCATGACCCTAATGGGGATTAGGTTCAGGCCGGTAAGGCAAGGGCGGATCCATTTGGGTCCCTTGCCTTACCGGCCTGAACCTAATCCCCTACCCCGAGGTTGTTAAACCACCATTACCTAACAACACTATATATAAATCTAAAGAAAATTTTACTAGAAAAAAATCTGCGCGGAGCAGGCAGCAGACGTGACCGAACCCGCGAAAGACCGCATTAGCATAATGGTCAGTGCATCCGCCCGGATAGCCCCACGACAACGGCTAACTAGAGCCGAGGTCTGAGTCTCAGAGACGCACTTTAGTTGAGCCGACCCCTCAGGTTCGAGTGGTGTAGAGGCTCCAGACGGAGAGGAGACTCCCCCCATGGGGAGATGCCATCCGCCTGGAATACCTCTAGAGGCACTCGCCAATTCTCGGCTTGAGGTCCCAAAACCCGGTGACGCTGTAAAGGTCATCTACGACCAACAGCATATACACTCAAAAAAAAAGCCCGGATAACGGAGGGTGCGGGTTCGAGTCCCGTCTGCTGCCTAGGGGTCTATCGCCTAAAGGGGCGGATATGGCTATTGCTATCGCTTACGATTTATTTATTTTATTTCTAACCACCGAAGGTTTTCAAATGCCTTGCGCTGTTTAATTCTTAACAATATTAAAGAAAATGAGCGTGAGGTATTCGTAAAACTGAAACGGTCAAAAATAACAAAATGTAGTCGTAAGTGATAGCGATAGCCATAGCAACCTCTTTAGGCGATTGGCCCCCTGATCCGCGTGGAATTTTTTCTAGTAAAATTTTCTGTAGATGTTAAGATCTAGAAATTAAATGCTTTAAAAAAATATGAGATATGTTTACTCTTTTGATTGATTGGACCCAAGAATCAAACAAAAACATCTAATGTACCTGTACCGCTTGATCGAAATGTTAATTTCTTTCAAGAGCTTTCTGAGAATTCTATCTCCATTTCTCTAGACTAGATCCAATAACAAAAACGTAATAAATTGTCAGAACTGAATAAATTTGTTACAACATACAAATCTAGCAGTAAAATGCTTAAATCAGTATAATTAACTAAACAATATACAATACACATAAAACTATAAAATATAGTAGCCACCGCATTAACATTACACAGATTATTTAAACACACTCGGCCAGATAAAGTGGATTTGATATCACAAATACATTCTATGTATCAAAAAACGATATCTTTATTGCAATGTAAATAATGTTATATTGGCCTTCACTGTCGGTAAAAAAAGGAGATCATATTTTTACACAATATTTTTGTTGTTACACAAATTTCGTTAATCTAAGAAGTAGTCCCAATATAGTCACCCTAATGCCGCCAGCGCTTACTTATTTTCTGATGGACAAAGTATATATCTATATGTAGCAGTATTAGGCTTGCCAGATGACCGGGATATCCGGGATTGTCCCGGAATTTTTCGTCTTGTCCCGGAATTTTTCGTCTTGTCCCGTGTCCAGTAATTAGACCTAATGAGGTCTAAGTAATTAGACCTAATGAGGTCGGGACAATGGTCCCGGATTCCGATAATGTGCTAGTTTCGTAACAAAATAAAGTTATAACGAACGACACCGCTGGCCTGCTTGATGTTTTAATTCTGGGGGGTGTTGGGGAGTTTGAATACCTCCGTGGCCGAGTGGTTTGTACGCCGGGTTTGATGGTGTCGCCGACTCGAGAGGTCCCGGGTTCGAATCCCGGTGGGGGCAGATGTTTGTGTGATGAATATAAGCATTTGTACTCCAGTCATGGATGTTTAATATGTATATCAATGTAAATATACTTACATATGTACTGTATATGTATTCTATCCGTTACCCTAGTATCCCATAACACAAGCTTTACAGTGCTTACTTTGGGGCTAGGCTAATTGGTGTGAGTGTTTGAAATATTTATTTTATTTATTTGATGCTTTATTCCGAGCGGAGGGGAGCATCTGGCAACCCTAAGTAGTATTAGTGTGTAGAATGAACGTATAGGTAAATGCTCGCTAACTTGTGCTGTGAGTGGGCCAATCTTCAAGTATCAGGTTCACTGGTCCGTAAAAAATTTACTCACTTACGGTCTGAAGACTGATTCTTGCTAATTTTGTAGAGAATATCGTAAACAATGTGAAATAAATACTGCCAGACATATTCTATCGCCAGTATTTATTGACAGACACTTTTTTTTTCTTAATTTAGAGGCTTTCGTTCTACGAATATGCCAACCTCATCGTACCCTAACCAAAACATACACAACTAATTTAATTTAAAACATTGGAGAGGGCGAGCTATTCCTACTAACGAAAACCATATCAAACATCGACTTTGGTGCATCTGAGTTTGGTAGTGCTTATATTTCCACAAACGAACTTGTATTTTCAAAGTTTAGTTGATATTGTTGTATGAATAGCTCTTTCTCTCTTCTGTTCTAAATATCAAAAACAAAAAACAACAATTTTATTTTATCTGGGCGTATATATATTTTTTTATAGTTAAGTCCGACACATGACTCCGCTCTATCTGATGCTAAGTGAAGTCCAGACGTGAAGATAGCTGGTACAGCAGTTCTACCTGCCACACCAGCCATCCTCACCTCGCCGACCTGCAAAGTTGCTTCTTCAAAGCGATATGCATCTCACATGAACATTACATTTGTGAATAAGAAGCCTACATTCACATAAAAGGTGTTTTGGTGTTTCAACATCTTATTTCTACTGACCAGCCTTATATGGATTTTATAAGCGATAGATTTCCCGCCGCTTGAAGAATATTCCAAAGTTGTTATTGAAAAATCGATGAGGAGCTCGATGGCGCAAGTGGTTAGCGCGTTCGGCTGCAATCGTTGAAGTTAAGCAACTTTCGCATTGGTCGGTTATTGGATGGGTGACAAAAAATTTACTATCTCGAGCTCCTCCGTGCTTCGGAAGGCACGTTAAGCCGTTGGTCCCGGTTGCATCTGCAGTCGTTAGCACCCACCAATCCGCACTGGGCCTGCGTGGTGGGTCATGGCCCAATATCCCTATTCCATCCATAGGGAAGGCCTGTGCCCCAGCAGTGGGGACATTAATAGGCTGATGATGTTATTGAAAAATCAAATAATCTTTGTTTTTGTCATCAGGTTGGACGGATACCAGCGGACCATCCGCTGGTGGGCGGCCATAAAGGGCCGGTGCTGGACATCGCGTGGTGCCCGCACAACGACAACGTCATCGCCAGCGGCTCCGAGGACTGCGTCGTCAAGGTAACCTGTATCTATCTACCGATAACTTCAGGTATATTGTCAGAATTTAGAGGTGTTGGTTCCCTGGGAAACGAAAGAGTGGAAGTCCCTAAATCTGGGCCGAAGCCACATACGATTTGGCGCCCTAAGCTCAAGCCTTATTAGTGTAAATCAGGCCCTGTGTATTTGTTTAAAAGTACATTGTGTGTGTGCGCAAAATAAAATATTCATTCATTCATATTTTTCGTCTCGTCTATTTCTCCTAATGCTACGGCCACATTATCACTTGAAAATTCGTATCCCGATAGCGCGATAAAACTAAGACTTCAATCTACAACAACTCGCAGTTAATACAAAACATCGCGATAATTTAAGAGGTGTTTTTTTTATGTAATTTTTTTTGGTTTGGCTCTTAGGGGAATCCACAAAACTGGTTCTTATTCATAATATATTCTATCATTACACCAATCCATTATTTTCTTACAATACGTTACTAAATGCTACATGTAGTCATAATGAAGTCTCGCTTTGATGTACACCAATTTATTGACAGCGACGGGAAGACGTTTTTTGTCGTGATTAACATGCAATAGAACGAATGTCTCGGCCAGACATATCACGACAACGGAAATTTTCGCGCTAGTGTAGCCAGCCCCAGCATAAAGCATAGTTAGGATCCTAAAGAGAAGGCTAATTAGAAGCTTCTGATTACACTTGAATAATTTAGATACTGATTCAGCCAGTCTGACTTTTACGCAATGGCTTCAGTCCTGCCAAAGCAAGAAAAAAAAATGTCTTTTCGTAGGCCTGGCCGTTGGCTCAATAAAAATAAAATTAAGTAAAAAACGAAAAACGTGGGTGAAAGAATATTAATAATGTTATTTTTATCGTTTTTGTTCCAAAGATACGGCATATGTTTATACAATTCGATTATGTTACTCATAACTTCTTTTTCTTTTACGGCCGACATGGCACTCGCGTAATTCGTAATCCTAGACACAACACGGCCTCACGCAGTGACACCTGCGGTGCGACTGAAGCATCTAAACGCTATTACACCTTCCTAAATCACGTTCTAATTAGGATCTAGACACAACACGGGCCTCACGCAGTGACACCTGCGGTGCGACTGAAGCATCTAAACGCTATTACACCTTCCTAAATCACGTTCTAATTAGGATCTAGACACAACACGGCCTCACGCAGTGACACCTGCGGTGCGACTGAAGCATCTAAACGCTATTACACCTTCCTAAATCACGTTCTAATTAGGATCTAGACACAACACGGCCTCACGCAGTGACACCTGCGGTGCGACTGAAGCATCTAAACGCTATTACACCTTCCTAAATCACGTTCTAATTAGGATACTAAATGATTTAGTCAGTCAGAAGCCACACTTCTTCCGATTTAGGATGCTAATTAGGATCCTAACTTCCTAAATGCTATTTTATTTGACTGAATTAGTTGCTGAATGATTTAGAACGTCTGAATTTAGTCAAGTGGAATAAGCGCTTAAGAGTGGAGACGAATGATCTCCATTTGCTACGATCCAGGTACTCCTCTTTAACTTCCTCCAATATTCATCCATCACTGACATTACATAGGGGCCATTCGTTTATTACGTGAGACTATTTTCGCTTGTTTTTCACTCCCTCCCCTCTACGTAAGAAAAAATAAAAATAGTGTAACAGCCACCGTAGTGTTTCATATTTATTACGTAAGAATATTAAAAAATATAATAATAGCTACACATTTGATTTATTCTAATGATTATTTTCAAAGTACCGTGTTTTAGGAATATTTATTTGTACCTATAAAGGGGCTAGTATTTTTTATTATTTTGCTAGTAATAAACTATTATCAAAGTATTATCTTTACTTTGCGCATTTCTGTGATCTTACGGAAGAACTATTAAGACACTCTCCCACTCCTTTGTAAGAAAAAATAAAACTTGGTCAACTCCCCTCTCCCCCTTAATCGCCTTACGTAATAAATGAATAGCCACACACTTCTTGATTTATAGTGCTTATTATTTTATTCAACATCAGCCTATTAATGTCCCTACTGCTGGATAAAATATTAAGAATGAGCTCTGCCGTGACCCACTCTCGTAAGTAGCTTAACTTCCATATGATCGTGAACGTTCAAATCTAACTACCGTGCCATCGAGCTTATTACTTATCTACAGCCGCCATTAGGAGGGGAGGCGCGCTATGTTTTTTCCATACAAACGTTCTCGACAGATTCCTCCTTGAGTTTTATCACCAATCAATTGATTTTCATACATGAAATATAATTTTATTCATTCTATGCTTTTGTGTCTTAATGTCTTTCTTTTTTCAATAACTTGTGTTTCAAAGAAACTAGATGCCCTCGAAGAGGCAAAATAAACAATTTTTTATCACTACTAAAGACATCTAGTGCCTGATTTAATAAGCATTTACAAAAAAAAATAAAACATAGGGTATCTACTTATTATTCTTTATGTAAAATTTCTTTTACATATATCTAATTTTCGAGGAAGAAATCGTCCAGAGCCAAACCTCGACTTTTGCAATCTTATACGCATTTTTCAGGATTAACTACTGTACCCCTAGCACGAACCATTATCGAATTCGAATAGTTTGCAAACCGAAATGTCAATGTCAAATTTTGTATGGAAACTTGAACAGCAGCGGCACAAAGTACGTAACGAGAACTAAAAATCAGTACACATTTGACAACATTTCGGACTCGCAAACGATACGAATTCGATATTGGTTCGTGCTAAGGGTACTGTTTTCCCTATCGCCCGATATTTGCCGATGCGTGAGAGCAATAGTTTTTTCAAATACCTATTTCTCTCAGCTGGCGTCCGCTCTTAAGTTTGAATTACACTATAACGTTTTTTTTTCTATATGGCTTCGCACGGTTTATGCATTTAGCCAATGTCAAGTGTCAAATGTTTACATATTTTATAGCACTCGTGATCAAAATATTAGTCAAGTCAAAGTAAGTGGCGGTCAAGTCAATACCCCTTTCCCTATGTTTCAGTAAATGTGTGGGGATTTACTGGAACCTCCCCGTGGACTTCTTGAGGGAACGTCGAAAGACACTTTCCGCTGTTTTGTTTCACTTGCCTACACTTGTGCATGTGTCCGAACACTTAGTGGTTAATAATCCATCATTATTAGACACTAACATCTACCACAACACAAAAACAAAACTGCTAAAGTGACGCTACCCGATCCCGCCAAAAAGTCCCACTATAACGTTTGTCTCGTGTATCATCAGGTTTGGCAGATCCCCGATGGCGGCCTGTCTCGCACATTAACGGAACCCGTGGTGGACCTGGTGTTCCACCAGCGGCGCGTGGGGCTCGTACTGTGGCACCCCACCGCGCAAAACGTGCTGCTCACCGCCGGCTCCGACAACCAGGTATGTACGCGGCCGTGGAACCGGTGCCGGGTCTGGTATTACATCAGGAAGATTATGCGATCTTTGTGGAATACATAATAATGTTCTACTTTCTGTTATGCATAAATATATAACATATCAAATTGTGTTTAGCACCCTGCAATATAAATAATAACTTGTGATACAGATAGCGATATGGAACGTGGGCACGGGCGAGGTGCTGCTGACACTGGACTGCCATCCCGACCTGATCTACTCCGCGTGCTGGAACTGGACCGGCTCCAAGCTTCTCACCACCTGCCGGGACAAGAAGATCAGGTACATACGGGCTCACTGTGGCCAGACAAACATATGGACTGTACCTCGAGCTGATCTACTCCGCGCGCTGGAACATACGACCACGTAATTACAGTGGGCGGGTACTTGAATAGAATACCGTACAGCAAACATCCACTTTAAGTGCTAGGATTTGAATGTGTATGCTATCTACTATAGTTATCACTGTTGGAGCTTCACTTAGTGACAGCAGCATCTCATGAAAATGAGAAGCGCTGATGCTTTTAATGGCTCCTACACACAGTACCGGTGGCACTGCCGCCGGCCTTACCGCCGGGCATGCCTAGTTGCGCACTGCGGCTTAAAAACCGCCAGTTTTTTTTTATAGATAGGTCCGACAAATGACTCCACCCCATCTGATGTTAAGTGACGGTGAAGTCCAGACGTGAAGATAGCTGGTATAGCATAAAGGAGCTGCCGACGTGACCGTCCGGATACGCGGGCGTGCCGCGCGATTGTTAGGGCATTTCGGTCCCGGCATGAACGAGATAGTGATGCTCATCGACTTTGTGCAAGTTTCTGTGGCAAGTGCCGGCGGCACAGAGGCGCGGCAATAGTCACGTGCCGCTCGGCAATAGGGGTGATGACGGGGTACAGTAAACGAAATTCTATTTAGTCCGTCAGTTAGATGATCAAAAAATAATGGACACGTATTTTTTCTTTGGGCAGTCAACCAAAAAATTACAAAGTTATAGCGCGTCAAAGTTTGGGAGTAGGGGCTCGTGACGTCACTTTCACTTAAGTGTACTCAAACGTGACGTCATGCGACTTTTCAAATCAATATATCACTGCAATGTTTATATTATGTAAGAAAATAAAAAATACGTGTCCAATACTTTTTGATAATCTACCTGATAAACGAAGAAAAAAAAATTAGTCATCATCCCTATTGTCGCGGCATTGTGTGTAGGAGCCATATTAGTTTTATTCTCTATATTTTTATTCGTAAAGTTTGAAATTTCTATAACAAGTGTAACAATATTATAGCAGGTTTTACCTTTATTGCCGATGTGACATAAACTTTTTAAATTCACTTTATTTTTGATATCGAATTAAAAATTGCCTGCAGGCATGCGTCTCTCCATTGGAGACGAGTTTAATGTACCTAAATGCGACTATAAATAAAATGGATGTAATTCGCAGGATCATCGACCCCCGTAAGGGCGAGGTGGAGTCGGAGGCCATAGCGCACGAGGGCAGTAAAGCATCGAGGGCCATATTCCTCAAACATGGTCTAGTTTTCACAACAGGGTGAGTACAATTTATAAACGTATTGACACGTGTAGAGGGTTATATAGGGTTGCTAGATGCTGGCTTATCAATTCCGGGACATTTACACCCCCCCCCCCCCCCCTCCCGTGAAAAATAAAGCATCAAATCAAAGGGGCTAGGCTAATTGGTGTGAGTGTTGGTGATTTTATTTATTAAAAGCGAAAGCCGAAGCGCTATCAAATGACTTCTGTGCAATAATGCGCAAAAAAGTTACTACTCTCATGAGGAGAGGTTGCGACAGCCCACGGAGCACCCCCACTAGAGTCCGCATACAAGGGCAAGCGCTTACGCCAAGCTTAAGTAGTATTTTACCTATGCGTGAGGCACGCCTACAGACGTCGCGATACATCGTTTCATTCGGTAACCGAGCGTTGGTCGAACTGCTTCTCTCGTTTTCGTGTTAAAATGCCGTACTGTGCAATTAAATTGTGTGGAAAGTCGAGTACAAATTCCAGTCTTAAAAAAAATGGTATTACTTTTCACTGGTTAGTTTAAATGCATTACAAAAAGACAAAAATACTGTTATATTAAATTGGTCTTAATTGTATTTATTTTTTGGTGAACGCGTTGATGTCTTTTTACACTATCCCTTTCTCGCATGGGCTACATCATATATGCTATCTCGCTCTCACACCGGCACGTGTATTGCTAGTGACTCAGACGCAGCTCATGTCTCAACGCGTAAGTTTATCGATAAGTTTGTCAGCTATGGAAATTGAAAAAAAAATAAAAACTATTTATTTCATCGTATACAATAATAGATGTCATGAGTATACAACCAACAGTTTTTATTTGACTTCAAACATATCCTAATAAAATTGAAAAAACTCGAAAATTTGTATGCATATTTGTTACTCTTTCACGCTAAAACGGTTAAACGGATTTGTATGAAATTAAGTGCGCATAGTTTATGATCTAGATAAAGACATAGAATTAACGATATTAAATACCCTAGAAACACCACGAGCGCTCAAAATGTATCCCCATCAAGAAGTACTTGAACTCCACTCAATCGCGGACCGTTGAAAAGTCAAGATGCCAAAGAGTTCCGTGAAAAAATACAGAAAAATACTAATAGTACGTAAAGTGTCGTTTTTGGACAGGTAGCTAATTAATGTTTTTTAATTAACGCCTTTAAAGCAAATTTTATTGTTGTAATACTTACTATAAACTGATTTAATATAAAATATTTGTGATATTCAAATGCATGGTCGGTTATACGTCGCCCTTAGCCATCTCTTTTCTTCGCGATCTGTACCTGCTATATTGCTAACAGCGCATTCAGAATTGCGCGCGATAAGTCAAAAAAAATAAGGTCTATATTCTTTCACACATAACAATAAATCGTAAAATTTTACGAACTTGACGCATGCATTTTAATTAAGACCTTATGCCGTATGCATGAAAGGTGACTTTCAATGTTTAAATAAGGCATTATATTGTTTTTGACCACGCGATCATCTTACGGACCTCCGTGAATCGTCCAATGTACCTTTTGGACAGGTTTCGGCCACGATTTTGTTCGTGTTGTTGTATTTAGGGTAGTTAATATCGTTGCATTAATACTTCTTGTCCTGTTTTTTTTTGTGTTGCTTATATATAATTTAGTATGTAGTTACTAGTCGCGTCATGTAATTAGAACGCTGGAAGAAAGTGGAGAGGGTATGATTACGCATTTGCTTACACTCGCGCACCAAAGTACTAGGCCTCTATTCTAAATTGTTTATCGATAGAAAATATCGATATTTTCTAAAATCGATCTTACCCTCATCACTTCGCTGCACTGAGTATATGATCTGACCTTGACGCGTTAAATCACAGCGGGGCTCACCTCCCTGCACCCCACCGACTTTGGCGATTTTGATTCCAAACAAAATTTGTGTGATGCGGACTCAAGTGGGGGTGCTCCATGCGACAGCCACAATAGCATCTTGAAGGTTGTAGGGGGTAGGTCCGACTGTCCCATAGGTAATCACTGGACAACTGTATTTATAGAATTTAATAAAATTAAATAATGTTATAAGTTGTAAATTAATCTTGTAATTTTTTGTTGACATTTGTAATTTTGTATTTATTTTAATCAATTATGTTCCTAGTTTTTATTATTATGTTTTTTTTAATTCGTAAGTTGTAAGCTGCTATTATTATTCTTACGTAATTGATATGGCTAAATTGCTAAAATAAACGAATTTAAATTAACATAGCGAAATGATTTTTTTGGCTAAAGGTTCAGCCGGATGTCCGAGCGTCAATACACTCTTCGTACTCCGGACGCTTTGAACGAACCAATAGTGACCGTCGAGATCGATACCAGCAACGGGGTCATGTTCCCCCTCTACGACCCCGACACCAACCTCGTGTACCTCTGCGGGAAGGGGGACTCGGTCATACGATACTTCGAGGTCAGTGCGTCTGTCTGTCTGTCTAGATTACTAAGCTCCAAGGTTAGGTTAATCGGACCAATAGGGACGGTGGAGATTAACATCTGCAACGGGGTCAGGTTCCCCCTCTACGACCTCGATACCAACCTCGTGTACCTCTGCGGAAAGGGAGACTCGGTCATACGATACTTCGAGGTCAGTGCGTCTGTCTTTTTGTCTAGATTACTAGTCTTAGTAGAACGGCGGGCTGTTTCCGCAATAAGACACCCAGTGCCTTTTTTGCGTGGGGATTGGCATCAATCCTGCCATCCCAGCTACTCCAGAAAGCTCAGCAGTCCCCGAATGTTGCTGCAGGCCTCGACTATTGTCTTTGGGCTTCCCATTAGAGAAGCCCTTTGTCTTGCAACGCCCCTGTCTAGATTACTAAGCTCCAAGGTTAGGTGAATCGGACCAATAGAGACCGCGGAGATTAACATCAGCAACGGGGTCATGTTCCCCCTCTACGACCTCGATACCAACCTCGTGTACCTCTGCGGGAAGGGGGACTCGGTCATACGATACTTCGAGGTCAGTGCGTCTGTCTGTCTGTCTAGATTACTAAGCTCCAAGGTTAGGTGAATCGGACCAATAAGGACAGTGGAGATTAAGATCAGCAATGGGTTATGTTCCCCATCTACGACCCCAACACCAACCTCGTGTCATCCGCTACTTCGAAGTCAGTGCGTCTGTCTGTCTGTCTAGATAACTTAGGTTCAGTAGCACAAATTCCGATGGAAACTTGAACAGCAGCGCCACAATGGACGTAACGAGAAATAAAAATCAGTACACATTTGACAGTGACATTTCGCACTCGAAAACTATTCGAATTTGATATTGGTTCGTGCTAAGCTTAGCACGAATCAGTATCGAATTCGAATAGTTTAATGCGATCTAGTTTTTTGTCAAATATGTACTGATTTTTTGGTTCTCATTACGTCCGTCGTGGCGCTTGTCATTTTTATATGGTTTTCATTGTTAGTTAAATACCGCCGGACAAATGAAATGAAGTTTAAACACCTTTGTAATGGTAGTTCATTGCAAGAATGACCAAAAACATTTTATCTCGAGCTTGTCTGTTCTTCAAACGTTAAGCCGTTGGTCCCATATGCAGTCGTGAGTGCCTACCAATCCGCACTGGACTTGTGTATTGGTGGGTTACGGCCCAATCTCCCTATTCCATCCTTAAGATAAGAAAGGCCTGCACCCCTGTAGTGGTGGCATTAATATACTGATTATGATAATTGCCTGATGGTGTGCGGTAATTATAATTACCGCACACCATCAGACAGGATATTTATACTAGTCTAATTCCCCTTTTTACAAAATAGTTTTATGATGACAGGTGACACCAGAACCACCTTTCGTCCATTACATCAACACCTTCCAGACGCCAGACCCTCAAAGAGGTATGCTTTACATTTAAAAGAAATTCACTTAATATCATTTTTGAATTTTGGTTTTAATCATGATACCGATCGATTTATATAGATCTGACATAGAAAAAAATCCACTCGTTCAAGATGACAGGTGGGATTCGAACCTGCGCCTTCCGCTGTCCGAATGGATGCACTAAACGCTATGCTATGCTACCGAGACATTAATGATCGTCTCGATTTCTTGTAGTATTTATTTATGATATTAGTGCGGTATGTTGGTTATTACAAACGAGTAGAGGAAGTCGAGGGCTTACCATAGTCACGAATTAGTAAATACCAATCCGTACGAATGTCATACAACGTTTTTCAACACAATTTGCGAGAAATCCATATGCATAGTTTAAGTAATGCAGCATACTTTTTCTTATAAGAAAATGGCGCCACCTGCGGCTGGTGAAAATCAGAACTACATCATTCGTCTCTTTTTCTTTTTATTATTAAGGCGAGACAAAGGTAAAGGTTAAAATCAAATCGAAAGAGGTAAAAAATACGCACGGAGCGGTAAAAATTTTACCGCACGTTCCGTTGTATGGCCCGTAATTTTGGACTTTCGAACATTGTATACAACCTTCGCATTATGAAGTTAATTTGAAAATGATTTTGGTTTTTTGAATGAATAACGATGATGATTGTATGTGATACGGTCAGGTATCGGCATGATGCCGAAGCGAGGATGCGACGTGGCGACGTGTGAGATAGCAAAGTTCTACCGCCTCAACAACTCCGGACTCTGCCAGGTTAGAGACGAATTCAAATCTATTGCAGATTATTTAAAACTAGCTGTGCCCCGCGGTGTTACCCGCGATTTATTAGGGATATTTTCCTACAGTAAAACTTATCTTATGTGTTAATCCAAGGTGGCAGCTAACTCAATACCAAATTGGATTAAATCAGCACCAGCTTAGACGTAAAGAAGTAACAAACATACACACTCACAGATTTTCCCTTTATGAATGTCTTAGCAACCACTGTGTATAGTGAATGAGAGATAAGGCGTTTAATATATATCTACAGACAAACACTCTAAATCAATGGTTTTTAATGGTTAGCTGAAATCCCCAGGATTTCAGTGATAGTCTTAAGTGGTGGTCCGTGGTAAGACGAAAATTTTGACAAATTGTTCAAAAAAAGAAAAAAATACTGATTAAAATTTTCGATTCAATAGATACGTACTTGTGTACTGTCTCCATTAGCTAACTTTTAAGGATTTTTTTTTATTTGAACTCTTATCTTCGCACCCAATGATAGGTGGTGTCAATGACCGTTCCCCGTAAATCGGAACTATTCCAAGAGGACTTATACCCGGATACTCTCAGTGACGAGGCGTCGCTCACAGCCGACGAGTGGCTCGCGGGCGAAGACGCCGAGCCCTGCACCATGTCGCTCAAGGTATCACTCACACCACTCACTCACTCATACCACTCACTCACTCACTCACACCACTCACTCTTTAGGATAAGAGTGCGAAGACCCATGGAAACATACCTGGGCGTTTTTCCCCGCCCCCCACGACAACGGCTAACTAGAGCCGAGGTCCGAGTCTCAGAGACGCCCTCTAGTTGAGCCGACCTCCAAAGGTTCTAGTGGTCTGGAGGCTCCAGACGGAGAGGGCTCCCCCTGTGGGGAGTTGCCATCCGCCTGGAATACCTCCAGAGGCACTCGCCAATTCTCGGCTTGAGGTCCCCTTAGGATCTCGCCGTATCCAAACGCCGGTGACGCTGTAAAAGTTATCTACGACCAATAGCATACATACTCAAAAAAAAAAAAAACACACTCACTCACCCACTCTTACCACACGTACTTAAAAAAAACACTCACTCACCCACTCACTTACTCATACCACTCACTCAGTCATACCACTCACTCACTCATACCACTCACTCACTCATACCACTAACTCATTCATAGAACTCACATCACACCTGCCCTATGTTTGCCATCCACGAATCTAGCTTTTTTTTTTGATAGTAAAATGAAATGAACGTAGACCTACACTCATTCCCTCATACCATTAGCTCACATCACACTTAACCCTTCACAAATCTATATACTGCATTATACACAAACTTGCTTTTGATGGTAAAGTGATAAATGGAATGAACTTAGACCTACACACTTTACACAACTTTTGATCTATGACACATAACTGCAGTACAGTGCGACCAAGATATTGCTTTTAGTAGACGAAATCTGAATTAATTAATTCATCATCATCATCATCAGCCTATTTTTCAAATTTGATGAAGTTATAATTTCTATTTTTTAAAGCATGTAACTGCTTGATGTTTAAATCTAAAGAAAATATAACTAGAAAAAAAATCCACGTGAACCAGGCAGCAGACGGAACTGGAACCCGCACACTTCGCAGTCCGGGCGAATGCACTGACCAATTATGCTACCGCAGCCCTCAAGGACCGCGTCGAAATTCCTCCTGCTTTAAAAAATAGGAATTATAACTATAATTGCTATTTTGCTATTTCTTCTTTCAAATGTTTAATACTTGTAAAAGTATTCATTTGACATTGTGGGTTACCTATAATGCGAAGAGATGACGCTGCCTTGCAGCTTAAGAATGGCTGGAGGAATTTCGACGCGGTCCGTGAGGGCTGCGGTAGCATAGTTGGTCAGTGCATTCGCCCGGATTGCGAAGGGTGCGGGTTCGAGTCCCGTCTGCTGCCTGGTCCGCGTGGATTTTTTTTTAATTTGAAGAAAGTTTTATTTATAGAGGAAGGCGAAAAAAAGCAGTTTATATTTCCTTTTACTCTTTCCGGGTTATTATAAATTATAACTTTTCGTTTAGTGAGCAGATTTTAAGTATTAAGTAATCTTCATTTCACCAGTTATTCACCAGCAGCGCCATCCTGTCAATTTCATCTAAGGACTGTAACGCCCGTAGCGTTACGGCCTCCATGTTAGTTTTATACTCTTATGTAATGCCTACGGCTGGCAGTTATATTAAAAAGCAAATGGCATTATTTTAAAGATTCAAATATGAGAACCTTCTGTCTCATATCGAATATTCTGGGAGATAGAATTCAGGCACAGATTCGATCGGTTCGATAGAGAGATTATTGTATTTTCTCTGAGTTCGAATAAACAAAGTAAAGTATCCCAAGTATTATCATTTATAATTATTGCAAGATACGTTCCTAGGAGGAGCTCGACTGCGCAACTGGTTAGCGCGTTCGGCTGCGATCGTTGAAGTTAAGCAACTTTCGCAGTGGTCGATCATTGGATGGGTGACCAAAGATTTACTATGTTGAGCTCCTCCTTGCTTCGGAAGGCACGTTAAGCCGTCGGTCCCGGCTGCATCTGCAGTCGTTAGCACCCACCAATCCGCACTAGGGCGGCGTGGTGGGTCATGGCCCAATCTCCCTATTCCATCCATAGGGAAGGTCTGTGCCCCAGCAGTGGGGACATTAATAGGCTGATGATGATGATGACGTTCACAAGGCTTCCCTTTAGAATAAGCGCTACAGTACCATAAGATCTTGGTCGCACTGTAGCCTTATCACAAATCTATATACTCTACAAAACATTAACTTGTTTCTGATAGTAAAACGAAAAATGAAATGAAATTAGGTCTACACACTGCTTTTGATCTATGAAAGATGACTGATATTGCCTGTGTAACCTGGAGCTTTACAAAGCTACAGTTTTATTTGACAGATCAATCTAAAGTACATAACTACAGTGCAGTTATCCTTTTTGCGCTTTTATAATAATAGGGTTGATGACTATTTTTTTTCTTCGTTTATCAGGTAGATTATCAAAAGTATTGGACACGTATTTTTTCTTTTTTCACATAATATAAACATTGCAGAGATATATTGATTTGAAAAGTCGCATGACTTCTCGTTTTGGTACCATTTTCACTTAGAAGTGACGTCACGAGCCCCTACTCCCGAACTTTGACGCGCTATAACTTTGTCATTTTGGTTGAGTGCCCAAAGAAAAAATATGTGTCCATTATTTTTTAATCATCTAACTGATGGACTAAATAGAATTTCGTTTACTGTACCCCGTCATCACCCCTATTACCAATAGTATGACAGTTTAGACTGTCGCCTGACAACAGTTTTTGACAAAGAAACCGTTTTTCTTCATTATTCTCTCTCTCTCTCTCTCTCTCTATTCCATACACAAATGGTCTCCCACTATTACTGACTAAAAACAACAGTGAGAAACGATGAGATCAGAAGCGATTACCCGTGGGCTAGAATTGGGAGAAATCCTGTGGTTAAAGCCAAATAAATGGAGGGGCAAAATTCTTTGAACGCTAGAACAACACTTTTGGCTTAGTCCAGTAGCAGTCCTTTTTATTTATAATCTTCCCTTCCGTATCCGCTTCTGATAATTAAGTAGCCAAAAGGGTAAAGTCAAAACTGGCAATAAAAAAAAAATAAAAAAATCTTTAATGGTGGTTTTTATTCTTATTTGTATATTTTGTGTAAACTTCGTTATTTTACGAAAGCATGATCCTCTCCCAAAGTTTTCACTCATACAAAATTTTGATATAGCTCCAAGGTAAGTGATTTTTCCAAAATATGGAAATACCAAGTGTTGTTTTTATGATTTATGTTTTGTTAACCTAACACCTATGATATACATACCTGTATATAAAATGTTCTTTTGGCTAAACAACGTTCAACCTTATAACGATTAAGTAGCTTGGTAATGTTTTGTATAAGGAATCCTTTCATTATTGGCGTAGCTTCTTGACCTTCACAAGTGCTTGTAACAGCCTAGACTGAATAAATGACATTTCATTTCATTGTTTTCGGATGTTGGTAATGTTTCTATCTCTATAGGGACAAGATTTAGAAAATCATAATGGATATTCATCAATCTATTGTGTATTTTTGTAAATAATGTAATTAAAATATCAAGTTGCCGCTAAAACGTTTCTTTGGATAACATGGCTTCTCACTGGTATGTGACGTCACACGAATGTCATTAAAAAGTAAATGATCCAATGTGATGTCATTTTTACCGGAAGTTTACTAGCGTATTACGTCATTTTATGTTCGCGGATCCCAGACGTTTTCGGTCACGTGACCATAGAGAAAAAATTCTTTTATATCAAATGATTTTTTAGAAAAGCTTTATTACATATTTGTTCTCTGAAAGTAAAATCGCTGCAAATATTCATATTAAATATAGATGCCAACAATTGGTACTTAATTTTTTTTATACTGTCAATACCCTATTGTAAAGTCTTATGTTTTATCACTTTATATAGCTAATTAGTATTTGACAGCAGTCTCTCCATCTCATTCTGTAATGAGCATTATATACTGCTGTTTAATTTAGATTAAAGACGAAGAATATGAATAGCCGTGTGCACCACACGCCTTAGACCAAATTAATGCCAATTGTAGCGAAGCTATTTTTAAATAAAACTAGTTTTAACGGAATAATTCACGAACTTTATTTATTTATTGACGTTTCGCAGCCTTTTCAGGGCTGCATCGTCAGAATAATGATTTTTTGAAGTTATACTTCTTTAGGCGCGTTATGAAAAAATGATGAGAGTGAAATTTTAAGATGCGCGCGCATCACTGTAACACAAAATTTTAACAGCATGAAGTTGGTCGCTTTAGCGACCAACTTCATGCGTTACTTTTGTGTTTACCGCACATTAAGAAAATCTACCAACAAAATAGAAATAGAATCTCTATTTAGTGGGTGCTAACGACTGCATTGTGAAGGCCTATCAAAAGTATTTATTAATCTGGAACAACGGAACCAAAGCGCGATTCAGGAGACTACAGCGCCATCTCTTGACCATTGGTGTAGTAGAACCAAAAACCACATCTTTATTTTTTGTAATAAAGTAACAGTTATAGGTATTCATATTTATAATATTTATCCACATGTTTCTAGTTTGTATATTCGGAATACGTGTTTGAGTTTCATACAAGTGCAAATCACATATGTTCTAATAAATTATATTCAGTAGCGATTTTAATTGAATATTTTGATTATTTATTTATTTTTTCAAATTAAAACTGAACTTTATTGATTGTGTCCTTTTCCAGACTTTTTATTAATTTATTGTAATTAATTATTTGCATGCAATTAAAAACTAATTTTAAACGATGCCAAAGAAGGATAACTTCTCACGCGCCTACATAAGTACACGCACCCATTTTTTTTTATTTACTTTGTCGAGCTACCTTCGAAAGACTTTTATTGAGCGTTCGGATATTTCATTGGAAGATTTTTGAAATTTTATTGTCTATGTATGAATCTAAAGAAAATATAACTAGAAAAAAATCCACGGGGACCAGGCAGCAGACGGGACTCGAACCTAAAAACTCGAAAAATATTCAAAATTATAGTCTATTTATGAATTTATTAGTTAATAAAGTACTTTATTTAAAATGATTTTTTGTAATTTTGAGTTTATTTATTTGACTTTTAACTACCGTAAACTACCACCGGTTCCAAAATTAGGAGACCTTTCTGAGAAGAAGCGGCGAAACAAAACTCAGAGAGTATTTCTATCTCCTTCTTTTTTATTAATCCGTTAAAACTAGTTTTATTTAATGAGTGATGTCCGTGAAACTAAGAAACAAATATGAAACTATTTTTCTTTAAAGCGACACTAATGTATATATAAGTATCACATTGCATTAAAATTCTTGATGCTTTGCCAACCTCGTCTCGGTATGACTTGAATTCACGTATGTATGTTTTTCAGAAATATTGATGTTATAAAATGTTGACACTAAATTAAATTATTGGATTTATCTACCACTTCTATGTTTTGTCTTTGTCAACAGTAACCGAATGAATCCACCAGGAAACAGATAGAGTACATAATTTTTATATCACACAAGACAACGTCCAAAGTGATAAATATCAATATTTTGGTGTCAACATTTTATAAGTTCGCACATATTTAATACCTATAATATTAAATGTACATAGCAAGAAACATCTTGACGCAATCATTAACAGTATATTTGGCGCAATAGCAAATTTGACTACAAAAACGTGTTGCTAAAGCCATATTATTGTAGATGTGTGTTCAAGATGTTTTGGTAGTTTTTGAAAACTACCCTCATCTCATTTTATATCCGTATATTTGACAGCTGTGTTGTAATTTGCGCTAGAGGCGTTGTTGTCAAATGTGTGGACAAAAATGAGACTCAGAGTTTTTCAATACAAGCGAAACTCGCTCTTAATGCTGTTAACTTAAGGAGTGATCTCGCCTGATGATTCTGTTGGCTTTTTTCTAACCCGTGCCATGTGTTGATTCTGTGATAACATTTTTGCTACAAACCGAAATGACTCGACCAAAATGCATGCTTGTGATTTTGTTTTCTTAATAAAATGTGTTCAGAATTCATGTAATTAAATGGGTTGTAATTGTTTTTAGTCTTTCTGCCCCTGTTTAAACGAGAATAAATCTCATTTGGTTTTAGTGATTGTTTTAAAGAATAGCGTTAATAACATCCACTTTTGTCAATACACATTTTCGAATAAAAATAGCAACATTATAAATAGTATCTAATAGCTTTTCAGCATAATAACTACTCATTGCTTTTGAAAATTAATTTAAAACTAATATAGTGCTTATCGTTTATGAGTTTTTTTTTATAAATTTGGAAAATCTCATTTGTTAAATCTCGATACTTTAAATCATCCTTTTTGTTACTATCAAGATTTTGAGAGCTTACTTTTTTAAAGAATTTTAAGAGTTAAAATTATAAAAAATCAATTGAATATAAACTGTGTTTACGTAAATCAATGATTGCTTTGATTTAGTAACTGTAGGGACAAAACTCGCCTTTGTATGACTTAGAAAATATACTTTCCAGCTTAGTGTCGAACACACACTGCTAATTTTGCGCAACGCTACTTACATCGCATTACGCGTATTCACTTTGTTTCATCATCATAGAATTTTTACACATCATTGTTAGTTAATTCAAGCAAATTACGTAAACTGCACTTTGTCTAAAGTGTATGTAAAAATTCTGTAAAACAATGTAATTGCGTAATACTACGTAAGTGTCGCTGCACACGGGCCACCGACCACAACCACAAAACGTCGCCACCGGCATATTTCCTGTTCTTTTCATACATTTTATATGGACTCTCCGCACACGGTTGCCAGTGGCCGCCACACGTTACGTGGCGAGTCCATATAAAATGTATGAAAACTACAGGAAATATGCCGGTGGCGGCGTTTTGTGGTTGTGGCCGGTGGCCCGTGTGCGGGGACCCTAAGATGCATCGCGTAAAATAAGCTGCGTGTGATTCAAAACTTGCAATATTATTACTTTGTAACTACGTACGTTACGTCCAACGTAAACCTACGAAAAAATCTTAGTTTAATCCAACTTGGAACATTTATAACTAAGCCAGTTACAGATGAAATTTATTATTCAAAATTCGACCTTACCGTTAAGGATTTAGAAACGCGAACCCATACATTTTCTCATTATATATTAAAGCCAACAGTATTATCACGAGACAGATGCTATAGGCTAGGGGATCCCTAACCAAACTCCAGGAGCGTGCTTTGGTTGTGCAGGGCGGTTACGTATCCGGGAGGGCGGCTCAACAGCTGCACGTGACGAAGAAGGCGAATGCTCTCGCCGGCGCCAAGGAAAGGGACAAGGATAGGTCTCCCACCCCCGCCCACAGGCGGGACGACAGCCACGCGGGCACGCCGGCCTCGGCCACGCCTCCCCCGCCCGTCACTGCGGCCATCGTGAGTACAAGGATAGGTCTCCCACCCCCGCCCACAGGCGGGACGACAGCCACGCGGGCACGCCGGCCTCGGCCACGCCTCCCCCGCCCGTCACTGCGGCCATCGTGAGTACAAGGATAGGTCTCCCACCCCCCCCACAGGCGGGACGACAGCCACGCGGGCACGCCGGCCTCGGCCACGCCTCCCCCGCCCGTCACTGCGGCCATCGTGAGTACAAGGATAGGTCTCCCACCCCCGCCCACAGGCGGGACGACAGCCACGCGGGCACGCCGGCCTCGGCCACGCCTCCCCCGCCCGTCACTGCGGCCATCGTGAGTACAAGGATAGGTCTCCCACCCCCGCCCACAGGCGGGACGACAGCCACGCGGGCACGCCGGCCTCGGCCACGCCTCCCCCGCCCGTCACTGCGGCCATCGTGAGTACAAGGATAGGTCTCCCACCCCCGCCCACAGGCGGGACGACAGCCACGCGGGCACGCCGGCCTCGGCCACGCCTCCCCCGCCCGTCACTGCGGCCATCGTGAGTACAAGGATAGGTCTCCCACCCCCGCCCACAGGCGGGACGACAGCCACGCGGGCACGCCGGCCTCGGCCACGCCTCCCCCGCCCGTCACTGCGGCCATCGTGAGTACAAGGATAGGTCTCCCACCCCCGCCCACAGGCGGGACGACAGCCACGCGGGCACGCCGGCCTCGGCCACGCCTCCCCCGCCCGTCACTGCGGCCATCGTGAGTACAAGGATAGGTCTCCCACCCCCGCCCACAGGCGGGACGACAGCCACGCGGGCACGCCGGCCTCGGCCACGCCTCCCCGCCCGTCACTGCGGCCATCGTGAGTACAAGGATAGGTCTCCCACCCCCGCCCACAGGCGGGACGACAGCCACGCGGGCACGCCGGCCTCGGCCACGCCTCCCCCGCCCGTCACTGCAGCCATCGTAAGTATTGTCTTCACAATGTTTAGTCTTCTTCTTTATTAGAATTTTTTCCATTTATTTCGAGGTGTTCCACTTTCGTTTTTTTTCAATCTCTCAACATTGCTACCTTATGGGCCATTAATCACGTGAGGTGTTTTTTTGGCGTTTTTTGTAACCCCCCCCCCCTCCCCCTTGGTGGTACATGGTGAGGTTTAAGACTAAACCCCCCCCCCATATCACGTGTATTGTTTAGTATATTATTATTATGTTTAAAATATTTTTAAAATACAGGTATCATGGTTGCAGGTTGTTTTAGACTAACATAAAAATAATGAAAGAAATGCGATAAACTTATACATGAACATTATTTAATGTACAGTATCCTCGAACCACGGAAATACACGTGATATATTACTACACCCCCACTCCTCCCTTGTAATATTTCGTGATTTTTATGGACCCCCCCCCAACCCCTTTCGAGCTTCACGTGATTAAAAGACAGCCCCTTACAACGAGATTGCTACCTTAGCAATAAGGTCACCTTTCGTGTTCGCATTCCTGTGCTTTGTGTAGTAGTGCATTAAAGAATATTCATTCTTTCATTTTATCAAATTTACACATATCGGCTCATTGTCGTAGGAGAAACAACTGTCTGACCTGGTGGACGAGATTCGCAAGCTGAAGTCGGTGATAGTGAAACAGGAGAACCGCATCCGAGCCCTCGAAGCCGCCGCCAGGCCCCGCACCCCGCCCCCAGCCCCAGCCCCAGCCCCAGCCCCCGCCCCAGCATCGCCCAATCACCACGAAGAGAACATGGCGCCCGACGAGGTCTGACGGAATTATATCGTGTCTAACTTCTCACCTATGTTAATTGTTTGCAGCTTCAGTTTTGTCAAAGTGATAATAATTACTGGTACCCCTTCGCGCACATTATCATAACCTATCCCTCCGCACGCATTATCATAATGACGAATGAATAAAACATGGCGCCCGACGAGGTCTGTCGAAATTATATCGTGTCTAACTTCTCACCATTGTGAATTGTTTGCAGCTTCGTTCTCTTAAAGTGACAACAATTGCTCATATATTATCGTAACCTATCGCTCCGCACGCATTATCGTAATGACGCAATTATTACTTATTGTAGCCTTTACGAATGAAAAATGGCGCCCAACGAGGTCTGACGAATTTACATCGTCTCTAAATTATTACCATTGTAAATTGTTTGCAGCTTCATTCTCTTAAAGTGACAATAATTGCTCGTGTATTATCATAACCTATCGCTCCGCACGCATTATAGTAATGACGCAACTATTACTTATTGTAGCCTTTACGAATGAAAAATGGCGCCCAACGAGGTCTGACGGATTTATATCGTCTCTAAATTCTTACCATTGTAAATTGCTTGCAACTTCACTCTCTTTAAGCGAAGAGTGATTAAGTGAGTTAATATGCATCTTCACTTACTAGAAAAAGAGTTAATTGTAGCCATCGCGAATAAAACATGGCGCCGAGCAAGATCTGACGGAATTATATCGTCTAATATTGGCCCTCATCTAATTACCATTGTAAATTATTTGCAGCTTTATATTCTTAATGTGACAATAATCACTTACACACCCTTATCATAATGACTGCATGAGGTCTGACATAACTATATCGACTGCATGATGCCGACACTTCACTTGGCTATTCGTGTTTGCTATTTGTAAACCTGACATCAGTCTGTCCTTTTCATTCCTTCTAAAACATGTTAAAGACAGACTGTTGTCAAATTTACAAATAGCCAAGCGAAATAGCAGCATGAGGTCTGACGCAATACATCAACTAATATGCATCCACACCGTCTTACTGAAACATAACTTAATTGTAGCTTCATTTTCTTGCAATGACAATAATTTATTAGCACACTATATCATATACATGTATACCTACCCTTCCCCGCAGAGCCAGCATGAAGAAAAAATGGCGGCCGACGAGGTCTGACGGAACTAAATTATCTATTCACCCACGCTTTCTTACCGGAACATTAACTCAATACCTTCTGTAATTTTGCAAAACGACTTCTTTGTACCTTCATCTGTTTACAAAGATTATAATTTCTGACCACACTATCGTAATTATGTACCTTCCACTCGTACATTATGTTAAGATCATGACCCGCAGAACCATCACGAGGAAAATATGGCGCCCGAATAGGTTTGACATGAGTAAATCACCTCGTCTTACCCACACAATATTTGTCATTTAAATTTCTCATCACACCATATCATTTAACAGTGTCTTTGTGATGGTTAAAATCCTATTAATACCTTCGATCACTGTTGCTCTCGATATTATTGTATCCCAAACGTTTTGAACAATATATTCTTTAGCGATTATGGGTTTATTTCTTTTAAAAACCGTGTGCACAAATAAATATATACCTGTTTGTTCACTTTGTGAGACAATACAAATCAATGTTCAGCTATAATAATTGTATTCAGCTGTTGCTGATATAATAACGAAACTTGCAATATTTTTGTATTCTTAGCTAATAATTGAATCAACTGAAGTGTCAAAATACGACTTGTGCCTTTGTAAATAGTACAGGGACTAGAAAGAAATTGTCTTGAAAATATTTTATCGAAAAAAGTTTGTTATATGAGATGATTCAGGTTGGACTCCAAACTTGTATGTATAGTGACGAATTTGATGTGCAATTTTTTATCTCTTGTCCCACACCGGGAGCGAAACGAACTGGCTAAGCGAAGCTAAAAAATGTAGCAAGCAAATAAAGATTCATAGATAATCATAGAGGGGCGAGGTTTTACTTCGCTGCGTTCGTCGTGCAAGGGCGGATCCAGCTTTGTCGCCAGGGGGGAGTCATATAGTCGTGGTCAAGTCACAGTGGGTACAGATTGTGAAGTGGGTACAGATGGACCCAGGATCCAGAGGGGGGGGTCATGACCCCCCCCCCCCCCTCTGGATCCGCCCTTGTCGTCGTGTTCGCTCGTTTCCCAAGATATCGCTTCATTTTGTCTTTCTCTGTGAATCCAAGTCTGGAAAGACATGGTAACGGCAGGAGCATTGCTTAACGGATCGTTTCGCCTCCGCTGTGGCCTGCGCTTTACGCAAAGGAGTCGCTTGTTGATATTTTTTCTTTAATTACTGTCGAAAAGAGTTGTCCAATTTAAAGCATTACTTTTGCGCGGCTTCCTTGATGAGATTGGACTATTTGTTAATATAGGTTTTGATAGTTCTTCACACTGGTATTCGTGTTCGCGTATAAATCGCCAAAATACGCCGATGTGAGTTGGCCCTATTCATCTATTTTCATGAATTAGTGATGTTTCTTAATAAGGCCAATACAGATCACGGATATCGAATAGCGATGAAGTGCCAGCATTGTGATTATGACCCATTATAAATGTTGTTACAAAACAATTATAGTAAGTTTTCATACATTTCGGGTCAAAAAAGAGAGAAGTAACAAGAAATTATGAACTTCGCTATTTGTATAAGAAAAAATATCAACGAGTACGATGAAATATCATTACTATTTATAGAAATCGACAATGGTGTCGATTCTGGCACGATTCTCTAAATATAAACTTAATTTTTACAACAGTGACTGAAGTTAAATTTAGTTTTAAGTTTAGAGAATCACGCCAGAATCGACACCAGTATCATTTTACGTAAGATTATTATTGCCAGTCCATGGCATTGAACAACGAACCAACAACACGGCAGGTTTTGATATTTTATCGCGTCAAATTTTAATTATGAATTTTTTATTTATTTATAATAATAAAACAAAAATGTAAATAGTAAGTTTTAGTGATAGTGATATGCGAAGCAATTTTGTGCCTTATGTCCATCCTTTTCTGAAGTAATATTTTAAAAGTATCGGTGATAGGTTTCGCATTTAGTTTTGTTCTTCGTATTGATCTAAATATGGCATGAACTTGATAAGTAACAGGGGTTTTTTTGAACTTATCGCGTCAACGATATACATTGATAGAAATATTGTTCATGCCTCGTAGTAGTTTTAGATCTGCGTATACGCTATACGTACGTACGCGTGTATACGTGACACTGTCAGCCCGAATCGTTATGAATCATTTATTATGAATTTGACTTTAAGCACTATTTGTATTCGGCACACCTCATGTCTCACTATTTAGATCTAATCGATAATGCAAAGCTATTTATTTTCATTTGTGTTTTTGCGTCTTGTATTAATATATATATATATTATAATATACGGACTGTGGCTACCCCATCTCTTCAACTGTAACGACTCTCCGTCGAAATTAAGCAATTGCTAAATCATGTTTTATATTCCTTATATATTATACTTATGTATATATGTCTTTTAAAATATTTTTTTATAATTCAATCTCAATTATGAAAAAACTGTAATATTAATTCTTTATTAAAGTAATGTATAAAAAAATATGAAAACCTTTATGAATTGGCTTTTAAAAACTTGCATCTTGTTGAAGCACTTTAAGATTTGATACCAACATTGATCTTAAATTAAATTGAATGAATGAAGTCAACAATTTCAAATCTAATAATATTTATATGCACTTGTTTAGTAATATAACGACCGGGCTCATGAGATGTCAAATATCTTTGTGTGATTAAAGATAATGCTGTCACTTTCTTTGCAGTAACGATAGAGTGAGACAAAATAAGTTTTTGATAAATCATTAAATTTGATTAACGCTCTGATTGCAATTACAAAGCAGAACACGGTAGCCACAGTCCATGTCTCTATTATGGACATTTCTTAAGTTAGCTGTAAGAGTCAAGTGCTTACTGAGGTGCTTCTTGTAATGTCATACATAACACCGCGAGTGGTTACGCTTTTAAACAATTGCTGGCTCAATTCGCGTATTAATACACTCACTGTGTCCTATACATAGATTCAGGGCCGGATTTAAGACAGGGCAGCCGGGGCTGTGGCGCACAAGAGAGTCACCACCACAACAGAGATAAAAAAAATGGTTGGCTGTAAAATCGGTTTACGGACGATAGTTTACGTGATAACGTCATAAAGACACATTGATGATAAAATTGCATAATTGCTAGCCTTGACGTCACGCGAGAAGAGAACTAAAAATCGTGCCTCTCTATCGCTTGTTCCGCGGCTCAGGCTCAGGCGGAACATGACACTTTTTCGTGCATGCAGCCAGTGTTCATCGATTTATAAGACGTTATAGCGTCAAAAACTACGGCTCACCAACCAGGAGGGGTTGCAAGGTGCAAATCGTAAGTGGCCCGGCCCACATTTAGAGGCTCCTTTGTTGCCCCTGGACCCCCACACCTTTAAATCCGGCCCTGCATAGATTCCTAAGTTTTTCGGTTTTATTAATGTTACGGCTTTTGTTTGTCATACAGCTTTTGGTGCGCGTGTATATTAAGTAGATGGGAGTACACTGCATTTTTGTTGCTTATAAATTGAAATCTAGTGGAAGAAGTATGCACGTGGAATTTCTACAGATAACAATGTCACAAAAGATGTGCGAGATGTAGATGAAAAAGCTACCATTTAGATTGCTGGACCTGGCAAAGCTAATAAAATGAAGTGATCATGATATTTGGTTATCTTCACGTGCCGGTACGTGCCGTTATGCAAATGTCTGGTGGATGTGTTCTATGTGGATGATATCATTGTTGCTGCACAGACTTCACTCGGGACTTAACATCAGATTAAATCAAAACATATGCGAGCCGTATAAAAATGAACTTGCGTCATCTTATGAATGATGGTGATTTTTAATGCTATCACGTGACTCTAAACTCGTATGACAAATTAATAGCTCTGAGCCTCGAACTTTTTATAATTATTTTCTTATTTAGTTTTGTGTAGTATTAAAACTTGGACTCAAACTAACACGTTTCGAACGCTGAACGACGTCACTATAATAGAATATGGCGTTTTTTGGGCTTTCCGTATCGCGAATTTACTGTCTGAATAGTTTGTTGACTGCTACACTTTCACAATAATTTCATCCAAATTATAGAGACTCGCTTTGTGGATTGTACTTCTAAGACATGCATAAAATTGTATGTAGTTTTGAAAGTAGTTTGAATTCGCGATATTGAGTGCCGACCGTCGTTAGCTTAAGAACCGCGTGCACTAGTCGACCAGGGCTCTGGACTTGAATTAAATAAAAAAATATATCAAAGTCCTAATCTTATTAAATTGTGGCTAAAGTAGAAATTATCGGATTAGTTAGTGTTGTTTAAACATGTACAATGTGATTGTTTCTGTAGCTAATCTAGGCTTCACGGGGTAGGATTGCAGGGTAGGCACAGCTGCGAATGTTATCAGCCATACGCTTGTTTCTCACCCTGTTAACATAAAAAAAAACTGGTCGCAGCTTCTAGAGTATGTGCGGAAAGAGAATGGGCGTGGCGAAAAACGGAACTAGCAATAAGATATTTATTTGGCAATCAAACCCAGCACTCTGTAAACCGTCAAAGTTTTGTATTGATACGGATTTGTTTGTTGTTGCGATTTCTTGCGGTTTTTTGTATTTAATCATGTCTAAAAGGGGGTAAAACCTTAGAAATACGGTAGAAAAGCACTACAGCGCCCTCCAATCTAAATCCCATTCTCTTTCCGCACAGACTCTAGTCGTCTAGTGCACAAGGTGTCCTAATGTAAGAATTTGCGAACATCAATGTGTGGTAGAAAATTGTCACGGCGACTAGTCAAGCCCTTATGAAACCGACGCGTACCCAGCCTCAATACGAGGCAAGTATTATAGTTTAAAATTTAAAATAGTATTATTATCACTTATGTATGTATGTATGATTTATTATTTTGTAATTTCTAAGATGGCGTAATATTAGATGTTCTATAATTTTAAGATCATGACAAAGATTGTTTTTTTAAAGTGTACGAAAATGCTTGTTTTAACTCGGGTTTCTGTTTTGTATGTATTTATTATAAATAAAATCTTTTCACCTTTTTCTTTTGAATTTTTAGCATGATTTTGTTAGTTTTTAATATACTTTGGGGATTTCTTTTAATCTCTTTTTTTATCGAGTCTGGTTTTCCACGCGAATAGTGACTTAACGGACGTGGTTGTATTTTATGTTGATAATAATTATAATGACAATCGTATGCAGTCAACGGAAAAGCACTTGGGACAGTATGTCCGAAATTTTAGGTCGATACTGGTGTCAATTCTGACACGATACTGTAAAAATAAACTTAAATTTGACAACAGCGTATCCTTGTCATTCTTTATACGGAATGAAAAGGAAAGATGTTAAATTAAGTTTTAAGTTTAGAGAATCACGCCAGAATCGACACCATTGAAATCTGTATCATAGAAGTCAAGTCAGATATCTGTGCTGTTGACTGCATCCTGAGGCAAAACTATCTATCGATATTGTTTGAATTTGAATATTTCTGTGACGCTTCTTAGCTTTTTTTAATACTGCTGTTATTTATAATGTGAAGGCGTTTCGAATAAAATGCATCGTGGACTATTATAGCATAAATTGTCAATTATTTAGATTTTTGTAATTTTATGTAAAGCCGGTGTATGTAGACCAAGATTTTTTAATAATAATTATATCGCGTTTGGTGCCTTTTGTAACTTCATTGTAAATTATTTTAATTCGTAGACTATATTATTATTGGTCTTACGTCTGAATTACACATTTTTCGACAATTGTATTTCTTAATCTAAGCGTTTTGTACTAATAAATAAATGCGTGGTATCTCAGCTCACAGCGTTGACGCAAATATGCAATTCGTAACTTTCTTTGTTTATTGTAAATATTTTCCTCCTTTTGATTAAAAAACTTGAGATTCAAAACGGAAAATAGTAAAATATTGTACGCACAATGATATTTGGTATACTGTTAAACTTTAAGCGTAACTGGTGCTAATTGTCTAGGCTGCTCTGTGCCAAATTGTAAGCAATCTAATCTATGAAATGTAATGCTAAATTTTATTACGATACATCCATCATGGATTATTGTCTTGAATAGGTTAAGTGCCTTGTTGTGTTTAATACTCAGATCAAATATGCATATTACGAAAGTTGAGCGAAAATAAATGTCTATTTTACTATTTTCATTGTTGGTCTTATTTCATAATTCACCTTGAAACGTCGAATTGGCGCTATATAAAGTGCGGAAATAACGCCGGGAAAAGCTCTTGCCAATCACACTAGGAAAGTTTGTGAGTGTGTATGTTTGTTACTTCTTCACGTCTAAATGGCTGGAGCGATTTTAATAAAATTTGGTATGGAGTTAGCTGACACCCTGGATTAACACATAGGCTACGTTTTACTGCGGGAAAATATCATGAATAAACCGCGGGTAACACCGCGAGGCACAGCTTGTGAAATATACTTCCGGACACCTCTATTGGCCCACCTACGGACCTAAGATTTGACGGTCCCTAGCAAAAAATAAAATATGTTACATTGATCAAAATGTTTTTAAGCTGTTTTACTATTATAACCATCTTTCCGTAAGTGTTTTAATAATATACTAGCAAACCAGTGAACCAAATGTTCACCAAAACCTGACTTCTCGAAAACCGGAAGTGCTACGTTACTCAAATCCGGTTTGTAGTCTTATCAGACTATTCTTAACTTATAACTTAAATATTCTCTTTATCTATCTCTTACGGTTTGGCCGCTGAAACAGCACCACAGACAGACGGACGGACTTGTCTAATAGATAAGAGATTATTACTAGCTGTCCCAGCGAACTTCGTACCGCTATAAAAAAATAGGGGTTGATGGTAGAAGAGTGAAACTGGGTTGTATGTATTTTTGTAGGGTTGTATGTATTTTTTTATCATGTATTATAAAAAAATAAAAACAAAAATTTTGTACAAAAAAGAATTCTAAGGTTGGACCACCCTTAACATTTAGGGGGATGAAAAATAATGTTGTCCGATTTTCAGACCTACTGAATATGCATATAAAATTTCACGAAAATTGTTCGAGCCGTTTCAGAGTAGTTCAATGAGGGCTATCGCGTATGAATCCGTCTCTAGAGGCGCTAGTGTAGCGTGAGGTCTTGAAATGTCAAATGTTATTGCTTGTTGGTTGACTACGCGGGTTTATTTCTAATTAAAATAATGTTGTGAATAATTGGTAACAATTCGGCTTAATCATGGCAAATATGAGTTATGTGGCAATGAATGTCAGTTATTAAAAATTTGAGCTTAGAAAAATGATTATGTTCCCATTTTTTCCGAATAAAACGGAACTGCGCGTCACTGTGGCATGTTTAGGATATGGTTCTTTTGTGTTAAAATACGATCTAAATGTAACCTTTGATTTCATGTGCGTATTAATAAACTTTAAAAGTTACAATTTAGGACCTCACTCAACAGTGCGCCCCATCTGGTGAGGCAGAAAACGGTAGCCCTCATTACGCTCACTGTGACACGAGTATTTTATATAGTTACTAGCTGACCCAGGGAACTTCGTACCACCTTAAAAATAGGGTTTGATGGTATAAGGGTGAAAATTTATCGTGGACTGAAAAATACTTAGTATTTTTAAATGCCAAACAATAAAAAACAATTGTCCCAAAAAATAAAATAATATTGTTAGGGGTGGACAACCCTTAACACTTAGGGGTATGAAAAATAGATAGTAGCCGATTCTCAGACCTACTGAAAATGCATTATAAAATTTCATAAAATCGGTCAAGCCGTCTCGGAGGAGTATGGTAACTAACATTGTGACACGAGAATTTTATATATAAGATTGGATTTCAACCTATATTTTGGCTACAGACCCAACGATTTTAAATACTCTAGATACACCAAGTGCGCTCAAAATGTGTCCCAATCAAGAAGTGCTTGAACACCACAAGCACTTCTTGGTTCACAGTCACGCGCGGACCGTTGAAAAGTCAACATGCCGCTGACCTCCGTGAAAAAATGCAAAAGAAATACTTATAGTACGCAAAGTGTAGTTTTTTTGATAATCAATGTTTATTAATTTAACGCATTTGAAGCAAATTTTGTTCTAATACTTACCCAAAACTGATTTAATAGAAAATATTTGTGACATTCAAATGCATTGTCGGTAATATAGCCGTCTCTTTTCCTCGCGGTCCTCGTACGTTGGAATCGTCCAATGTACCTTTTGGACAGGTTTGGGGACCGATTTTGTTCGTTATGTTGTATCAAGGGTATTCAATATATATATACAGACCGTTAAAACTATATTTATAGCACAGTGTGACCTAAACCCGCACTTTACGCACGCTTTTCCGTGACCTAAGTTGCCTATTTCTGCACGGTGTGTAAATGAATTGACCAACTTCACTCATGTAGAAAAAATAAAAGGAAACACATTTAAATGTCATTTGGAGCTTAAAAACTCACAGCAAACAAATGACAAATTAGCGATAGGTTAGGAATTCTTGTTTGAATTATACGAGTACAAAAAATGGGTGCGTGTACTTATGTAGGCGCGTGAGAAGTTATCCTTCTTTGGCATCGTTTAAAATTAGTTTTTAATTGCATGCAAATAATTAATTACAATAAATTAATAAAAAGTCTGGAAAAGGACAAAGTCAATAAAGTTCAGTTTTAATTTGAAAAAATAAATAAATAATCAAAATATTCAATTAAAATCGCTACTGAATATAATTTATTAGAACATATGTGATTTGCACTTGTATGAAACTCAAACACGTATTCCGAATATACAAACAAGAAACATGTGGATAAATATTATAAATATGAATACCTATAACTGTTACTTTATTACAAAAATGGGTGCGTGTACTTATGTAGGCGCGTGAGAAGTTATCCTTCTTTGGCATCGTTTAAAATTAGTTTTTAATTGCATGCAAATAATTAATTACAATAAATTAATAAAAAGTCTGGAAAAGGACACAGTCAATAAAGTTCAGTTTTAATTTGAAAAAATAAATAAATAATCAAAATATTCAATTAAAATCGCTACTGAATATAATTTATTAGAACATATGTGATTTGCACTTGTATGAAACTCAAACACGTATTCCGAATATACAAACAAGAAACATGTGGATAAATATTATAAATATGAATACCTATAACTGTTACACAAAAAATAAAGATGTGGTTTTTGGTTCTACTACACCAATGGTCAAGAGATGGCGCTGTAGTCTCCTGAATCGCGCTTTGGTTCCGTTGTTCCAGATTAATAAATACTTTTGATAGGCCTTCACAATGCAGTCGTTAGCACCCACTAAATAGAGATTCTATTTTTATTTTGTTGGTAGATTTTCTTAATGTGCGGTAAACACAAAAGTAACGCATGAAGTTGGTCGTTAAAGCGACCAACTTCATGCTGTTAAAATTTTGTGTTACAGTGATGCGCGCGCATCTTAAAATTTCACTCTCATCATTTTTTCATAACGCGCCTAAAGAAGTATAACTTCAAAAAATAAAGATGTGGTTTTTGGTTCTACTACACCAATGGTCAAGAGATGGCGCTGTAGTCTCCTGAATCGCGCTTTGGTTCCGTTGTTCCAGATTAATAAATACTTTTGATAGGCCTTCACAATGCAGTCGTTAGCACCCACTAAATAGAGATTCTATTTCTATTTTGTTGGTAGATTTTCTTAATGTGCGGTAAACACAAAAGTAACAGCATGAAGTTGGTGGCTAAAGCCAACTTCATGCTGTTAAAATTTTGTGTTACAGTGATGCGCGCGCATCTTAAAATTTCACTCTCATCATTTTTTCATAATCTTGCCCGCGTCCGGGGCGGGTTTATGTCACACTTGCTATAAAATAGTATACGATACTTGTGGCCTAAGTTGTCTATTACTGCACGGCTTAACTTCACGCCGTGCAGTAATAGGCAACTTAGGTCACGCGTATCGTAATGTACTATTTGGCTACAGGGGGCAAACGAGTTGACGGCTCACCTGATGGTTAGTGATCACCGTCGCCCATAGACATCTGTAACACCAGGAGTATCAAAAAAACCGGCCTATAAGGAAGGATTACGCCCTTTTATGAAGGCTTTCGTGCCGTATCGGTCCTCTTACCGCCTGTACCATTAAAACAAACTGTATTTTATCAAAAATATTTATTTATCAACATCAAAAGCTTCATCGAATTGGTCTTGCGTGATCTTCCTCCTCTTGAGCCGCTTGATGAGAGCCACGTCGGCCGCCAGCTCATCCAACTCAGCCTGAGTGACGGCGCGACGCTTCTTTCCTGTTGATGATTTATGTTTATTGAAATGAAATTAAATCAAAAACCTTTATTGGCCATCTTATATACAATATAAAAAACCAATAATAGAAACAGAAAAATAAAAAAAATGGGTGCGTGTACTTATGTAGGCGCATGAGAAGTTATACTTCTTTAGCATCATTAAAAATATTTTTTAATTGCATGCAAATAATTAATAATTACAATAAAATAATAAAAGGACTGGAAAAGGATAGTTAACACAGTCAATTAAGTTCAGTTTTAATTTGAAAAATTAAATAAATATTCAAAATATTCAATTAAAATCACTACTGAATTTAAGTTATTAGTCCATATGTTATTAGCACTTGTAAGTAACTAAAACACGTTGTGTCTATATAGAAACTAGAAACATGTGGATAAATATTATAAATATGAAAACAGTGATCAGAGGCGACGAGCGTGCCAACATTGTTTTTGACAACGCGATCATCTTATGGAGCTCCGTGGATCGTTCAAAGTACCTTTCGAACAGATGTCTAATAATGGTGGATTATTAACCACTAAGTGGTTAATAATCCACCATTATTAGACACTAACATTCATAACGCGCCCGCGGCCAACTTCATGGTGTTACTATTGTGTTACAGTGATGCGCGCGCATCTCGAAATTTCACTCACATGATTTTTTCATAACGCGCCCGCGGCCAACTTCATGCTGTTACTTTTGTGTTACAGTGATGCGCGCGCATCTTAAAATTTCACTCTCATCATTTTTTCATAACGCGCCTAAAGAAGTATAACTTCAAAAAAACTTAACCTGAGAACAAAAAAATATCACTAAAACTAAGACGGCCAATCAGGCCCCTGCCTCAGCTTATGCCGACCAAAAACGCGTTTTAAGCGGGAAAGCGTATAAAAGGCGATTATTTAAAAGCGATCTCTTCCAGACAACCTTTGGATTGAGGGAGATATTTAGTTTGACAAAAAGATTTGAGGCACTACCAATTACAAAATTTTCAACATAATTTAACTTTTGCAGTGCATCTCCGCTTTGATTCAAAGAATTTACGTAGCGTCTTAAATAATTAACTGTTGATTGTAACAGTATTCATTGGACATTGTAGGTTACCTGCAATGCGAAGAGATGGCGCTGCCTTGCAGCTTAAGAATGGCTAGAAGAATTTCGACGCGACCGTCAGGGCCGCGGTAGTATAATGTCAGTCGGTCAGTGCATTCGCCCGGATTGCGAAGGGTGCGGGTTCGAGTCCCGTCTGCTGCCTGGTCGGCGTGGATTTTTTTTCTAGTTATATTTTCTTAAGAAGAGTACTGTTTTAACAATGCATTACCTTTCTTCCCTTCCGGATTCTGCTGCTTCAACTCTTTCCGCTTCTTCTTCCTCTGCTTCCGTTCTTCCTTGTCCATTTTCGCTTTTTCCCACGGCTGCGTTTGCGCCTGGGGAAAAAAAGTTGCTGAGATTAAATTATCGTTGTTAATTTTACCGTTTTGGATATTCTATCCTATCTTGTAGATACAATATGAAGCTACACTTGAGAACATTCTACCACTGAAGTAATTAATCTTATATATAATTAATCTTATATATAAATCTAATATATAAAATTCTCGTGTTGCGGTGTTTGTGGTTAAACTCCTCCGAAACGGCTCGACCGATTTTCGTAAATTTTATATGCATATTCAGTAGGTCTGAGAATCGGATGTAATCTATTTTTCATCCTCCTAAATGTTAAGGGTAATCCAACCCTAATTTTTTTTTTTCAATTTTAGATTTTTTTTTTAATTTTTTTATGATACAGCATAAGTAAATACATGTAACCCTAAATTTTCACCTTTCTACCACCAACCCCTATTTTTTTAGGGCGGTACGAAGTTCGCTGGGTCAGCTAGTTTTCTATATAAGACTAGTTGACCCAGCGAACTTCGTACCGCCCTAAAAAAATAGGGGTTGTCCAGCGGACAAAATTGTGAATCTAAACCATTCTCAGATCCCCTTGAACACACACAAAAAATTTCATCAAAATCGGTCCAGTCGTTTAAGAGAAATTCAGTGACATACACACTCACAGAAGAATTATATATATAAAGATTCTCGTGTCACCATATGTTAGTTACCATACTCCTCCGAAACGGCCTGACCGATTTTTATGAAATTTTATATGCATGTTCCGTGGGTCTGAGAATCGGCTACTATCTATTTTTCATATACTTAAATGATCATGGTTGTCCACCTGTAACATAGTGTTCTGAAACCTACAATGCGCCTTCGCGCCAAAATTCAAACTATTGGGTATTGTAACGTAGTGTTCTCATATGGGTTAGGAGAAATGTTATCCTAGGAAATTGATAGAACACTACGTTACACACCCCAAAAATTTTTTTTGGACAATATTTTTTTTTATAGTGTGGTATTAAAAAAATGCATACAACCCTAAATTTTCTCTTCCACCACCTGCCCCTATTTTTATGGTGGTACGAAATTCGCTGGATCAGCTAGTAGTTATATATTCTTTTATATTAAAAATTGTGCTCGTATCGTATACAAAGCTCAGACATAATATATTGTGGGTTACCTACAATGCCAAGAGATGGCGCTGCCTTGCAGCTTAAGGCTAGGAAAATTTTAACGCGGCTAATAGGGCCGTGGTAGCATAATGGTCAGTGCATTCGCCCGGATAGCGGATGCGGGTTCGAGTCCCGTCCGCTGCCTGGTCCGCGTAGATTTTTTTCTAGTAAACTTTTCTTTAGATTTAAACATCTAGCAGTTAAATGCTTAAAAATAAAAACATAACCATAATATATTGCTCTAATGTCAATGAATGAAAACTACAATGATTATGTTATACTGTGAACTAGGGAGGAGCTCGATAGCGCGTTCGGCAGCGATCGTTGAAGTTAAGTAACTTTCGCAGTGGTCGGTCATTAGATGGGTGACCAAAAAATCTTCTATCTCGGGTTCCTCCGTGCTTCGGAAGGCACGTTAAGCCGTTGGTTCCGGCTGCATCTGCAGTCGTTAGCACCCACCAATCCGCACTGGGCCCGCGTGGTGGGTCATGGTCCAATCTCCCTATTCCATCCATAGGGAAGGCCTGTGCCCCAGCAGTGGAGACATTAATAGGCTGATGATGATGATATTATGAACACTAAATTACTTATAAATAAATAAATAAATATTTCCGACACTCACACCAATTAGCCTAGCCCCAAAGTAAGCACTATAAGGCTTGTGTTATGGGATGCTAGGGTAACGGATAGAATACATATACAGTACATATATAAGTATATTCATATAGAAATACATATTAAACATCCATGACTGGAGTACAAATGCTCGTATTCATCACACAAACATCTGCCCCCACCGGGATTTGAACCCGGGACCTCTCGCGTCGGCGACACCATGAAACCCGGCGTACAAACCACTCGACCAAGGAGGTCGTATATAATACTTATGTACCTATGTAACCAAAAGCGCCTTATTACAAAACGTACACTTAAGTTAAACCTGGACTAAAACTGATGCTGTCACTTTTGCTCGCTAAAAAGATGACAGAGACAACATTACGTTTAAACCAAGACTAACTTTAGTCCGCGTTTCAGAACAAGGCGGAAAGTGTCAACTTTGTTCAAACTTCTGATACACTGCAACTATAGATCGTTAAATTGTAAGCAAAAATCATCATCATCAGCTTAATATTGTCCCCACTGCTGGGGCACAGGCCTTCCCTATGGATAGAATGGAGAGATTGGGCCGTGACCCACCACGCAAAAAAATATTGTCCAAAATTTTTTTTGGACAATATTTTTTTTTATAGTGTGGTATTAAAAAAATACATACAACCCTAAATTTTCTCTTCTACCACCTGCCCCTATTTTTATGGCGGTACGAAATTCGCTGGGTCAGCTAGTATATCTATAATATGAATGATTTATCTTACTTGCCTTAAAATATCACGAAAGATGAAATTTTATTATCACGTAAACAACGCGCGTTTTGCACTGTCATCCAACATGCTCTCTTCTTCACACTCAAGGCGACTTTCATTAAGATATACTTGTGTGTATTATTTGTACGTAGTAATATACAGGGCGTCCCACGAGTTTTTCACACGGAGGGAAAGCTTATTAAATATTGAAGATAAGATGATGGTATAGCGAGATTGGGTCATGACCCACCACGCGGGCCCAGTGCGGATTGGTGGGTGCTAACGACTGCAGATGCAGCCGGGACCAACGGCTTAACGTACGTTCCGCAGCACTCGAGATAGAAGATTTTTGGTCATCCATCCAATGACCAGCCACTGCGAAAGTTGCATAACTTCAACGATCGAGCAAAAACCATACCATTTTCTTTTTCTTCTTCGAAGGCCACACACCAGTTCTCCTGTACTCTTCAAGTTTCTTCAATCTACTCACTTCCCTCTGCTTATCCCTATAAGTTATACTATTAAAGTCAATCTCTTCTTTCGGCCCCACAAACTGTTCTTTATGCACCTGCTTTATCTCAGGCATTAGGGGCAGTTTCAGTAGGCCATAACTGGTTGCTATATGACCTAAGGGCAGCTCTTTGAACTGCAGCAGTAAGTTACATTCATGTTTTGAGTACGCTCTCATATGGGACACGAATGCACGCTGGCCTTTATCAAATACTGATCTGTCCTTTTTCTGTTCTTCGTGCATCATTGATAATACCTGAAAGTTTAAGAAGACATGTGGTTAGTTCAATAACAATTATAGTTAACTAGCGGCCCGCCCTCGCTTCGCTTCGGTGTAGAGCTGAAGTGTAGACTACAGTTTTTGTGGGTGGGTGGTTTTGGTGGGTACATTGTGGGTTACCTAGAATGCGAAGGGATGGCGCTGCCTTGCAGCTTAAGGCTAGGAAAATTTCGACGCGGCTAATAGGGCCGTGGTAGCATAATGTTCAGTGCATTCGCCCGGATAGCGAAGGATGCGGGTTCGAGTCCCGTCCGCTGCCTGGTCCGCGTGGATTTTTTTCTAGTAAACTTTTCTTTAGATTTAAAAATCTAGCAGTTAAATGCTTAAAAAATAAATAAAATCATAATTACAGCTTTTGTTCTCAGGTTTGTATTGACACAATGACATTCATCTATGATTCTTCTTATGCCTGCATGCAAAGTCTCATCCCGATCGATTTAAAATTGACAAAGTTTCATACAAACTTTCATTCCCTATTTTATCCCCTTGGGGGTAGAATTGATCAAAATCCTTTCTTAGGGGATGCCTACGTCATAACATCTACCTGCATGCCAAATTTCAGCCCGAAACGTCCAGTGGTTTGGGCTGTGCGTTGATAGATCACTATGTCAGTCAGTCACCTTTGAGTTTTATATATATAGATTGATTATTACAAGGAGCTCGATTGCGCGAGTCGTTAGCGTGTTAGGCTGCGATCGTTGAGGTTAAGCGACTTTCGCAGTGGTCGGTCATTGGATGGGTGACGAAAAATCTTCCATCTCGAGTGCTGCGGAAGGTACGTTAAGCCGTTGGTCCCGGCTGCATCTGCAGTCGTTAGCACCCACCAATCCGCACTGGGCCCGCGTGGTGGGTCATGGCCAAATCTCCCCATTCTATCCATAGGGAAGGCCTGTGCCCCAGCAGTGGGGACAATATTACACTGATGATGATGAAATAATAGGAAAAGAAATGCTGTGTCGAATTTCGTCTAGTATTTTTTTGGGCTGCAAAGCAAGGTCATCTCTTCGAATCGTAAGTAATCCACAACACAAGGACACGGACATTAGGGCGGTGGTAGCATAATGGTCAGTACATCCGCCCGGATAGCGGAGTATACGGGTTCGAGTCCCGACTGCTGAATGGTGCGCGTGGATTTTTTTCTTGTGAAATTTTCTTTAGATGGTTACCATCTAATCTAATCTAGCAGTGAAACGCTAAAAAAAATGCGAAAAAAACACTTATAGTATGTAAAGTGTCGTTTTTTCGTCAGGTATCTAATCAATGTTTGTTAATTTAACGCATTTGAAACAAATTTTGTTCTAATACTTACTATAACTGGTTTAATAGAACTTATTTGTGATATTCAAATGCATGGTCGATTATATAGCCGTCTCTTTTCCTCGCGGTACGTACCTGCTATATTGCTAACAGCGCATTCAGAATTAAGCGTAGAGTTAAAGAGATAAGGTCTATATTCTTCCGCATGTAGCAATAAGTCGTAAAATTTTACGAGCTCGCATTTCGAAGTTTCATAACTCTTTGACGCATGCGTTTTAATTAAGACCTTATACAGTATGCATTAAAGGTGACTTTCAATGTTTCAATAATGCCTTATAATATTGTTTTTGACTACGCGATCATCTGACGAAGCTCCGTGGATCATCCAATGTATCTTTTGGACTGGTTTCGGCATGATTTTGTTCGTGTTGGTGTATCTAAGGAACTTATAACGTGAATATCGTTGTTCGAAGCCCTTCAATATTTTTTTTAACAATAATAAAAACCTACTACTTCATAAAAACAAAATCATTAAAAAGTAAGAAATAAAGCATGTTCTGTATAATGCGATTCAAATAAGAATAGGAAAGCCAATGACCTCCATCCGTCAAACGTCGCTTGAAAAGTACGGTTTGCAAAAAAATCTCAGAATACATTTTTAGCACTCGGCTGATTCTAGAATAAAAACCAAACATTTTTAAACAAACAATTACAAATGTGGATAATTAATATTAGTTGTTTTTATTCATTTATTGAGCTTTGGCTATGAATAGTTGATAACCTAAATCGTCAACCAAATGTCACTTTATGTTGCGTTCAAAAACTCGATTTAAAACTTTCATTTACATATACTAACAGTACGTTTTTTTTCTCACAGTCTTAATAAAGAAATACTATTAAAAATCGGTTGTGTTCTTTCTGAACCTTAGTAAATTAATTTTATTAAAAAATCTGATGTTTTGTCTCACTTAATCTTAGTAAATAAGTTTTATTAAATAGCAACATTCTTAGCTTCACTCTACCTATTTGGTCTGAATTGACAGCTATGACGTCAAAATATGGCGCCCAGTCGGTCCTATTCTTAGTTGAATCGCATTATCTAATACTAGCAAACCAGTGAACCAAATGTTCACAAAAAAAAAATGTATTTAATTAATTGAGAACTTCGGAGATTTTGTGTGGTTTCGTTTGAAATAGAAATCACGTGATTTCTCGAAAACCGGAAGTGCTACGTTACTCAAATCCGGTTTGTAGTCTTATCTATCTCTTACGGTTTGGCCGCTGAAACAGCACCACGGACGGACGGACTTGTCTATTAGATAAGAGATATTTGGTGGCTTTGTTCATTTTTTTTGAAGTTGGTTAAAAAATAGGTGTGTGTGAGCATGTTGCGTACCTTATCCCTCAGTTTCTGCGTGACTTTGATCTGGTCTTTGGACTGAGTCCAGTCCTGAAGGTCCACCAGCTGGTTGGCCTTGATGAAGGGAACGTATGCGTCCTCGGTGCTGAGTAGGGGCAGCAGAGAATGGCCCGCGGCCCCGGCGCGACCCGCGCGACCCACGCGGTGAACCAGGGCCGCGGGGGACAAGGGAGGCTCCCATTGTAACACCCACTCCACTGATGGTATATCCATACCCCTGACAAAATAGATTTTTATTGTAAGTAAAAAGGGGTACTTATGCCACTGAAAAATTGTGTACAATACTTTTTTGTTACTTTCTTTTACTTTAGATTTTCCTTTGAGTGAAGATAAATTAGTGTATGCAACTGCAGATAATTTAGGTATTAAAACACTCGAGTCCACCTATTTTAATATACTCGAGTGTTTTAATACCCCTTCTTATAAGACAGTCACATAAACTGCTATTGATGTATAACGGCATTTACACTATCCGATTTTAAGGGCCCAATCGAAAGGGCGTGGCCCCTAGCTAAGGTCGCAGTTATTAAACCGCGGCGATCACCCTAGATCGGGTCCCTTACAGAGGTGCCATCAAGTTTGAAAGAGTTGCCGTATCCGATACATCAGATTGTATTTTTAAATAAAAATCATGATTTTGCCGTATTAGCTAATTTTATTTATTTAAATTTATAGGTAGTTAGTACTATTATACGGCAATTACAAACCTTCCGTATGCCGTATAATCTGAAATTATAAGCTCAAATTGCCGTATATTACGGTAATTGCCGTATCAATGGCAACGCTGGTCCCTTACTCCCTAACTCATGTCACACCCTTAGTCGGGGTAAGGGCCCCTTAAAATTAGGTAGTGTAAATGCCGTTTGAGTTTCACTTTAATACTAATAAGAAAAAAAGACTATAGATGTAGTTCTTATTTTCACCACCCGTACTTGGCGCCATTTGGTAATGCGCACCATTTTCTTTTTACCCGACTGCGCAATGCAAGAACGTGAAGTGCGATGCGCAGACAGGGTAGAGTGTCTAGCAGTCTATATAAGGAAAATACATAAATATGTATGTTCCTTTGTGACACACTAGAGACCAGACCCCTGCACCGATTTTGATGAATCACACAATAAATTGTTTTGTCTTAATCATGGGAGTGCTACTAAAGACATGATAGTAATCCAAATTCAATATCGGTCTTATCGCACTAATATTTTAAATGATTAAAAATAAATGGCGTAATAATTCCCATAAGTGCACTCACAAAGGAAATAACTTAAAAAAGCTATTAATGTCTTTCAGTAGTACTTTGTCATTTATTTGTTTCATACTATTTTTTATGGAAGTGCCTAATTTCTTCCTATTGCAATATTTCTGTTTGCAATTTTATTGTATTATTATAAAGATAAGTTAGAGCAAATATAGTAAAAAAATATCCATATTTATATAATAAAAAATATAATATAATTAAAGTTCATACTTTACCTTGCCATCAAATCTGTACACAACAGTATTGTATTCTCTGCTTCTCTGAACTTTTCTAATATTTTAGACCTCTTCTGTTTCATCTTGCCGTGTATGGCAAAAACTTTCTGATCTGGCAAGAACACTGGCAATATATCTGCCCAGTAGTCGACACATGCACAAGTCGGAAGGAAAAATAAACCTTTCATCATTCTCCTGTTCCTAATAAAGTTCAGCAGAAACAGAAACTTGTCTTGAGGTTCCACTATCACATAGAAGTTTTCCAGTAAGATTGGTGTGCTGATGGTGGATTTTTCTTTGACACTAACAACTACAGGGTTCCTTAAGCCAGCTCTGATGAGATCCTGGAGCTCCTTGGTTTGTGTGGCGGAGAAAAGGCCAGTGCGACGCTGGCGTGGTAGGTACTGCAGGATTGTCGTAAGGGTTGCACTGAAGCCTAAATCAAGTAAGCGGTCAGCTTCATCCAAAACTAGGATTTCCTAAAATTTTTATGTTAGTGTCAAATAGGTAAATTAGACAACTGTCTAGCTGTCATGTAATGTCAAAATTCAGGAAACGTAATATTGTTAATAATTCACATTCTGTATAGAACTTAAAGAAAATTTTATCTTTACTGAGGCAAAAGTTCTGACCCTTGGCGCAATAACACTTGGTTGTTAGCCCGAATACGCTTATGGAATTCGGACAAACGACTAAGTACTTGTTTTAAAAATAAAGATTTAGTAGAAAAGAATCTTTTAAAAAGCTCTATGTTAGTGATTTAAAAGTTGACACACACACCAGCTCCTTCAGCCTTCCCGCCAGGTTCAGTTGTTTTCTCTCAGCCAGTAGGTCCATGAAACGCCCTGGAGTACAGACTGTGATGTGAGAACCCTTTTTAAGGCTTTCCATATCAGTTTCCACTGGCCGACCTCCTACTAACAGAGATATAGTTATATGACAAAGCTCTGGTTCTTCGAGAAACAGTTGTATCACCTAGAAATTAAAACAAAAAAATATTATTAGAAAAATCATTCATCATCATCAGCCTATTAATGTCCCCACTGCTGGGGCACAGGCCTTCCCTATGGATGGAATAGGGAGATTGGGCCATGACCCACCACGCGGGCCCAGTGCGGATTGGTGGGTGCTAACGACTGCAGATGCGGGACCAACGGCTTAACGTGCCTTCCAAAGCACCGAGAAGCTCGAGATAGTAAATTTTTTGGTCACCCATCCAATGACTGACCACTGCGAAAGTTGCTTAACTTCAACAATCGCAGCCGAACATGCTAATCAATTGCGCCATCGACCTCCTCAATCCGAAAAGTCAATTAATCATGTCTATTTCCCATTCATGTACTCCAAATTTATTAGGAATTTTTGGCATTATACATGAGAAGAAATATGGATGCAAAGTTTACGAGACTTATTTTTAAAATAGAAAATTGATACTTTGTAATTTATATTCTGGGGTGGTGGGTTAATTAACAAAGGCTTAAACAAAGGCTAAGCTTGTGACTTATCAAACAAGTATTCGTAAATGATGTAGTCATTCAAATCACCTGTTTAATTTAATAAATACAGGCAAAACACTGCATAACACACTCAAATTCGTCGCTTAATAAGAAAAACTATTAAAATAACACCCCAATATTGTACCTATACTCCAAAATAAATGTTATTTTTTTTTCATTGTTTTTTTTTCTACGTAGATACCAACTTATGGCCAATAAATACTTTTTCTTTCTTCTTTCTTTCTTTCTTTATTATTATTAGGATTACATTTCACAGTTTTATCCAATGGTTTTATTAAATTACCCACCTTGTAAATCTGAGTTGCAAGTTCTCTAGTTGGGGTTATGACAACAGAGTAAACAAAATCTTTTTTTAAAGGATCATCTTTCTGTTTCTTTAACAGCATTTCCAGCATCGGCACAACGAACGCCAGAGTTTTTCCTGAGCCAGTCACAGCTTCAGCAACCACGTCCTTGCAAGTAAGGATGAGAGGTATCACTGCAGCCTGGATCGGCGTCATAGTCTTAAAAGATTGCTTTTGTAAGCATCTCAGGACCGGCTCTGATAGAGCCGGTTTAACTTTTTCCCACAATTTATTAACCATATCCAATAAATTTAAAATAATTCATCAAAACGAACAAAACAAGAAGATATTCATATACCAAATGCAATAATGCACAGATTCACAAGAGACCATGTGTTTTTGACATTTGTATAATTTTCTTGTAATATCCTCCCTTTGAGGATACGTAAAGGATTACTGAAATCATACAGCTTCACCTATGATATTTTTATTTGCTTCCTTTCTGGAGATATTACATCAGATTGGCTTTAGGGATTTTACTCATCATACGATAGATTTTCTTGTAGAACACATTCACATCAAAAGTAATATTTTAGTAGAGTAATAACATGTGAGTTAATTTGCAAAATTAATAAAAATATTCTATATAGGGTGAAATTGAATGTTTCTATGAAACTTCGTGAGATTGTTGGGTTATGTGTATAGAGTATGCCTGTCTTTTTTCGGATTTTTTGAAGTATATTTTTTTCATGTATTTATTTATAATTTGTGTATTTTTATGTCCTTTCCTCGTTTTGAGTAGTTATTCATTTTAAACAAACAAACTTATATATCCAGTGAAAAACAACTAATAAATAAGCACTTCTAAAAAACGGAAAAACATTGAAATTCCACCGCGGGTCAACGACCGACCGCGCCCGCCAGCCGTTGAGTGAGAAGGTACCTAACTCTACACAGAGCTAAACTGACTCGTTTGATTCCACACAATACAATAAAATCGTCTTAGATGCCTTTAAATACTTAGATGAAATAATAAGCACAAATGTCATCTTCTCTTAAGCAGAGAAAAACTTTAAAAGTTAATAATAATTTTGTCACGATTGGAAAAAGGCAAATGTTAAACAAAAAGTAATACTTATTGCTTAATACTTGGGTCAGAATGAAATTTATAACTAGGTGTTCAAAAGTACTTACGAGACCGGCGATGTAGGTAGGTACAACGAGGAACGAGGAACATATTCATTTTTTTCACTAGAACTTTTTATCAAATCAATCACACTGGTAGTACGCAATTAGTTGTTTCTAATCAAAAAGTATTTACACTAGCAATAAAAAGAGACTTAAATCATTATCTGCAAAATTGTTGCTCTAAACCACCATTTTGCTGCAAACAAAGGTAGGCATGTTTGCGGACGTGTCTTTTCACCTTTTTTAAAGTGTCCTTATCACTACTCACTGCACAAAATGCAACTTCTATGGTTTGGGGACTCATTCGTAAACCAAACCTACTTCGTCACACTCGCGATAGCAGTACACCATCTCTAAATAGGTATTCTTGGTTCGTATACCGAGGCATAATGAAATTATCACAGTGTATGTCACTAAGTCAAAAGATGCGCACGCGCACGCGCGATTGATATACTTGCGTCTGCGTTTTGCATGCAATCAAAGCAAACCACCGCGTGCGGGGAAGAGGGGAGGTGGGCGGAATTCACATCATCAAAGCCGCCGCAACCGGCGCTAGTTGCCAGCGTGCGGCACGCCGCCCGCCCGTGCTTGCCGCAAAACAACATATTATTATGTGTGTGTGTGTGTGTGTATGTGTGACTGTGGCTGTGATTAAATGTGTTCGGAATTTCATGACGTGGGCAAATCAGACACAAAGAGTTCCTTCCTTCACTAAGCTCGTAAGTTATACCGATTTACTCTTAATTTTAAGAAGATTTATTTTATTGATTAATTACCTGTGCTTTATGAAATAATATTCAAAGATATTGTGTATCAGTGAATAAATAATTATAATATAGCATCTAAGACTATTTTATTGTATTGTTTTTAAATAGTGTGGATCAAAGCGGAGAGTAGTTAAGCGCCGAGTCATCTATGCGTGTAGTTAGGTACCTACAGGCGGCCGCCGGTCGTCGCCCCGACCGGCGCTGATCTTGACTGGAGGCATAATGAAGGCATTCATTAAGTTTCCGTTTTTTTAGTAGTGCTTATTTTAAGTTGCTTTATAACTTCTATGTAGACGTGTTTACAATGAATAATTACTCATAAGGAAGAAATGACAAAAAATAACCAAATAAAAAATTAAAAAACGAAAAAAATTATTTTAAAAAATCCGAAAAAAATCAGGCATACTCTATACACGTAACCCATCAATCTCACGAAGTTTCATAGAAACATTCAATTTCACCCTGTATACTTCTAAACGTTTTTATGTATCTACTTTTTCTTTCTCTTATTAACTTAGTTCTTCGTTAAACTACCTTCCGCAAGTTTATTGGACTTAAATTTAATAATACAGATTTTAACACTCCGCAATACTGATTTTTTTGGTTTAGCAGATGTCAACACTAAATAGCCATTCCGCCACAAACTATATCGGGTTACAAGTGTGGACTATCCACCTACCCGGCGCGTAATGAAGAACTCTCAAGCAAAGACTCGACCATTTAACGATAGGGTAAATCTAATTTAAAATATGTTTTTATTAAAATACATTTTCTATGGCTCTGATTTCCATTAGCTGTGGTTGAGTAGCGAGCTGAAATTTTTGTCACGCAAAGTATTAATTATTAAAAACACGTATACATAATCTTTTTAGGCGGAACCGAATAGAATTCGAAAAAAAATATTGAAAATTAATATTTTTGTAGGTTAGTCAATTTTGACAGCGATTTTGATCAGTGCTGCCATTTATTCATGCAAAAATAACATGTTTCTCGTTATCTGTGGTAAAATACGTTTATTATGTTGGTATTATTGTCAAAATGACAGACCGCAATTTTGTGTTTGTTTTGAGTAGCGGTGGGTCGTTCTCAAATTTTCTGACGACGAAACGCAACCGTTTTCTCCTAAACGAAAACTAGTCCTCGAAACGGTTCTCGTTCGCAACTGGTTTTGGTTGCGGCTGGGTGACGCAACGAAACGACACGCGACCATGAAGCTATAGTAATAACTGGAGGCCAAACTCAGTACTATTAGTTGAAGCCAAGTAGGTATGACCGCAATTGACCTTTCGTTGGACTTCTGGGTGGCTATCTTATAAACGTAAATTTGCCCGAGACCATAGGCATATTCGCTGCTTTATTTTAAGGCCACTAAGAGACTTGTTCTGAAAAGTATCGGTGGATTTGCAATTGTCTTTTTAGTTACACACTCTAACCCCCTTATTAATAAACGAAGACTACGCTTTGATTAGTTAGTTCATGATTTGTCTCTATTTTTTGAATGACAAATGGCACTCGAGTGACATGAACAAAACACGCCGTAACTAGTCTAAGCTTATTCCTTGTTTCTTAATAAGGGGGTAAATGTAAAAAAAAGTTAACGAATAGGCCGGCAGGCCCCATCAGGTCAGTTACTGATATTAGCTATTTTAGACATTCAATTATAATATTAGTTAGCAAATCTCTGCTTAGCAAACTTTTTGACAACACTAATAATATGAACTCTCTGACGTTAACATTATTAGACTTGAAAGTTTATCTATGAATTAGTTTGTACATTAAAACTACTCTGAAATCGAATCCAAGATGAACGATTTATAATTTTATGCAACCATAATATTTAATTAAACCTTTACTAAAAAATTGTACGCAAATATAATATGCAGTTACATTAAATAGAAATTCGTGACCTTTGTTGACTCATTTCAATCTAATTATTCAATATTATCGTTGTGAAAATCCATGGGGGAGGCCTATGTCCAACAGTGGACGTCTTTCGGCTGAAATGATGATAATGATGATTCAATATTCCCGAGTTATTTTAAAATCTGGTGAATTATTACTAAAACTATTTATTTGTAAAATTATATTCCAGTATAACAATTACAATTGTTATGGTATAACAATTGCCTTGATTAAATCATCGGATTTTTTTTTCTTAATTTCCCTATTATTGTGGTAGCCGGCATTTTCAAACAATGGTAACACAGCATGTGTCAATATGGTGGATGTCAATATCTAATTTTGTCGACTCGAAAGTTGTGATTCATATTAGGACTTTTCTCGCTATCAAAACGTGAAAAATGGTTCAAAAATGTGTAGGGCTAGGTTGTGGAAGTAAACACTATCCTGGATATTTCTTGATATTTCACAGGTGAGTCATAAGTTATCTTTATTGATAATTGCTTATATTTTATCAAAAAAAATCTTTTTAACACTTATTTTAACATAAAACCCATTATTTTTCTATCATTTACTTTCCAAATTCCTATTATTCAAAGGTTTCGGTACTAATATTTCAGAATTTTACTAACTAAACAACAATTGGCATTGTGAAATAAACACTAAAAGGGTGACCATGAAAGTGGTTTTCGTAATACGAAAACCCTTAAAATAGGACAGAATTATTTTATTAGTACGAGCACATTGTAAAACACTTATGTTATTATATTTTATTCATGTTACGTATTTATTGTTGCCTTCATTGCTATTAACAATAAAACACAAACTTACTATTTTTATTCTATTTTTAGTTTTCCTAAGGAACCAACAAGGAGAAGCCAAGCTATCAAGTATAAAGTGTATGAAAGTGCAAAAATATGCAGTAATAATTTCTGTGGCTACTGGTTATATATAATGGAGAATTGATTAAAACATACAGCTATTCCTTTTTATTCTGATGTGGTAAGTAAAAATCTATATATATACTTCAGCCATCTTATGGAAAAAACTTTTATAAGCAAACCCATATTTAACTTAAAAAATAAGTTTTTTATTACATGTTTTAGAAATATTTGTACTTCATTAATAGTTTACTTATATTGTTTAAGTGTGATATATGGCACTAGAAGTCTCTATTTGTAGAATAATTACGAAGTGTTGAATTTTTTGTTTACATACATTCTTGCCTAGCTAAGATGGCTGGAGTACCTATAGATTAGAGTTATACATCCGGGCAAACATACATGCATGAAATAAATTTATGATGATGACGTTTATTACTTTATGAGGGAAACGCCAAAAACGTCATAAAACTGTACTTTTTAGTAACTTATAAATGTAAATATTAAAATGATTGTGTATACCGTTGTTTTATTTCTATCTACAAAATATAAATTACACCTGAGAATGTAAGAAAAGCAATGTGATGAGTAAATCCGTGGAGTGACGTGACATAGGTGTAAAATATTTGCTGAGAGCTTATAACAATAAAATTTGGTAGGATTGTAGGTGAGGAGAAATTGTGTTTTATTCTGCATCACACCGCCTGGCAAATACTATACTAAAATTAATTGATGAATGTGAAATACGGTACCTATATTATTTTCATTTTAAAGTCGGTTCATTTAAAATATTGGTCTGTAAGTATTAAATTTCCGTTTTGTATGAAGAATTTTGTGCAAACCCGAATTTCCATACTACTAAGTTTTTGATTAATTTGAAATTGGCTTGTATTTTTTGTTTTTAAATAACATTGGGTTAAATAAATAAATTTAGATTCTAATGTAACACAATCTTTCCTAAGCCAATAAAATGAAAAAAAAATATCAGTTAAGTAAACAATAGCAAAATTAATGTAAATCTATAATTAACAATGGCCATTTTACTTTGATACATGACTCCGTAATTAATATCTTCGCCAATGTGTAAATTTTTGATAAATCAACACAGATATTAATACGTTTTTTACTAGTTTAAAAAAGCTTGTCTCCTTTCCTTAGTGGTTGTGTGGATACCCTATTTAGAAAGAGAGGAGGGGGACCTACGGAGCGAGATAGAATGCAAATATATTTGCTTCAAGTAGGTATGGAGGAGTTTGGCCTCCAGTATTATCTATAACTTCATGCACGCGACGGTCGAAGGAATGTAACGCAACGAAACTTAACTAAATGAAATCTTGTTAACGTTCGTTTCGTTGCTGCGAACGAGACGACGAAACATCGAAAGAAATGTAGTGTTATACGATAATCGACTTTAAATGTTCAATAATAAAGATTATATTATTGTAAAATCAAAGCTTAATTATCATAGAACGAAACGGCCTCATATCATTGCGTTCTATTATAGACTGTATTTACTTCATCATAAAGTACATATTGGCGTGCAGACAATCCGAGGACTAGTTGTTCGACGAAGACTGTTTTGATTCGAAACGTAAAACGGTTCTATCGTCGTGGAACACAAAACGGTCCTTGAAACCGGTTCGTCTTTAGAACGCTCACACCTAGTTTTGAGTGAGATCCGTCAGGCACAGAGGTCAGGCAGTCTTTACACAGAACATTATTGCTCTAGGAGTCTTTGTGTTCATTGCAGTTGAGAGCGTTTTCTCCTCCTGTTGATATTAACATCGTTTGATTATCATGGCGTCCTACTTAGCGGTGATACTTCACACTAGGTTAGATTAGGTTAGTGTTGTAGCCGGCGAAGCGCCAGAAAGAAAAATTAGTTCGTACCACACTCTCGAAGAAACATATGAATACATCACACCCAACTTCTAATTTAAAAAAAAATATCAATGAAAACTGTAGACTAGGCTGTATGGGCATTGTTCCCTTTGCCTTCTCTAAAAAGGGATAACGATAAAAAAGTGGACTTCGTGGTCTTACTACATGTTTACTTACGTACAGCACATGGCATTTCATGAATAAACATAAAGCGAAGGTAAATAAAATCGCTTCTAATATAAATCAACAAGAAAGTTGACATAGGTACCTACATAATGCCTAAAGCAAAAAATAGTGTAGATAAATTAAAGCATCCTAACAGTAGAAAAACTTTGTCTCTAGCTAAAAAATTAAAAAGGGATGAGAAAAGGGACCAAAAAAGACTTGGTACCGATATAAAGAATAATCTAACCGGTGAAAAATTATTGTGGTTCAAAGAAAGGTTGCCTGTGGATACTCCTATACTTTCAAAGGAACAAGTTTTAGAACTTATTCTGTCTTACTTAGAGCGATTCGATGAGGAACTACAACAAATTGCATTGAAAAACTCCATCGGACATAGAAGGAATCGTCAACATGCTAGCCGAGAAGATATTATCAATATAACAAAGAAAAGAGAGCAGGAAGAGTTTGATACATGTGGCTTAGAAATGCCAGACCTAATGGATCGTCAGCAGATAGAGGTTATCAGAAACTGGAATGGGGAATTGAGATACTTACAACATTTTAAGTTAAAAAGAATTGCTAGAAAGCATCTAAGTTAGTTGCATTAGCAAAGAAATAAATTATTTTGTCTAAAATACAGTACCCTATGTTACCAAAAAACTGTCTTTAACTCAATGATAAACCTCTTAAATACAGCCAAACTTTTTTGTATTTTGAAGGACAAAACATGTTTTAAATTTTTTAAACTATATAATAAAATATGGAGTTAATTTTGAAAATTTATTCCAACAGATAATATGATTATTTACAATACAATACAACAGCAATAATAATACATATGACACCGCAGTCAGAGGAACACAAAGCTTCAAATAAATGTACTTACGTAACCCATACTCAGTTCACACAAACTCAAATATTAACATTCATTAAGTAGCACATAAATCAGTCACCATTTCATAGATCATAAAATCAATATCAATACAAGTATATAATATTCAATCAAATTTTATTGTATAATAACTTAGGAAGCAAAGTAACTTAGGGAACAGTATACACATTCCAATAATTGACTGAATAAATGTGTAACCAAACAATGCAAATGCTTATCATAAATTATTACAACATAAAGAAGATAAAGTTACGTTAGAATTACCTAAATCATCATTATAGCTAGTGGTACTAATTGTGTCTAGAAAAGGTTCTAATAAAATGACAAAGAAACTAAAGTTTAGTACAATATTTTTATCTTAACTTTTTATTTATAAGCATCATCTCATGACAAAATGTGAGTCTTAACATTATTCTATAGTGTTAAAAATAATTTATTTTTTGCATGATTTTTATTTCAATTGGAGGATCCATAATATGATAACATGATTAAGGTAGAAATATATAAGTACCTATATGAGTAAAATATCTATTAACTCAATAAGGCCTGCAAAAATAAACTGTCAAATAATCAATATTTATAATTACATTCAGATAATATAATTATCAAACATAATCTTGGTTAGTATGCAAAATATTTAGGATATATGTATATATAAATGAGTTGTAATTCATTTACGGTTCAGAATAAATCTATATAAACAAAAACCCTTAGACAGTTATATATTTTCTATCCTAAGCAAACTAGGCACTTTAATAGTTTATTAAAACACCTATTCTTTAGGTATTCACCTATCTTTTTTGTGGTATATTAGCTTTATCAATAGAAATTCCAACTGTTTCAAAATAATTTAATAGTCATTTATATATTATTTACATACTTTACCACACTTTCATATTAGGTTATTTAAGGCTAAGATGGACAGATTTGTCATAAAAAAATACAATTCATCAAACACTAGACAAAATAAATAGACTAAAAGTTGTAAATCTCACTCTTATATTAAATTAATGCATAATATGAATTAATTTCTGATAGTGATATTTATTCTTTACATTTTTAGTTTCATTGCCTATATGTTATTCTCTTCTTATAATTTGTAAGCAAACTTGCTTCTTCGGCATGTACTTTTATATCATATTACTTTACTGTAATTAGAGAGCACATAATATTTTCACTAATCAGCGACATAGCATGGGTTTTGGCATTAGCACAAAAAAATTTTTTCCTATTAAACAAACCCTACATTGCCGTTGCCATGCTACACTACTGACTACAGTATCCTAGAGGTGATATTTTTACTCCTCTTTGATATTTTACTCCATTTTACATCTACCTTATTATAACTATATGAGTATGAACAATCAAGTAAATAATGGGAGATGGTAAAAGTCATAGCCTCTTTGACCACGAGCAGCGAGCCATATGTAAACCACGTGGTAGGCTCCAGGTACAAAGCAGATCATACCTGCTACAAAAAAAACTGCTCCCTGTAAACCATTTTCAGGTTCAGCAACCGCAAATGCACCCATACCCAGGAGACCTACTCCAACTAATAGGAGTATGACAGCTGCGCAAACTGTTTTCCAATTCTCCCGGACTTTTGGATGATTCCAACAATACATTGATTGTGTTGCTTCCACATATTCATGTATGAGTGAGTCCGAATCCCTCGATGTTGTGTCTTCTGTGCATTTGTATGTTTTGCTATTGTACAAGGAAATTAATAAGATCAGTTTAAAAATATGTTTATTATTTCTATGAATGAAACTCTTAGTCATATTTGTTTATCCCAATATGCTCTGGTGTGACTAAGCAACGTAATAATGACTTGTGACGAAGAATGTATCATTTTTTTATGACATATATGTCATAACAAGTAGGGTAATAATTGTTTTATTAGATGATGTCTTGATGCTATTATTGGGAATTAGCAAGCAATTAGTCAGCAGTTAACACAATTTAACATCGTCAAGTACAACGGCCTGAAACTATAACTTCGTCCGCCTTTGCCCCATTATGGAATAATGAATCACAAAAGGTCAAGAACATTTTGCCAAAGTGAGACAATGAAAATACATACTTTCAGCGTTAAAGCTAGGGCATCAATCGTTTGTAAGCCTCTTACTAATAATAAATAAGATATACATTATACCTTGACAAAAAATCGCCACCATTCTTGAATTTATTTTGTAAAGGGGACCGATCGCCCGTCGCTCCGTACACTTTAATGGCTTCGTCGGTCTCTTCTTCAAAGGCATCATCAATAGAGAACCGTTTATCACTGTTGCCAAACGATCTCGTCATTGTAAAATTTAATTAACAGCGAACAGATGTAATACAAACATAGCAACTTTCGCACAAAGATAAAATACAGCTGTCAGTTCATCTTATCAACATACGCCATATTGAAATATCGATCGAACGAAACACGAAATGTTTAGAAATTTAAGTTAAATAAAAACATATTCTTATTAATTCTTAATATATTTTAGAGTATCATAAAAAACTAAAGAAAGCAATACAGTTATAGAAAAAAAAATGCACATTTTATCATGTGCGACGTTTGTGAAGATTTAATTATGTTTAAAAACGTTATGCTGGCATTTTACCTTGCTATTCGTTTTCTATTTGTAAACTTGACAACAGTCTTTCCTTTTCATTCTCTATAAAGCATGATAAAGACAACCCCACTGACAAATAACAAATACGAATAGCCAAATGAAGAGTAATCCAGTGAGATACTTGGTCCAAGGTCTTTTTCGACACTTGTTTCACTCGAGTTTTTAAGATGTTATTCAACCCGAGTGCGATTTTTCATTTTCAACTTGATACACTTAAGTCACTCGACTAACATTTGGCTTGAGTCGCATCCCTAGCCAAAATAAGCTCTGTATTCTGTGATCAAGGGAAATCAATCAAAATCTGTGTGTCAAATCAGCCTTCAAGTCACGATACATAAATAATCACTTTTATGTATTTCTATTTAGATTTTAGTGCTGAATTCCATAAATTTTATTAGGTGTTCTTTGCTTTCTCTGAGAAATGTGGTAAATGGTGGTAACATAGTCAAGAATCTTGATATTTACAAGAAAGAAACTACGTCTTAAATAATGATAAAAAGGCCCAAACCCGGCGAAGGAGAAGATGACTTACTCCAGATGCAGGAAGATTTTTTCAAAGAGAAGAGCCGCAATCCAAACCATCAGCCAGCTGCTCAAGTTACTAATTTACGTTCATCACAACCAACCAAAAGAACGAGTATAGACGATTCGAGTGGTAGAAAACCTTCTAAATACGCCGAATCGAAAGGTCTTAGAAACCACAAAGAAAAACGCGCTCGCATTGAAAATGCAGAAAACTCATGTTTGGGTGATATTTATGAAAAAAATCAGGAGAGTATGTCTCAAGTTTCAATTGCTGAGGATGATAAGGTCTACTTCCCAGTAGTTATTCCATCACTATTAGGAGACATAAAAGAAAGAAATATTGGTGATTTTGTTGATCCTGAGGAATCATCAATGCCAGCTGAGGGGTTTCCAGTTGCAAGTAAACGTGATACGAAAATAAATGATAATACTAACAGAGTCACAGAGTATCTTAAGTTTCCATCAAATTCTAAGACCCATGAAATGGATGTTGATCAACCATCCACATCAGAGAAAAATGATAAAACTAATAGTTTCAAAGAGCCTACTAATCTACCAAGAAAAAGATTTGTTCTCTCATCTGAGGAGGCAAATGAAATCCACAATGAAAACATAAACATTTTGAGTAAGATGACAGAAGATGAAATATTGCAAGAGCGTCAAAAATTACTTTCTACTCTGGATCCAAAATTAGTAGAATATCTTAAAACTAAAAGGAAACCACTGTCTGCAGAATACTTAGAGCATGAGAAAGATTATGTTCGGAAAGAAACAGAAAAAATGGATTTACAACAAAGTGTGGATAATGATGATGATATTTTATGGGAAAATGACATCTTATCCCATCCTTCACTGAATAAGTGGTTACATTTTGATTCTTTGGAGAAAGATAAGTTAGAATGGATGAAAGGTATCAAGCAAAGTAAGAAGGTACAGCCTAATGAGCCATATGAAGCAAGATTTGACTTTAATGGATATTTGATGCCATACACTGTGGAATATACAGAGAATACAAAACCTCTTTTCCATCATGGTGAAGAACCACATCGTCCGGGTTATACAATTTCTGAGTTGATTGAGCTATCCCGGTCTGCTGTCAGCCAGCAAAGGGTGATGGCACTGAACTCTATAGCAGGCATACTTGAGTATCATAACATTGGTACTTACAAGGATATAATAGAAATACCTTTGACCAAGTTGTTTTTTGTAATAAGGTTTGCCATGGATGAGAATAAAACAATAATCTTGGAGCCAGCTCTAAAAGCTATGAGAAATTTGCTTTACAACAAGGTAGATGAAGCGTGCCTTGACGCACTCATAGGATTTGAAGAGGGCACTCAGCAACCGTGTCTGGAAAATGATAAATCTGAAATAGATGAATTGGATTCGAATGAGACTGAATTGAAAGACTTCCACTTGGCGGAAATTGACATTATAGCAGCCCTATTGAGGACAAATATTCTCCAGAGGTTATACTATATCCTAGATATAATCAAACCCAGTTTTAATTGTGTACAATATTGCATGCAAATTTTAATAAGATTGGCTAGAGATTCTGTCGAAACAGCAAATCAAATAGTTGCAACTGATAATTTAATGAAAACAGTAATTGATAAATTTGTACCCACAACAGATATCAACTTTACCTTCAAACCTCAAATTGTATATAATGGTAAGCCAATATTGGCCGCATTAAAACTTCTTCGGGTACTTACTTTACAATCACAAGATATTGGTGTTAATTTGGTAAACAATCATGAGCTTTCAAAACCAATATCAAATTATATTAGCTCTGGTGTGGAAAGCACCTATGGCTTGAGGATTCAAATTGAATCATTTTGTATTCTTACAAATTTATTGCAGTATGATGTTGGGACAGAACTCTCCAAGTCACTTTTTCCAGTTATCATTATGGCATTGTACAAACATGTTAAAGGAACTAATGTTTATGTGGATACATCTTTAATATCTATCACACATGCATCAGTTGTACTGCAGTTTTTTAATATATTTTTACGTTTTAACATGGTCAACATGCACAGTTTTAAACAGCAAATTTATCCATTGCTCAAGGAAGGTGTGCAGAAATGGCTTATGCAACTGGCAAACTCGGAACATTATACATGCGGTCATTCAAGGCTTCTAAGTTCTATTTTGGACTGCTGTAAAACTGTATTAATAAATGAGAATATTGAAATTAAGGTTTTAGGTGGATTATTCAAAGTATTAGCAGCTTCCAAAAGTTTTGAACAAATGTTAGAGCAGTTAGTGCCTTCTTCAAATTTACTATCAGATATTAAAAACAGAGAGCTGTACAGTGCAAAAAACTTGACAAATCTTGGATCTTGTGTAGTGGATAGAACACAAAAAGTACTACCAATATTGAGCACCTTGTCCCCGTTGCCATTTTTAGCTTCACTTTACAAGTTGTTGAGTTATATAAATGATGTCAACTTAACACAAATGTATATAGAACGTTTGAGTAATTATTTGAAACTTTTAGCCAAGAAAGTACCATCACTATGTGACAACTGGTTCAGTAGAATAGAAACGGAATTTCTATTTTTTGTTATCAAAGTAGCAATTCAGAGCAACATCCCAGAGTCAAATAAGGAATTAATTTATGCCGTTGCAAATAAAATGTGTTTCATTTTAAGGATTGACAAGAAATTTGATTTGCAATATATTTTCAGGAATGTTGTATTTAATAAACATTGGTTTACAGCTGAAACACTATTGAATCTGGTGTCCTTGTCTGACACTGAAGGATTTTCTAAAGTTTTGACATCCATTGATAATATCAGGCTCTGCTACAGTAAAGTTGTGAACACAAATTATAGGCACACTGGCCCCAGTATAACATTACGTAAATGGCAGGAACCAATACTACCCAGAGACTGGATATATTTGCCGATACTGATGTTGTATGGTAAGAGCCAAGAGGTTACAGTCGTTGGTCAGTACGCAAGGCCAGTGTCGATGCATGAAGCTACTCAAAAGGAACTTGTGATTGTTTGCAGTTTAGAATGGATATTATTTTATGAGTCATGTTTCCCAGATCTACTGAAAGACATTGATGTCACCGACAGGTTTTGCAGGATAATGTGCGTGTTCCTTTGTGACAACTCTCTGTTTTTGGATAATAATGTAAAAGTATTGCTGCGGAAATGTACTCAAATTTTATTCAAGAGAAAATCCTCGTTTAATTTTGATATGCCACTAACTGGTTTGCATAACTTCCAAGACTTTTACACCCAGCTGTTGGAGCAATTTCAGTCTGTAAGCTATGGAGACGCGACGTTCGCCGCGTGCGTTCTTGTGCCTTTAGCTCAGAAGCACAATGTAAAATGGCGCAAGATTCTGTGGTCTGAGTACGCTGGCTGTCTCAGAGCTCTGGACTGTCCAGAAGAATTACTATGCTATGACATGAATCAATACTTGTATCCTGTAGAAACAGACGAATCTCTGATTAGGTCCTATTGTCAAGCACTTTCAGGCAGCCTAATACGGCCCGATACGATTGTTTACAGGATAGCACGACATCATGTCGAAATGTTCAATAAAATTAAGAAACAAACTGACGCCGAGTAATTGTAAGAAATAAAATATTAATTTATGATTTAAATGAGCTTTTTTCTAACTATTTCCTTAAACAGTAAGTTTTCCGTTTGGAACTCGAAGGCCCAAGTAGCGCGTTGGATCTTCTATCGTAGTTTCTGACGGGTGACCCAGACCAACAATTTGTTTTCGAGCTCCTCCGTGATTCGGGAGGCTCATTAAATGTTGGTCGAAGCTGCATCTGCACTCTGCAGTCGATAGCAGCCATTTATCCGCATTGGGCTCGTGCGGTGGGTCATTCATGGCATGGACCAATGTCCCTATTCTGTTGGGAAGGCTTGTACCGTAGGGAGGGAAGGGACATTAATAGGCTGATATCACAACCCGCATTTGATGGGGTTAATCAATGGGGATGGATGAGTGGAATAACTCTAAAATCATCCCACGCTAAATAAAAAAAAATGTGTGCGTGTACTAGTGTACACACGTAAGAAGTGAAACTTCTTTATGGCCTTATTTTTCGAAAAATGATCTACATGCAACTTTCCAGAAATTGGTTAAATAAAGTTAAATTAGATAAAGTTTAAACAAAAGGATTTTATTATCATAGTCATGAATACAAATTACTGCCTATGAAACTGTCATGATTACACGGCTCAGTAATCTAAGGCACATGTTCCACCTCCGACGATGAACGATAAGCGAGTAGAAACTAGAAACGAATTGGCAGTCCTGAGTTAAAATGCACGCGCACGGCTTTTGACAACCAAGCCAGCTTAACCGAGCGAGTATAGCTGAGCGAGTATCGCAGAGCGAGAATCGCTGGGCGAGTATCGCTGAGCGAGTACCGCTGAGCGAGTATCGCTGAGCGAGTATTGCTATGCGAGTTTGGCTGAGCGAGTCTTATCTTTAATAACTATTGTCACTCAGCTACAAACGAGTAGAGAGAGTTCTCGCCGGCGACAGTGTGATCATTCAGCTATCAACTATTAATATAAAAAAAGATGGCGCGTAACGGAAAAATGTGACGCGTAACCGAAAAAATGTGACGGTAATTTTTTTTCCAACGCCGATAAAGAAGTTTCACTTCAAAATATTCTACTCTGAAAGCGTTAATTTCCACTATGAACCCCGGGAACATACGCTACCACAATCGCCACGGTTGCCTCTCAGCTTTTGGAGTGGACCTGTTATTTTTGGTAATCTATCCTATAGCCGCCTGTGGGTAAAAATTAAGTTAATTTTTATATACATTGAGAGAGCACGGAGAGCGTCCGCTGCAACATGCTGGCTCGCAGGTTCGCTCGCTGTACTGCTGAACTGAACTCTCTAGAGTTCAGTAATTTTAACACAGCAGGTTTGTTATGTTAAAATTACTTTGTTCAAGGCCTACTGCCAGTCTCCGTACACGTGCGCACTGTGGGTCAGCTAAACGCAGCGGACATACAACGCTATCCGTGTCCAATATAATAATGGATTGAGAATGTTGTTGGGGCTCCCACGCTACTGCAGTGCATGGGGTATGTTCGCAGATGCCCACTTAGACGACTTCCCTTCAGTGATGCGCAAGAGAATTGCATCGTTGATGCACAGGGTTCGTGGGAGCGCCAACAGTATTCTCGATGTTATCGGGTAAAAACCGGAGTGTATGGCACTGGGTACATTTACACGTTCATGTGACCGGGTGCCTCAGAAGGTATTATATAGTATATTATGAAATAACTTTGTTTTTATAATGTACTAACATAGTTTTTAAGTTTTGATTGTTACTAACATTTCTATGGATGTAGTATCTGAAATAAAACATTATTAATACCTATTATAGGTATGTAAATGTGTTGGACAAGCGTATGGCCCGCGGCCACCATGGCCATAAAGTGCGTTAAGGCTTATTAGACCAATCCGGCACACGACCAGCACTGCCTCAATTAGTGCGGTTGACATTTTTGTATGGATTTCAATGTGTATACTCTCATCAACTTCGTACCATCACAAAGAAGTGTAAACCGTGTAACGATTTCTAACACTTTAATTTACGCCACCAATGAGGAGTCAACTACTCGGAGTTCACCCGTGTTTAGACCACCTGACGTTCACTGGTTGACAATGATGCGTACACCCGACGTTAGCTGGTTGACAACGTGGCGTCCACTTGAGTTTGTTCGAATATCTTTAAGGCAAATGTTTGTAACTATAATTAATACGAGCATTTTTACCTAAGTCATGAATGTTTCTTTGCATTTCTAGATAAATATAGTTTAAAAAAATACACGCGGTTCAGGCATCAGGACCGGGTTCGAATCCTGTCTGATGCCTAGACCCTAAAAATTTCACTCTCGTGTGTTTAAAATGACTATTTTAGGCAATTATTTAACTGCAAATCAAAAAATTGGCGTTTTGTATAAAATTAATTCCCAATCCTATGCAAAAATACACAAACAGCAAAATAGTTGCCTCAAGATATTGTAATAATAGTAACAATTTTAAGTTCGTCGCATAATATATATAAATAATGCATCGCCATTTATTTAAAACTAAAGCTTTTTTAACAATGCATATCTAATAATAACCATCTCACAACAAATCTATTAGGTACATTTTTTTTAAACAAAGCTGTCAAATTTTTATTTCATACAGCAGTTTACCTAATTGAGTGAAACACCATTTTAATTGACATAAGAATCTTATTATTTATTTATTACGACACAATGAGATCAACAATCAACTAAATATGATACAAAAAATAACGTCTACTTTTCGGTAATTAAAGCAGGTCTTGCTCTAGCGGGACGTCCACGCTTCCTTTTTTGTCCGATTGGTATATTTTATTTTTGGTCTCTTCAGGTGCTGTCACATACTTGAGCCGGATCGCAAGACCATGATATGCTTGCATTTATAGTTTTTGAAAAATGGGGGCAGGTACATTTACCATACATCCAGGCACTTCTTTGCGTGGACAAGACAACTCTACAATATGCAAAAGCATTTTTTTTATAACCATCAAAAGTGTCCCAGTGTTGAGCAAGTTTTGAAATGCATAATAGGAAACCTGTTGCAAAAATAGTTGTTTTGTTATGAGTGTGAGTATTATGCCTCGAAGCCCTGGTTAATTTTCTGTGCCATCGGTATATTTGCTGTGCAATCAGTAGTTATATTTGATATTAAAATGTACCTACTACAGATTAGATGTAGGTATATTTTTCATTTATTTTTAGCACTAGTTTTGTTCAACAATGTTTTGTTTGCAGTAAAATAATTATTTTGACGTAAAAATATGTAAATTACTTTTCGAGTTAATGTTAGTATAACTGAAGGGGTAACCCCCCCCCCCCCCTCACAAGAAAAATCCCATAGCAACGCCAATGCTAATACATATTACAAATATAGGTCATTACCAGAACAAATTAAAACTAACCCGACTACTCACGTACGTGAGTTCTACTGTAATACTCAGCTGCTATATGAAAAATATACCATTTTATGCAATAACAGCATAATTCAGATCGACTTCTACTTGATAAGTTTGTTAGATCATTAAAAATAGTAAACTCAATCAATTAATTATTCTCTCGATACCATACTTCAAAAATGATATTATTTCTATGGTTATATATAAATGATTGTCGCGTAATTTGAATGCTCCTTCGTTAAAGAACGCAGCCATAATTTTCGCGCCAAAATGCCGTAGCGTTGACAGTTAATTTGACCTTTTGACAATTCGCAGCAGGTGTTCGTTCGTTTGGTCTTGTTTTCATTCATCAGATGTTAAAAAATGCCTCCTTTTTATTAAATATATAATGAATAGGTGATATTTTAAATACATAGGTTAAAATGTTTGTAGAAGACCTAAGAAATGATTTTTATAATGTTTTACTAGGAAATGTAAGTGTTTTAAAGTATGTTTCTCTGCCTCTTTGTTTACATTAACATTTTTGTTCTAACATATTTTATTTATATTTCAGCGAGTGTTACTTTTAGTTCATTACGACGTTGACGCAATATGCACATGTAAAATACTCCAAGGATTGTTTAAATGTGATAATATCTCGTATACACTTGTGCCTGTTGGTGGAGTAGCCGAATTAAAAAATGCGTATGAAGAGAACAATGAAGAAATCAAATATGTAGTGCTAGTGAACTGTGGCGGGACCATAGACCTAGTGGATATACTGCAGCCCGAAGAAGATGTTGTGTTTTTCGTTTTAGACTCTCATAAACCAACGGATGTTTGCAATGTGTATAGCGATGGACAGGTTTGTTTATAAATAAAAGTATCTACTTGTTCCTGAGACCTAAGCACGTATTTAGTGAGCTCCGTAATGTTATCATCATCGTAAAATTTTATTTTTTTTTATGGAAGGATCAAATTTCGTGCTTGGGCTTCTGATTCTAGCATTTTTACAAAAAAAGCTTTATTTAAATTCTTTTATTGATATAAGATAACTTTTATATCATACATCTTTTGATTTCAGGTTAGAATAGTGTATAAAGATAATGAAGAAAACATTCCAAATTTTGATGATATATTCAGAGACGATGAGGAAGAGGTGAGTTTGTCAAGCACCCATGATTTTGTGTCCTGATCTTGATTATTTGATTAGTTCTGCGCTGAGTGCATGCAAGATAGGAGAGATCTATGAAATCCAAGAAATAATCTTTCTGTAATTTCTGTTGATCAGATTGATAGACTAGTCCTTTGATTATATACATGCCCAAATACGGTATTAACTGCTCAGAAGTTTCCCAAAAAATATCTACTACATATGGTAGATAAGCTTGTCGCTACACACCCACACATTGACTGCTTTCAAACAATCTGGCATTAAATTCATGCACACATTTTGCATAAACTTGAGCGGTTTTATTTGAATTGCTGTATCTTGGAGTGTATATAATCAAAGAGTCTGCCTAGTAAGATTTTTTCCCACTGATAAGATTTATTAGACAGCAGCTGGTGGTTCGCATAGAAAGCATGTATAATTTATTAAACTGAATACTTTTTATATTATCCAGTTTAGGTTTTATATTTTATTATATCAGAGAAAATATAGGTGTTGGGATTTTTAAATAAAATCCAAACATTTATCTTAAACAAATGTCCTGGTAGGTTGTTATTGTTTATGCAAACATGTTTGTATTTTATCTTCTGCATTCTAAAAAAAATTATATCAGATATGATTTATCAGTATATATGAAGCAGTTTGCAGTTCGAGAATTTTCTCTCAACACTGGTACTTAACAATTTAAAATATTATCTTATAATCGTTTTTATACACTGTAGATCACGGGGGGCCTTGCTCTCTCGTCGCGCGCACCTTACTTAAAGTTCACTGACAAAACTGATGAAGTAATATTTTATTAGGATGAAGAGCCAACCGAGAGTGGAATGGAAGCATTGGAGGCAGCTGTGGAGCGACGACGCGAGCGCCGCGCGTGGGAGGAGCGCCGGCATACGCTCATGTTTAACTACACGCAGTTCTCCTACTACGGGAAACCGGTATAGTATTATTATTCATCAGACTTAAGTTCCCCAGTTCCCCACTGTAGCAAAAACCCACCACCTTAAACAGTATCATAACATGCGTCCGAGCTGACTGTCCTTTTATAAGTATATAATGGCTTAATTTTGTAACTTTCTCCTTCTATGATCACTATCATTTCATAGTTGAGAAAGAGATTATTTGACACTGATCTTCTTTAGTTTCTCAGGAGTTCAAACCTCTAGGAGAACTTGTAAGGGTGGAAGATCCATTATAAGATTCCAGGTATCAAATAGATAATGGCTTCACCTATCTACTTTTTAATCCCTAACGCAATACCAGCAGTGTAATAAGTTTGATGTTTCTGTATCAGTCTGTGGCATTGAGCTCCTAAACACAGAGTACCCCTACCGGACACCGCATATAAGGGCATCCGCTTGTAACCATAACAAGTTAATGTATTAATTTGGACAATGAATAATGAGTGTAAACGTGTGACGATACGAGTGTTTGGAGTTGCCCGCCCGCGTGTGTCTGCGGACACTGACACATCGTGTCGCGTGTGTGGTGTGCAGAGTGCGTGCGTGGCGCTAGAGATAGCGTGGCTGGTGTCGCGGTGCGGCGGGGCCGCGCTGTGGGCGGGCAGCGTGTGTCTGCGGACACTGACGCATCGTGTCGCGTGTGTGGTGTGCAGAGTGCGTGCGTGGCGCTAGAGATAGCGTGGCTGGTGTCGCGGTGCGGCGGGGCCGCGCTGTGGGCGGGCAGCGTGTGTCTGCGGACACTGACGCATCGTGTCGCGTGTGTGGTGTGCAGAGTGCGTGCGTGGCGCTAGAGATAGCGTGGCTGGTGTCGCGGTGCGGCGGGGCCGCGCTGTGGGCGGGCAGCGTGTGTCTGCGGACACTGACGCATCGTGTCGCGTGTGTGGTGTGCAGAGTGCGTGCGTGGCGCTAGAGATAGCGTGGCTGGTGTCGCGGTGCGGCGGGGCCGCGTTGTGGGCAGGCAGCGTGTCGGCCGCCAGCCACGTGGCGCTGGCGTCGCGTCCACCCGCGCAGTGTCTGCTGGATACTGACGCGTTGCATCGCCGAGTAGCCAGCGCGCAGCATACACCCTCTGATACTGTGAGTATACCCCATTTACTTACAAAACGCACCACACCTATGTACACTGGCGGTCAAAGATGCTCGGTACTACTATGTTCATAAGTTCAAATATGATTTCCCTCGAATGTATGGGTAAAATTGTAGAAATGTAGTACATACTCTTCATCATCATCATCATCATCAACAGCCTATCATAGTCCACTGCTGGACATAGGCCTCTCCAAATGCACGCCACTCAGATCGATCTTGGGCTACTCGCATCCAGCTCCTGCCAGCCACCTTGCGCAAATCGTCACTCCATCGTGCCTGAGGACGTCCTACACTACGTTTGCCTAGACGCGGTCTCCACTCCAGAACTCGTCTACCCCAACGGTTATCGGTTCTTCGGCAAATATGGCCAGCCCACTGCCACTTCAACTTGCTAATCCGGTGGGCTATGTCGATAACTCTGGTTCTCTGTCGGATTACCTCATTTCTGATGCGATCTTTCAGAGAAACGCCGAGCATAGCCCTTTCCATAGCGCGTTGAGCGACTTTGAACCTGTGGATCAGCCGTGCCGTCAGTGTCCACGTCTCGGCTCCGTATGTCATCACAGGTAGGACGCACTGATTGAAGACTTTCGTCTTTAGGCACTGTGGGATCGACGATGTCAGGACTTGACGTAGCTTCCCAAACGCTGCCCAACCTAGCTGAACTCTTCTATTCACCTCGTCCTCAAAGTTGTTTCTACCTAACTGCAATGTCTGCCCGAGGTATACATATTTTTGAACAACTTCGAGAACGGCACCGTGTATTGCAATCGGTTCCGGTAGAACATGTTCATTGAACATGACCTTGGTTTTATCCAAGTTCATCCGTAGGCCGATGCGTATAGAAGAGTCAGCCAGGTCATTCAGCATTTGTTGTAGGTCCTGCAGGGTTTCTGCCATGATGACGATGTCGTCTGCAAATCGCAAGTGAGAGATGCGTTCGCCATTTATGTTGATGCCATGTCGTTTCCAGTTCAGCGTCTTGAACATATCCTCCTTTGCATTAGTGAACAATTTCGGGGAAATAACGTCCCCTTGTCTCACTCCACGATGCAACGGTATGGGACTTGTTTGCTGATTCTGTACTTGGACAGACATGGTGGCGGCTTAGTAGAGACATCTTATCACTTGGATGTATCGCCAGTCGACTTGGCAACGCTGCAAGGACTCCAGGACAGACCAGATTTCAATCGAGTCAAAGGCCTTCTCATAGTCCACAAATGCTAGGCACAGGGGCTGATTGTACTCCTCAGTCTTCTGTATAATCTGCCGCACTGTGTGGATGTGGTCTATGGTGCCGTATCCACTCCGAAACCCAGCCTGTTCCGGTGGTTGGAAGTCATCAAATCTTCGCGCAAGACGGTTCGCGATCACTCTTGAGAACAGCTTATAGACGTGGCTTAGAAGGGATATGGGTCGATAGTTCTTAAGTAGGGTCTTGTCCCCCTTTTTTAAGAACAAGACGACCACACTCCTACTCCACGCTTCCGGAGTTCTCCCTTCGAACAGGACAGTGTTAAAAAGCTTTTGGAGCTCCCTCAGTACGGGTTTACCTCCAGCCTTCAAGAGTTCTGTTGTAACACCATCCTCTCCAGGGGCTTTTCCTTTTTTAAGCTGTCCAAGAGCAATCTCGATTTCGCCAATACTGACTTCTGGCAGGTCTTCGGTGAAGTGGCGTGTTAATGTGGCTCTAGAATCCTCATTTCCGGGATCAGGTCGAGATGCATGTGATGCGTATAACTGGCTGTAGAAGTCTTCCACTTCCGAGAGGACTGCCGGCTTTGAAGCAACAACTTCCCCACTTGCTGTGGTCAACTTCGTCAGATGGCTTCTTCCAAGAGATTGTACGAACACTTTGGACCCTCGATTCTGCGCGATCGCTCTCTCGATCGAGAGAGTATTGGAGCATCGGAGGTCGTGTCGTACGTGCTTACTGATCTCTTGGTTTAGAGTCCGCTTTGCCGACGAAGTGACGGGTGGGTTTTCACGTCGTTCCTTCATTAGCCCTAAAGTCTCTTCCGAAAGCTTTGACTTCCTGCCCTTACGCTGCGTTGCACATAGTTTCGTACCCTCTTCCCTGAGAATCCGAACCACATTTTCGAGGTTTTGGTTTACGTCTGATGTGGTTTCCACGGCAGCAAATCGGTTCTCCAGATTTGACTGGAACGTTTCAGATCCTGTTATAGATTGGAGCAAAGTAGGTTGGAGCCTGGATTTCATTAAACGGACGCGCTCGGCCTTAAAGTTGATATTCAGAGAGCCCCGGACGAGTCGGTGATCACTACCGGTATTGAACCTGTTGATCACGGAGACGTCTCTGAATATGTACCTCTTGTCCGTCATGATGAAATCGATCTCATTTTTAGTCATAGTGTCGGGGCTCTGCCATGTCCACTTCCTTTGGGGCTGTTTCTTGAAAAAAGAGTTCATCAAGAAGAGCCCCTGCTGTTCGAGGAAGTTGACGAGCATTTGCCCCCTATGATTTCTGCTTCCAAATCCATGGGATCCTACTACCGATTCGCTGCAATTCTGTACTCCCACTTTAGCGTTGAAGTCCCCCATAACAACGTTGTACCCACTACAAGTCTTAGTAGTGGAGTGGAGGGCCCTCGATATATCATCGAACATATCCTCCACTTCGTCGTCCGAGTGTGTCGAGGTCGGTGCGTACACTTGCACCACCTTGAGGCTATACCTCTCGGTGAGCTTTATAATAAGGTACACTACCCTGTTCGACACGCTGGACATTTCCACAACGTTATCGGCAAGGGACTTATTTACCAAAAACCCAACGCCACCTTGGGACTGTTGGTCTCCCCCGCGGAAGTACATTAGGTGGCCCGATTCGAGGGTTATGGTGTCCTCCCCCTCTCTTTGGACATCCCTTAACCCTAAAATGTGCCACCCAATCTTTCCAAGTTCCACCTCGAGTTGCGCCAGATGCGAGTCAAGCCGTAGCGTGCGTCCGTTGTACGTCGCCAGGGTCAGTCTTTTGTGGTGGCCTCCCGTAGCCCGGAGATTCTTGGCACCCCCCGCCCCACCGTTACCGTGGTCGCCACCGTGACCAGGAATAGCGGGGCTGCCGGGAACTGGGGGCCGTGGCTTGAGTTTCTTGTGCATGAAGGTTTTGCCCATAATCGCCACGCTGGGCAGGCGGGTTGGCGATCGCAGAGCGTAGGTTTATTTACTGATGACGCTGCTGCCCGTCACCAGTGACATTTTCCTCCCCTACGTTATTGGATGGTTATACCGCCATCGGTCGGTTTGCCAGAGCCTCGTCTGTTGGTCAACAGGGTGCACCACGTGAAGGTGAGGTTGGCTTGGGTTCTTGCAGGTGTATTTAGAACCCCTTACACCCCTACATACTCTTAGATAGGTTTATTTTATAGGCTTTATTTGAGGGGTAAAATAAAAAGTGTGAGACAATAATTTACCTTACCCTGATGGTAGACTAAAATAAAGATAATTTTATCAATTTTGTACCAAATATAACATTGCTTATAGTTTGAGTGCAAAAAAGCAGGAAATTCTATTTTTTTTTCTATGTTTGAGGGTTATTAGTCCTTAAGGCCCGTATTATACGAAGAATTTCAATGATTGATCTACTCTTGAGCATAGTTAGAAAGGGATGTCGCTATATATAGCACATAGCGACATCCCTTTCTAACTGTACTCAAGTAAAGATCAACACTTAGTTGTCATTCTGTAATACGGGCCTAAGACTCACAGTTGATTATTGTTCATAAAAATGGATACTACGCTTCAGGAAGCTGCCCAAGCCGTCGCATTACTTCAAACGGGCCTTTATCAACGTCGAGTTGCTCAAATGTTAAGAATAAGTTGCTCTTCAGTACAGCGTATCTAGAAGATATCAGGAGACTGGATTTGTGCGACGCCCTGGAACCGGCCGACCGAGAGCCACAACCTTTACTGCTGATCGATACATTAATTTGAATATCTTGAGAAATCGATATCTCAATGCAGTGCAGGCACAGCAACGGCTTCGTGATAAACGCGGAGTTGTCATAAGCGCGCGTACAGCCAGAAGAAGATTGGCCGAACGAAATCTAAAGCCTCGGATGGCTGCAACCGGTCTAAAATTAACAGTGACTCATCGCAGGCTACGCCTTCAATTTGCCATTGAACATAGGGAATGGACGCTGGATCAATGGGGGCGTGTCCTTTTTTCTGATGAAACCAGGGTATGCTTATACGGAAGTGATCAAAGACGGAGAGTCTACCGTGTCGCCCCGGAGAACGTTATGCTCCGTGCTGCGTCGAAGAAACTGTTGCATTATGGCGGTGGCTTCGTTATGGTTTGGGGAGGTATTTCCCTAACAGCACGAACAGAGCTGGTTTTCATCGATACAAGTCCAACGCTCAGTCACGTGGTTTGATAGCAGATCTGTATATTGCTGACATTCTTGAAAACGTTGTCGTGCCTTACTCAGGTTATATCGAAGACGACATGCTTCTAATGCATGACAATGCAAGACCCCATACTGCAAGAATCGTTACTCCAGATCTTAGGGACGTTGGCATTCGCACAATTGAATTGCCGATTTTGTTCACTTTTTGTTCTACGGTCAATAACTCAGCAGATATCGTGTTCTACTTTACAATTTTCTCTGAAAATAAATCTTATAAAATACCCTATCTAACAGTACCATATTATACAAAATTGCGATCATACATTCGAAGAAAATTACATTTGAACTCGAGGATTGCTAGTGGCCCAGTTTATTTGACCGCCGCCAGTGTACAATAAATAGAAAAGCTTATTAAATAGAATACTGTGTGTACAACCCAACCCACTTACATACTTACCTACACTGATATACCTATACATATTTATGGATTTGGTTGATTCTGGCATGATTCTCCAACTTAATACAAAATTTAACATCATTAATTTTTGGTTCTGGTCGCTTTTCTAAACTCCCATGCAACGTCTCCTACTTGAATTTGTTCTGTGGGCAGGTAGGCGCCCCAGTTGCAGGGGTATTATAAGGCTGTTGTTAATGATGATTCTAATACTGTCCTTTATAAGAGATGCGAAGAAGCAACTTTCAGGCTGATGGGGATAACTGGGATGGCAGATAAAACTGCTGCACCAGCTATCTTCGCATCAAAACTCCACCGTAACGTTACATCAGAGGCCGAAACACGAATTTTGTCAGCTCCGTAAACGTATCGTCAACTTCAAATAGCTTTTATGGAATGAGCTAGGTTTTTTACGTCGCTGCCTAGTTTTCATTGAAACTTTGACGATGCGATGCGATTACGGAGCTGTCGAAATTCGTGTTTGGACCCCAATTGTTAATCGGTCGGATCTTTATTTTTTATGATTTGATCGGGTGGGGTGGCAGTCGTGCCGCGTGGTGCTGGAGAAAGACGCATGGCTGCCGCTGTACCGCAGCTGGTCGCTGGAGGCGGCGCTGGGGCACGCGCCCGCGCTGGCGCCGCACCTGCGGCTGCACTCGCACGCCGGCGCCGCCCGGCTGCGGCAGCTGCTGGCCGACATGGGGTGAGCGCGCTATATATACAGACGCGGGGCTGCCGCTGTACCGCAGCTGGTCGCTGGAGGCGGCGCTGGGGCACGCTGGGGCACGCGCCCGCGCTGGCGCCGCACCTGCGGCTGCACTCGCACGCCGGCGCCGCCCGGCTGCGGCAGCTGCTGGCCGACATGGGGTGAGCGCGCTATATATACAGACGCGGGGCTGCCGCTGTACCGCAGCTGGTCGCTGGAGGCGGCGCTGGGGCACGCTGGGGCACGCGCCCGCGCTGGCGCCGCACCTGCGGCTGCACTCGCACGCCGGCGCCGCCCGGCTGCGGCAGCTGCTGGCCGACATGGGGTGAGCGCGCTATATATACAGACGCGGGGCTGCCGCTGTACCGCAGCTGGTCGCTGGAGGCGGCGCTGGGGCACGCTGGGGCACGCGCCCGCGCTGGCGCCGCACCTGCGGCTGCACTCGCACGCCGGCGCCGCCCGGCTGCGGCAGCTGCTGGCCGACATGGGGTGAGCGCGCTATATATACAGACGCGGGGCTGCCGCTGTACCGCAGCTGGTCGCTGGAGGCGGCGCTGGGGCACGCTGGGGCACGCGCCCGCGCTGGCGCCGCACCTGCGGCTGCACTCGCACGCCGGCGCCGCCCGGCTGCGGCAGCTGCTGGCCGACATGGGGTGAGCGCGCTATATATACAGACGCGGGGCTGCCGCTGTACCGCAGCTGGTCGCTGGAGGCGGCGCTGGGGCCGACATGGGGTCAGTTCTCATGCTTGTTATAAGGATACTTTTATAAAAATGTGAAATTAGACAACTGATAACAACGACTTCGGAAACATCGATAAAATTTTATGCTGCAGCTGCACCTGGAAGACGTGCATCAACTTAAACTAGAATGTAAACCGATGTCTAAGTAAAGCTATTAATGTTTCATAATTTTTTGTTAGTATTTTATACAAATTGTTTAGATTTTCCCTGCAACAAGCGCGACAGTCGTACAGCTTGATGGACATAAACTTACACTTACCTCTTCAGGTAAGGTCCTACAACGTTCGTATCGCTCTGTATCGGCTCTCTCAACTTCTTTGGATTTAAACACCACTTGTCCTGTGTCATATAGTATCCTCACCTTGTTACGCCGTAGTTGCTTTGCCTCCCTGAAGGCGTCGACGGATAAACACAAGCTGCCAGTCCCGACACGTTTCTTTCGTACTACAACACTTACCTCTTCGGATGTGTCCCGCAGTCCCACAGCGTTTGCTTCGCACAATCGACCTGTATCTGCCCTCTCGACTTCGTTGGATTTATGCACGTCTTGTACAACATGCTGACTCTGTGTCATATAGTGCATCCTTGTGTAGATTTCCGCTGCAACAAGCCCGTCAGGCGTACCGCTCTATGGACGTGGAGTTACGCCGTAGTTTGCTCCCCTCCCTGGAGGCGTCGACGGATAAGCACAAGTTGCCCGTCCTGACCCACGTCACTTTCTAACGGCAACGGCCTATATAGCATCCTCAATCAGCATCCTTGTGTAGGTTTCCACTGCAACAAGCCCGTCAGGCGTACCGCTCTATGGACGTGGAGTTACGTCGCAGTTTGCTCCCCTCCCTGGAGGCGTCGACGGATAAGCACAAGTTGCCCGTCCTGACCCACGTCACTTTATTTAGGCAACGGCCTATATAGCATCCTCAATCAGCATCCTTGTCTAGGTTTCCGCTGCAACAAGCCCGTCAGGCGTACCGCTCTATGGACGTGGAGTTACGCCGTAGTTTGCTCCCCTCCCTGGAGGCGTCGACGGATAAGCATAAGTTGCCCGTCCCGACGCGCGCCGCTTTCCTACTGCAGCGGCCCCACGCGCCGCCGCTCGCTGCTCATGATTTGGTCTACGCGATACTGGCGCTCATTGAGCACGTGAGTATATAAATAAACATTACTAACACACCAATTCATCAATTATAGAGCTTTTTGTCTTGATCCTAAGTCACGGCTGTTCACTGGTTGGCAGCGCTGTTTTCTCACTAAATATCTCCGTAAATTTTTGCCTCTTGAAATTTCAATCGGTGAGATCCGCTTATGGAAGGCCGATTGAAATGTGCAATCACGGAGAATCACGTCGGGGTCACCAATTTAGCTCCTCTTGATAACTAAGAGCGTAATTTATTATTATTTACATCTTATATACTAATTTTCCTAACTAATATTTATGTGCGTGATAATTTTATCAGTCGGTTGCATCTATCTATACGAATTCATATTACTCGCGCGTTAAAATAAACAGGATAGATAGATACACAGTACTTTATTCACCACTCAGTTAACACAATGTTAATCACAATACACTCACTAAACCGCGGCGCCGATCGCACTAATATAGGGTGAAATTGAATGTTTTAATGAAACTTCGTGGGATTGTTGGGTTACTTATATAGAGTAAGTATCTCTGAATTTTTTCGGAGTTTTTAAAAATGATTTAAAATAAAATTTTGTTTTTTTTTGTTATATTTTAAGTCCTTTCCTCCTTTTGGGTATTAAATAAATATTCTTTTTAAACACGCATTCAGAGTAAGTAAAAAACAATTAATTCAACTGTAACTGACATTATTAACTGGTTAAATTGTAATAACCTAAGGGTAAATATAGAAAAAACTAAAATCATTCAATTTACTAATAAAGGTGCAAAAAAAGCGGAACTAAATGTTACTTTTGACAACAAAACAATCGCAGAAACTAGTAAAGTAACGTTTTTAGGTATAGAATTTGATAATCACTGTACTTGGAAAGCACATGTTGACAAAGTATGTAACAAAATAAATAGATTTGCGTATGCATTGTGGCGTTTGTCTAGAATAAGCAATACTCAAACCGCACTGAAAGCATATCACGGATATGTAGCCTCGATCATAAGGTATGGCATAATAGTATGGGGTAATTCTGTAAAAATTAAAAGACTGTTTATTGCACAAAAACAATGCATTAGATCTATTGCTAATGTTGATTCTTGGGTTTCTTGCAGGCCTTTGTTCAAGTTTTATAAGTTGCTGACAGTTCCGTGTATTTATATTTTTGAAATATGTATCTTTGTCAAAATGCACCCTGACCTTTATAAAACTAAAAAAGACTGCTGTACTTTTAACACTAGGTATCCAAAAAATATGTGTTTACCAGACTCTAGAACTGAAATTTGTAGTAGAAATAGCTTTACGATGTCCGTGAAAATATATAATAATTTGCCTGAGCCATTAAAGTCATTACCTATGTCCTTATTCAGACGTCGTCTATATAAATTATTAATAGAAAAATGCTATTATTCACTTGCAGAGTATTTTGAGGATAAGTAGGCTGAATGGACTTCAATATATGAAATTTTGATTTTGGACATGTATTATATATTTTGATGATTTATTTAATTTGTTTGACATTGTACGATACTGATTACTGGAGGATCCTAAAAGCAAATATTGGTGCATTTACTATTTTACTTTTTGATTATTATTTTATTATGAATCGACACCATTGTATGATTATTATTGATTATTGAAACATTGTGAGAAAACAAATTTTTAACATTGGACATTTATTTTTTTACATTTTAATGGATAATTTTATATTTATTGACATTGTATAATATTGAGTATAAAATGATCTTGACATGATATTGATAAGCTGACAAGCATTACACTTTAATTTTAAGTTGATTTAAAAACTGTTGCATGCTGTTTAACAGTAAAATATGTGAGACATGAAAATGATCAAACACCTTTTATACCATATTTTTATGCAAAAAATAAAAAAAAAAAAAAAAAAATAAAAAAAAAAAAAAAAAAAAAAAAAAAAAACAACTAATAAGCACTACTAAAAAAACGTAAAAACAGAAGACTGGCGGCCGGGAGCAATGACCGCTCCCGCCGTTGAAAACCTTCCTACCTACAAAAGCGCATGAGCGAGCGCAGTCTTAAGTCTATCCACCGCGCGTGCATATCTTTTAAAGTTACTAGACAAGATTTGCAAATAATGCCTTGATTAGTTCTTGTTCTGTGGCTTCAATATAAGAAGTTGGATATGGTGTGTTGTTATTGTAGTGTCACGGAATACTCAGCAGAGCCACAAGGCTATACGAAAGTAGGTTTGGTGATTAAATTATTATTAACTTTTTAAGTTTTTCTCTGCTTAAGAGAAGATGGAATTTGTGCTTCTTATTTCAATAAAGGCATCTAAGAAGATTTTATTGTATTGTGTGGAATCAAAGGAGTCAGCTGAGCTCTGTGTACCTACTCACTCAACGGCTGGCGGGAGCGGTCGGTCGTTGACCCGCGGTGGCCACGCCTGCTTAATTTTACTGTATTTCCGTTTTTTAGAAATGCTTATTTATTAGTTGTTTTTCACTGGATATGTAAGTATGCTTGTTTAAAATGAATAACTACTCAAAAGGAGGAAAGGACATTAAAATACACAAATTTTAAATAAATACATGAAAAAAAAATACTTCAAAAATCCGAAAGAAATCAGGCATACTCTATACGTGTAACCCAACAATCTCACGAAGTTTCATTAAAACATTCCATTTCACCCTATATATGCCAACCGACGCATTCTAGAAAATACTCGTTAAATTGCTAGTTAACTAGCACCCGCGAGTGCGTAGTACCTACTTATACCTACGTAGATAACGCGCATAAATTGTAAACAAATGCAGATGTCGTTGCACTTAATCCCTTACGTCACACTGCATAAGGCTCATATTAGAATGAGCCGAACCACGCGACTTTTATCGCGATCCGCGGTGTTCTGGTAAATTCGGTCTCTAGTACTTTCGCGGTTTTGTTTCGAGAGCGTTTGTGACAATATATTCAATAACACTAGTCCGAGGTATCGTGTATTTAGATTACCTTCTGTACTGGATGTCATTTGTCGGTTAGGAGTCGATCCCCAAGGGCGAGGGGTTCCAGCTGGCGCTGGACGCGTTAGAATCAGAGGGGGGCTTGAGTGAAGGCGCTCGGATAGGGCTGGAAGCCGCCAAGCAGGCGCTGGGGGCCGTGGCTCGAGCGGCTCATGATACGTTAGCTGCTAGGCGGCTGCATCTCGCCGGGCCATTCAGCTACTTTATCGTGCAAGAGGTAAAGTACAATATTACTAAATTGCAATGGTATATCCCTTAGTGTAGTAAATTTTTGATTGTTTTTCTTAATAACGAATTAAATCTTTGTTTAATAAGATAAAAAATATTGTTTTACTGTAATGATGTTTGCAACTAAATTCTTAGTGCGACCAAGATCTTGTGAAATTTCGATGACAGTGACAGGGGAACGCTGTTGGTAAAATAAGGATTGAATAAGTACGTAATTTCTCCTGACTGATGAAACGTTACAATTTGAAATAACTCGGAAATATAAAAGGATTATTTACACTTTCCTATATAATTAAAATGGTTGATTAAAACCTTCCCAAAATTAATTACGATTCGGCCACTCGTCATAAGATCTTGGTCGATAAGGAATTTGTTAAGTCGCACGCGTCACATCACAATAATTTGACTGCTCAACGTAACTTAAACACCTAACTATGTTTTAAATCTATTTTCTAAAGTTAACTAAGTTATGTAAAATATTAAAGATCCTTGATCAATTATTGCCCGCCCCGTACTGGCCTGCACCTCGCTGACGTGATCCGTGTACGGTACAGGGCGGGAGTGGGGCGGGGTGGTTACGGGGCGCGGGTTGGGTGGGCATACTGGCCCGCTGGGTGAGCGCGGGGACGGGCGGGGCCCGCCCCGTACTGGCCTGCACCTCGCTGACGTGATCCGTGTACGGTACAGGGCGGGAGTGGGGCGGGGTGGTTACGGGGCGCGGGTTGGGTGGGCATACTGGCCCGCTGGGTGAGCGCGGGGACGGGCGGGGCCCGCCCCGTACTGGCCTGCACCTCGCTGACGTGATCCGTGTACGGTACAGGGCGGGAGTGGGGCGGGGTGGTTACGGGGCGCGGGTTGGGTGGGCATACTGGCCCGCTGGGTGAGCGCGGGGACGGGCGGGGCCCGCCCCGTACTGGCCTGCACCTCGCTGACGTGATCCGTGTACGGTACAGGGCGGGAGTGGGGCGGGGTGGTTACGGGGCGCGGGTTGGGTGGGCATACTGGCCCGCTGGGTGAGCGCGGGGACGGGCGGGGCCCGCCCCGTACTGGCCTGCACCTCGCTGACGTGATCCGTGTACGGTACAGGGCGGGAGTGGGGCGGGGTGGTTACGGGGCGCGGGTTGGGTGGGCATACTGGCCCGCTGGGTGAGCGCGGGGACGGGCGGGGCCCGCCCCGTACTGGCCTGCACCTCGCTGACGCCCACGCACTGCCTGCTGCTGGGCGTGCCTCCGCGGTCGCACCAAGAACCACGCAAGTGAGCTCCACTACACACACTATACTACGCCCAACAGAACACTAAGCTACACCTCACAGAACATATTTCAGTACACCACACACATACAGCGAGATAATGCACTGCATCACACCACACACGCATACAGTAAGACACAGGGAGACAATGTACTGCATCACACCACACACGCATACAGTAAGACACAGCGAGTCAATGCACTACATCACATCACACACGCATACAGTAAGACACGGTGAGTCAATGCACTGCATCACATCATACACGCATACAGTAAGACACAGGGAGACAATGCACTGCATCACATCATACATGCAAACAGTAAGACACAGCGAGTCAATGCACTACATCATATCACACACGCATACAGTAAGACACGGTGAGTCAATGCACTGCATCACACCACACACGCATACAGTAAGACATAGCGAGACAATGCACTGCATCACATCACACACGCAAACAGTAAGACACAGGGAGTCAATGCACTGCATCACTCCACACACGCATACAGTAAGACACAGCGATTCAATACACTACTTCATACCACTAACACACATACAGTAGGACTAGTGATGGCAAAAACGTATCTTTATTGAGAATGGATCATTTTAATCTGGATCAATGCAAACATTCAAATTAGTAAAGTGCTTCATTTGCATCAGTGACTTTCAGCTCCATTTACTAGCGCAAATAAAGTAAATAAAAACTGTCATGAATAATTTTTATTAACATTGTTTGAAGAATACAAAAGTACATAATATTTTGTTAGTATTTTATTTAATTTCATTTGCCTAAAACCATAGTCATCGATTTTCCTTCATACTGTTTTCAGGCTTAGGACTGATAGGAAGTTTTTTTTTATTCTAATTGACGTATTTAAAAATTGATTTTATATATAGTGATTTAATTAATTATTTAAAACTTTACCGACTGTAATTTTTTTATGGTTTTTTTTTCTATTTACACTGTACAATGTTCATATTTACTATCATGAAATTAGTTTCCATATTATTATTGAAAAATAAAATTATACTGACTTTATCAGCTTTGAGTGATGTTCTTCTCTTATTTAATGTATGGCCAGCTTCGGAGAACACACGTTCAAAAGGAACAGAGCTAGATATTTCTACTACGCGACCCGAAGAGCTTCGAACAGTCTATCTCACTCAATCATGTCAGCGAGCGCCGCGTGCCGATTGAAACCGAGATGCAATTGAGCGAATGATTCATTTGAAGCATTTGCAAAGATTCGAACCAGTGAATCACTTTAAAGAAACGACTCACTAAGTAGTTTCCGTAAAGAGCGGCAATGCTTTGAGTAGGACACAGCCAAAGCACTACAATACACCACCCACGCATACAGCAGGACAAACAGTCAATATACTACATCACTCCACACTACATTACACCACACACGCATACAGCAGGACACAAACAGTCAATATACTACCTCCACACTACATTACACCACACACGCATACAGCAGGACACAAACAGTCAATATACTACATCACTCCACACTACATTACACCACACACGTATACAGCAGGACACAAACAGTCAATATACTACCTCCACACTACATTACACCACACACGCATACAGCAGGACACAAACAGTCAATATACTACATCACTCCACACTACATTACACCACACACGTATACAGCAGGACACAAACAGTCAATATACTACCTCCACACTACATTACACCACACACGCATACAGCAGGACACAAACAGTCAATATACTACATCACTCCACACAACATTACACCACACACGTATACAGCAGGACACAAACAGTCAATATACTACCTCCACACTACATTACACCACACACGCATACAGCAGGACACAAACAGTCAATATACTACATCACTCCACACTACATTACACCACACACGCATACAGCAGGACACAAACAGTCAATATACTACCTCCACACTACATTACACCACACACGCATACAGCAGGACACAAACAGTCAATATACTACATCACTCCACACTACATTACACCACACACGCATACAGCAGGACACAAACAGTCAATATACTACCTCCACACTACATTACACCACACACGCATACAGCAGGACACAAACAGTCAATATACTACATCACTCCACACTACATTACACCACACACGTATACAGCAGGACACAAACAGTCAATATACTACCTCCACACTACATTACACCACACACGCATACAGCAGGACACAAACAGTCAATATACTACATCACTCCACACTACATTACACCACACACGCATACAGCAGGACACAAACAGTCAATATACTACCTCCACACTACATTACACCACACACGCATACAGCAGGACACAAACAGTCAATATACTACCTCCACACTACATTACACCACACACGCATACAGCAGGACACAAACAGTCAATATACTACATCACTCCACACTACATTACACCACACACGCATACAGCAGGACACAAACAGTCAATATACTACCTCCACACTACATTACACCACACACGCATACAGCAGGACACAAACAGTCAATATACTACATCACTCCACACTACATTACACCACACACGTATACAGCAGGACACAAACAGTCAATATACTACCTCCACACTACATTACACCACACACGCATACAGCAGGACACAAACAGTCAATATACTACATCACTCCACACTACATTACACCACACACGTATACAGCAGGACACAAACAGTCAATATACTACCTCCACACTACATTACACCACACACGCATACAGCAGGACACAAACAGTCAATATACTACATCACTCCACACTACATTACACCACACACGTATACAGCAGGACACAAACAGTCAATATACTACCTCCACACTACATTACACCACACACGCATACAGCAGGACACAAACAGTCAATATACTACATCACTCCACACTACATTACACCACACACGCATACAGCAGGACACAAACAGTCAATATACTACCTCCACACTACATTACACCACACACGCATACAGCAGGACACAAACAGTCAATATACTACATCACTCCACACTACATTACACCACACACGCATACAGCAGGACACAAACAGTCAATATACTACCTCCACACTACATTACACCACACACGCATACAGCAGGACACAAACAGTCAATATACTACCTCCACACTACATTACACCACACACGCATACAGCAGGACACAAACAGTCAATATACTACATCACTCCACACTACATTACACCACACACGCATACAGCAGGACACAAACAGTCAATATACTACCTCCACACTACATTACACCACACACGCATACAGCAGGACACAAACAGTCAATATACTACATCACTCCACACTACATTACACCACACACGCATACAGCAGGACACAAACAGTCAATATACTACCTCCACACTACATTACACCACACACGCATACAGCAGGACACAAACAGTCAATATACTACATCACTCCACACTACATTACACCACACACGTATACAGCAGGACACAAACAGTCAATATACTACCTCCACACTACATTACACCACACACGCATACAGCAGGACACAAACAGTCAATATACTACATCACTCCACACTACATTACACCACACACGTATACAGCAGGACACAAACAGTCAATATACTACCTCCACACTACATTACACCACACACGCATACAGCAGGACACAAACAGTCAATATACTACATCACTCCACACTACATTACACCACACACGCATACAGCAGGACACAAACAGTCAATATACTACATTACACCACACACGCATACAGCAGGACACAAACAGTCAATATACTACATCACTCCACACTACATTACACCACACACGCATACAGCAGGACACAAACAGTCAATATACTACATCACTCCACACTACATTACACCACACACGCATACAGCAGGACACAAACAGTCAATATACTACCTCCACACTACATTACACCACACACGCATACAGCAGGACACAAACAGTCAATATACTACATCACTCCACACTACATTACACCACACACGCATACAGCAGGACACAAACAGTCAATATACTACATCACTCCACACACTCACATACAGTAGGGCACAAAGATTCAAAGGCACAAGCATTAATTTTAACAGTCCTGTAATCGAATCTCATCGTCCAACTGTCTATGAAAATTAAGCAGTGACCCTATCGGACGAAAGAACGAACTGGGGGCCATTCGCCTAACGGAAATGCTTTAGAAAACGCTAACGCTTACGATTTCATTTTGTTATTTCTAGCCGCCTGAGGTTTTCAAATGCCCCGCGCTCTTTTTTTTTCTTTTGCATTGGTAATAACAATATTAAAAAAAATGAGCGTGAGGTATTTGAAAACCTCAGGCGGCTAGCTAATGCTTTTCCAAAGCATTTCCGTAAGGCGATTGGCCCCCTGGAGGCCTAAAGGAATTGCTATGGCTATCGCTTACATTTTTCGACCGTCAGAAATAACAAAATGAAAACGTAGGCCCTTTCCATACAAAATTTGATAATGATGATAAGATTACAGAGAGCTGTCAAAATTCGTGCTTGGATCTTAAGACGCCTTATAGACCACACACTGCCTTCGACATTTTTGTAATCTTGATATAAGCAAAGCTAGGCAAGGCAAGAAATATCGTCTACAAAGGACAATGGGCAAAACGCACCCAGCTCCGCCAACAATGTAATTAGTATGAATCGATAGATCTATGAAAAACTAGCCTTTTTTTATTATGACACCGAAAATAAATATCCTGGGAGTCAAAAGATATGACACCGTAAAAAAATATCCTGGTAGTCAATAGATATGATACATGGGCATATTTAAGTAACTGAATAAATTCATTTTATAGTACCTTCATTTTATATTATTAGTAATCATAATAATATGCCATATCGTACTACACAACCAGATATACGACAAAGCCTGCCCATTCTGCGCTTGCTCTTACTTAGACATTTCGGTTTACGGATGATGAAAGACTTGCAGTTGCAAATAGTCGACTCGTCTTACTTCGTTGTGATTGTGCGCTCCCTGCTACTTGATTGATTTTTATCTAACACGCTTTGGATATTGGAACACGATTATCGGTTTTGTCAATTAGTATGGATGAACTGGAATCATGTGTTCTCCGAAGCGTGGACAAGTTTGTGTAATCTGTGGTCGCTCCGTTTTACATAGAAGACAATTTACTATAAAGAACGAACAGAATGTTAAAAAAAACCCAACCCAGGTGGGGATTTTTGGATTCACTCTAGCGCGGCAGAATAACATAAGGGGGCAAAGTCGAACTAACTAAATTAATTACCTTGTTTCATTAGTGTTCGTTCGTTATAGTACTTGTACATATTTAACTAAAGACCCCCGGGATGGATTTTGATACGCTTTGGCACAGATGATCTTGACTATAATACCTTTCAAACAAATGTAGTTTAAGCAGTGGCGGACGTGGGTGCAGCGTCCATACATTTTTGCCCAATGTCCTTTAAACGAAAAATAACCCAGGAGACTAGTTGCCTCGTCTAACCTTTTTCGTTTTTCCCTTCCTATTCAAAATATTAATCTTTAATGTTTCCGTTAGCTGTCCGTGTGCTAGTTAAACTGGCACTTTAAAACTTTTTTAATAATAAATCTCATTATGAATGTAGCAGTGGCATCTGGCAATATGCATTGCTTATACTCATTTCAAAAGTCAACTCTTACTCATTTTATATTGAAACAAAAGAATTGTTCCTATCAAACATTGAATTACGCGGAGGAGTTGAGTGGTGGAAGTGGTTAGCGTGTTCGGCCTGCTATCGAAGTTAAGCAACTTTAGCAATGGTCGGTCATTGGATGGGTGACCATAAATTTTTTATCTCTCGCTCCTCTGTGCTTCGGAAGGCACGTTAAGCCGTTGGTCCCGGGTGCATCTGCAGTTGATAGCACCCGCCAATCCACACTGGGCCCGCGTGGTGGGTCACGACCAAGTCTCCCTATTCCATGCATAGGGAAGGCCTGTGCCCCAGCAGTGGGGACATTAATAGGCTGTGATGATGATTGGATTGCGTTAATTTGTGTTTAAATACGATCTTTTACGCAGTCTGTTCGGTGCGGCGTTTGAGCAAGCGGCGACCAAAAGCGGAGTGACAGTGTCATTGGATCATCTTGATTCTTCCATCATAACGTTACCTACAGCCCAACGAGCACAGTTTCTAGACGCACTCACCGCATTACTGGCGTAATTACAAATAACGATTATGCCACTGTACATAAATTGTTGATTATCCTGTTATCGCCTCCGAGATTTATTTTTCTTCATTATGTAGTACCCTCTTCTTGTAGATTCGATGCTCATGTATTTTAGAGAATAAGAGACGGCATTGACGATGTTATCCTAGATAACTAGGGGGTAAAAAATATTAGGGTGGGCGGGATCCTAAATCCCAACAAGGTTGCAAGATAGATTTGAACTTTTATTAACACTACTCTTTTGCAAAGTCTGCTTCATCTATCAACTGAAGTTGTTCAATGAAGCAGCTTCTGTCAAATTGCCAGCTTTTTTAACATACCCGGCTATTTCATTGTCGACTTTCCATATTTTTCTTTTAGCTATTTTGTATTCTGATGCTGAAGAATAATTCAATTTACGTAAAAAATTCTCAGTCAGTGGATATGCAACTATGATGTCCAGCTGACCATTGTAAAACATTATGGGATAGTATGATAGCAACTCGGCTACGTAAGGAGCTACAGATTTCAGTATATCAAATGCTAGATTTATCTGGACTTCTTCACCAGAATTGAATGGTAGGCACTTTTTTTAGTATGCTCTAAACTGTATGCAGACTGGCTGGTTGTACTCGGGGTACTACATGGTAAAGAAAAATAAATGTCTTCGATGGTAACAGGATAATTCAGATCGAAGTTCACTGAGGTAAGTTCGTTTGATCATTCAATTATTTTCACACTGTCGAGATATCTCTCACTATTAGTTTGTCATAACAATAAGAGCCACCTAAGCAAGCATAATATTGCTCCCCATCTATTTCTCGTTTTTGGCTCGTAAGTGCTCATCAGCGCCGGAACAATGTGCCTTAAGTATATTTATTAATACCTGTTAAAATCAGAAGTTTGTTTAAAATTTAAGTTCTTTAACAATTATTTTTTCTTACTTCGTCCCCACATATTTGACAGCGGCGTTGTAGTTTCCGCTAGGGGCGCTACTGTGCAATGTAAGGGGCTGTGTAAATCAAGACTTTAAGTAATTCACATGAATGCCCACAAGCACAAGTCTAAGATATGCAGAAACGCGACATTGTAGTGAGAATACATAGTTTTAAATGGTTTTACATTTTTTCAAAAGCATTTTTATAAATACGTAGTTAGAAATAGTTCTCAGTAGCAAGGACATCTTTGATAGATTTCTATTCAATTTGGAGAAAGACATTACATTACATACTATGTACCTATAAGGGCCTGCGCTGCGTTAAGCGGGAGCACGGAGCTCCATGCTCTCGCTGTACGAAGCTGACCTTTATAAAAGAAGTCATTAAGCCCTTTTTGTTTTAATCTAAGTCAATAGACATACTAAAAAAATCCAATATTTTATCAATTTAAGTCCTATTATTAGTTTTTTAAGGTATGTATTTATGATTTGTCAATTCTGAATGCAATGTGTGATTTTTTTCTTGACATTAGTTAAGTTACCATACAGCCTTTACACCTAAGTTGCAATCAATATTTTATTTGAATGGATTTGTCAATATGAATAAACAATTGCCTTATTTTACTTATAATTTTAACTTAAATTTAATATGAACTATTGTTAAGTACCTACACAATCTAGACCAGTGGTAATTTTGTCATAGAATCAGATTCGTTATAATATGTATTATTTATTTTTCTTATGAACATAAAACTAATTAATAAAACATGTAATTGAAAGTAAGCAGTATTTTATTAAAAAACATGTTTGTTCATGTTACCTGAACAATGTAAAATTATTAATAATGAGTAAAGATCATAAATACATTGCCCAAATACCTTTAAACTTTAGAGCTAGAATCTTATGGCTTCTAAAATTCTTGATTTCAGAAGCCATAAGCTCAATAACTTATAAATTATTATAATACAGATCAAATAAATAAAAAAGAACATTAATATTCTTAGGGGCATAATGTTTCATTTTAAAGCGCTTTTGCTGCATCATTTCATCATTCAGGTTTGTAAATAACTTAAACCATGTGGTGTAAAATACAAGAGCATTTGGATGCGAGTAGCTGAAGAGAGTATTAATGATTTGCCCATCTTCCATTCCATAGAAAGAGTTTAAGAAGACCTAAATCTTGTAAGACAATCATCATAGTTTATTGTGGATAAAATTTGTTATGAGATTGAAAGCCCACTTTGGTTGATCATGAGGTACCATGTGTCCAGCATTACGAACCAAAACTTCTGTCAAATTGCCAGCTTTTTTTACATACCCTGCTATTTCATTGTCGACTTTCCATATTTTTCTTTTAGCTATTTTGTATTCTGATGCTGAAGAATAATTCAATTTACGTAAGAAATTCTCAGTCAGTGGATATGCAACTATGATGTCCAGCTGACCATTGTAAAACATTATGGGATAGTATGATAGCAACTCGGCTACATAAGGAGCTACAGATTTCAGTATATCAAATGCTAGATTTATCTGGACTTCTTCACCAGAATTGAATGGTAGGCCACCAACGTGCACAATATCTCTCAATTTGTCATTTTGTAACAAATCTGTGAACACAGATAGGTCATCTACATTTTTTGTTTTCAAGATGTTGTAATAGTCTTGAAAACCAGTGTAAGATTTGAAATATGAGAAATTTGTCACTGCCCCATCCATGAGCTTATCCATTAAGAAATCTGCATTCTCCCAGTTATTTTTTTTTATTTCAATAGCAATTTTGGATTGCAATTTCTCAAAAACAACTAATTGATTGTCATCAATGAGACCATGTTCATAAAGATATTTTCCATACTCCATTTGGTTTATCGGATCGCAATATGCATTGCCCATTGCTAAACATTTGAGATTAATTGGTGCCTCATTACCATTTGCATTTTGATGGTGGATTTCCATGGCCAATGCAGGCACATATTTCCCTGCATATGATTCCCCAGCAATGCAAAACGTATTATTTCTTAAATTTGGGAAGAGAGTAAAAAATTGTTGTAGCGCACTGTACAGGCCTTTGGCTATGCAAGTCTCATTAGTGCAATATCCTTTCTCATTTTGTGTAAAGCTAAAGCCTGTTCCCACAGGGTTGTCAATGAAAATTACATGATTTTCCAATGCCCAGTGATATTTCCTCAGTCTGAACCCATTTTTCTTAGCTATCAGTGGGCCCAATTCAGTGAATAGGCCGAAAAGAGAGCTACCTCCAGGACCTCCTTGGAGCCACAGGATCACTGGCGCGTCCGCTTTTTTGGAGAATGGCGTAAAGTACCAAAAATACAGATTCGAGTTGTATGTTTCATCTACAGTGAAAAAGCCGGCGTAACTTGGATAAGCTAGGAGTTCCGTCAGAGCTACTCTTGATAGGTTTTGAGCGAGTTGAACGGATCCATTTTTCAGGTAGGGTGTTAAAAATAGAGGTGACCCAGCGTCACCACCAGTCTTCGCTTCAAGTTTCACACGAGGATATGGATAAAACAATGCTGGCGTTTGCGAAAACAAGCCTAAGAATACATATAAAAACATTAATAGTGAAGGCATCGAGACGTTTTTAAATATTTCTTTATGGCTGCACTTGGCGATTCGGTGTTTGCGTTTTTATGTACAATTTTTTGGCAAAAACATAGTATCATAACAATATACAAAGTTACTCTATGTATCATAAGGACGGACGGAGCCAGAGCCAGAAGTTTGACAGCCTGAATAAAGGTGACGGACGATGCGTAACTATCGATATATCGATATTTTTGCCGATATATTTTGATTTGATATATCGATACATCGATACAAAATAACAATATCAAAATTCGTATCAAAAACGATATTTTTATAATTATTAGCGGCATATCACGATCTGGGAGGGCAATTTGGTACTTTGATAATACTTTCTTTAATTATAATTTGTATTGTTATTATTACTGAGCTTGGCTGACCTACATATATTTATGGAAAAATTGGTCCGATATATCGATATATTGATGTTCTTTTCACGATATATAGGAGCCGATATTGATTTTTTTTAAATATCGATATATCGTTTTTTTTTCAACTTTCGACATCCCTAACGTAAGCTTCTAAAGCCCGTCACAGACGTAGCTATAATATATATTAATATATTATATTATAGCTAACTACCACAGACGGGAGCTATACTATAATATATACTTTGTTCTCACTCGGTCTGCGGTCGTTTTTGCAAGCGCACGGTTTTAAAGCTTATTTTCTAGCACAGGGTGTTTTAATTTTGAAATAACGTTATAATCAATCTTACAATTTAGAATGAAATGAATTCGACAAGAGCACTACTTTTAGATTTAATTGAAAGTTCCTCAGAGGATGATTCCGATGCTGAATTTGATATGCATGTTGCCTTGTCAGGAACGAAAAATATAATCATCTGGGTAGAGTCGCATATAAAACAAAAGAAAATTTGTGGTGAATTTAATTTGTATCGTGTTTTGTCATCCAATAAATTTGCACAGTATTTTAGGAGAGGGAGGGTGGGGGAGAAATGCTCGTGCGCACTTGAGCCGGAGATCGGCCAGGCGTTAAGAGAAAAGTTGAACATTCCGTATTAAAAATATTTACTAATATGCCAAAATTTATCCCGTCACAGACGTAGCTATAATATATATTGATATATCGAGATATTATATTAAACAAACTACCACAGACGGGAGCTGTACTATAATATATATTTTGGCAGGCGTTCGGTGAAAAATGGAACATCGCGTATCATAAAAATATATCAAAATATATATTAATATGGCAAAATATACACTAATATGCCAAAATATATCTGTCGACATATTTTGGTGACGTCATAGAAATATATATTATAGCTGCGTGTACCGCACACGCGACACTCGAAAATTTATATTGAAAATATGTTGTAATATGTCTTCCTATGATTTATATTAATATATATTATAGCTACGTCTGTGACGGGCTTAATAGTCTGTGGTTGGTACCATAGAGTAACACAGCCGATGTGGCTAGGTGGAGAGTAGCCTTAATGACATAATAATGATGACGATTCTGGCATGTTTCTCTAAAGCTAAACTTAAATTTGACAACAGTTCATCCTTGTCCTTCTCTATACAGAATGAAAAGGTGAGACTGATGTTAAATTTAGTTTTCAGTTTAGAGAATCACGCCAGAATCGACACCACTATCTAAATCTGAAATCATTCTGGTTCTGCTGCTTTTTGTGGGGTGTGTGCGTTAATATGCAAAAACGAAATTGTAATTACGGCACTCACACATAAAAAATGACAGCGCTAAATCCGGCATAGATGAAACTTAAGATTTTTTATTGACTGATCTGAAATTTGTATAGGCGAGTCAATTATTTTGTCAAACAAGTCCGACGATTGAATTTTAATAAAATAATATGAATATTGTTTAGAAGTGGTTAAGTAGAAATAATATGTTGATAATTCTACTTCATGTGAAATTAGTGTTATGATCCTTTTGTAAGTTTAATATTCCAGATATGTTTACAGCCATTTATAAAACATTTTGGCATTTTTGATTTCTAACATACACTCGCGCGACTTGACTCAGTCTAGTGAAAATCATCAGTCTCGTTGATCAATGGTATCTATTGAATGTATTTAAATACCTAAACAAAAGCAAGATAAATAAACTTACCATTTGCCAAAAAATATATAATTTAATTTTATAATAATGATTTTAAATAAAACGGAGATTAGATAGTGATGTCGATTCTGGCATGATTCTCTAAACCTAAACTTAAATTTGACAACAGTGCATCCCTGTCATTCTCTATACAGAATGAAAAGGAGAGACTGATGTTAAATTTAGTTTTAAGTTCAGAGAATCACGCCAGAATCGACACCATAATCTGTTTTTTTGGAAACGATTTACACAGTACGTACGTGTACAGCTGAGTGCACTACACCTCATAAAAATTTGGACCACCTCTAAAATGAACCGTCTCCTTTGACTTTTATTGCACCTGCTGAAAAGGTAGATTTAAGTTACTCTATGGTAGGTTAGGAACACAGAGTACTTTTACAGATAGGGTAGAAGGAGGAGGTTAGGAACGTAGCACAGAGTACTTTGATCGTACGTACGAAGCTCGGAAATTCAAGCCGTAATATAAAAAAATAAAATTTACTGCTTGAATTTCGAGCTGTTTTATTTTTATCGTTTGAAGAGATAAAGACTTAGGGAAAAGTAATAATAATAAAGAAATTATAAAAGAATGCTTCTACTATTCATAGTTTATAAAAATAAAACAAAGTTTGTACTGAAGTGATAAGCTGATAAGGTTCAAATTATTTAAAGGTTATCTTAGATCCTGTTCCCGCCAGTCTTTCCGGCGAACGGGCACAGTGTGAGATTGATATTTGATACTGTTAAAATGTTAGCCATCATGTACCGCACAGCGTTGTTATTGTGTATTCTCGAAGTTTTTTCTATTACGCACTGTTTTCTGCATAAATATCCAAAGATCGAGCTCGGGGAAAGAGATGGCGGAGATGCTGGTGAACCCCTGTTCCTTACACCATTTGTGGAGAGCGGAAATATTACAGAAGGCCGGCGTTTAGCGCGGGTCCCTTTCACAGAGAGTTTGCGAATTAAAAGCTACGCTGGCTATTTCACAGTCAACAAGAAGTATGACTCGAATCAATTCTTCTGGTATTTCCCAGCCATGATACCAGATAACAAATTCGCACCAGTTTTGGTGTGGCTGCAAGGAGGTCCTGGTGCAACTTCACTATACGGGCTTTTTACAGAAAATGGTCCTATGAGGGTCAGAAATGACAAGTTTGAACGCAGAAAGTACACATGGGCTTTGAGTCATCACATCATCTACATTGATAACCCTGTTGGCACTGGATTTAGCTTCACGAAAGATCCGAAAGGATACTGCACTAACCAAACACAAGTTGGAGAAGAATTGTACTCTACGTTAATACAGTTCTTCCAACTGTTTCCAGAATTGCAGACAAATAAATTTTTTGTTACTGGTGAATCTTATGCTGGAAAGTATGTACCTGCGCTGGCTTATACTATTCACAAAAAAAATCCTACTGCTCAAATAAAAATAAATTTGAAAGGTATAGCTATTGGTAATGGGTTAAGTGACCCTGAACATCAGTTATTATATAGCAAATACTTGTACCAAATTGGCCTCCTTGATTGGAATCAGGCAGAGGTGTTTGAAGAATATGAAAATAAGACTGCACAATACATCCAAAATAAACAATGGAATGAGGCTTTTGAAACATTTGACAAACTGCTAAATGGTGATTTAATCGATGGTAAAAGTATATTCTACAATATGACCGGTTTCGATTACTATTTTAATTACTTGCACACCAAAAATAGCGATGAAGACTTTGGACCGATGCTCCAAAAGACATATGTACGTAAAGACATCCATGTTGGGGAACTGCCATTCAACAATGGATCAATTGTCGAAAAACATTTGCAAGAAGATGTGATGAAATCTGTAGCCCCTTGGATTAGTGAGCTGCTAGATAACTACTATGTTGTAATTTATAATGGGCAACTGGACATAATAGTTGCTTATCCATTGACAGTTAATTATTTGAGGAATCTAAATTTTAATGGATCTGCTGATTATAAGACTGCAAAGAGATATCAGTGGAAAGTGGATGGGGAGCTTGCAGGATATGTAAAGCAGGCAGGAAAGTTGGTTGAGATATTGGTGAGGAATGCAGGCCACATGGTGCCTGGAGACCAGCCTAAATGGGCTCTAGATCTGATAACAAGATTCACTCATGAAAAAACATATTCTGCTCCTGTGAGGAAGTATCTTGGACATATTTTTTAAGAATATAAGATATCAGTTACATTAATCATCTTTGATACAAGGTACTTATTGTATGAACAATACAATAACATCATTATAGATTATAAGCTTGTTTATACAAGCCCTTTGGGGTTAAAAAATGCTCATTGTTCTAGTGTATGATGCAACTCGTTTGTTTTGTGATTAATTGTATTAAATTTCTATTACCTAAAAACTTTGTGTTTAAATTATTTTTAATGTTCATCTATTAAAAAACTTCTCCAAACACTACCTCTCTGATGTTGCCAGACCATCAATGATGTGAGAAAAGCTTATTGGTATTTTAAACGACTTAAAAGACAGCAGATTGATTTATTCTTTGGCACCTAGTCTAGGATGTAGGTTGATTGGTAATGATGATAAAGATTTGTTTATGACATTTTATATTTCTCTTGTTATGCATATTTATTAATTCAACCAGTTAAGTTCACAAGCAATAGGTACCATACATTCACTTTAGTTTTTATATACACAGAGTACTGATTCAGTTAATTATTATATTTACTGGAGGGTTAGTAGATTTGCACAAAGACAATTTGCCATAATTGTGCTTTAAATATTAGGCATGGAAATAATAAACGAATGCTTCTACTATTCAAATTCCAAACATGTGAAAAAAGAATCCATTAAAATGACAAAAACTTTTGGAAGTATGTGAGAAATATTGTTGTTAGCAACAAAATATGAAATCCAAATGGCCTGTTATTACTGCACGAGTTGTGAATACTAAATTGATTGCGTGTCAAGGGGGAAACAACTCAATGATAGATTTAAATCACAATATCAAATGTCACTTTATTAAACCTAAAAATTTTAGTATTTGGACAAAGATTTGTGTTTACTGAAGTACACACCAGAACTAACTTAAAGAAAATAAATGATCACATTGTCAATCTTAATTTATGTTAACAAACTTAGATTATAAAAAGTAACAATATTGTTTTTGGATGTAGTTATAATCAATTATAATAATTGTTACAAAAGGGAATGAATCTTATTCTACAATTTATCGACCTTCTATATAAGTTGAGAGTTCTATCTCTTCAGGAAGCTCCGTGATGTTAACATCGAAACGATCCTGGACTTCATTCAAGATCTTGGCGTCATTCTCATCAGATACCATTGTAATTGCTAACCCCTTGGTACCAAATCTTCCTGCTCGGGCTACTCGATGCAAGTAGGTGTCAGAATCTTCCGGCATGTCATAATTGAAGACTATGTTGACTCTTTCAATGTCCATACCCCGTCCAAAAAGATTTGTCGCAACAAGGATCCTCTTCTGGAAATCTTTGAACTGCTGATAGCGGGAGAGACGCTCATCTTGAGTCATATTTCGGTGTATACCAATAGCTGGGAAGTTTTGGTCTGTCAGCAGCTGTGCGAGAGCTATGCAGCGCTGCACTGACTTTACAAATATGACAACTTGGTTGAACTCCAGTACATCCAAAAGTTCAAATAACTTCTTATTCTTTTCATTTTCCTTGAGTTTAACATAATGTTGCTGCAAACCGTGCAATGTAAGTTTAGCTTCATCATCCACATAAACTTCCATAGGATCTTGCATAAATTTCTTGCACACTGGTCTTATTTCCTTACTCAATGTTGCAGAAAACATCATGACCTGCTTACCATGAGGGGTGTTCCTGAATATTTCCTGCACGTCACGTCTCATGTCTAGAGATTCAAGCATTTTGTCACATTCATCCAGGATGAAGTGTTTCAGGTGTTTTAAATTCAGTTTCTTGTTGTTAACCAATGCTAATATTCTGCCAGGAGTACCAACAACGATGTGCGGGCAGGCTGTCTTCAATACTTCTTCATCTTTCTGAATTGGCATCCCACCAAAGAATACAGATACTCTAACACCAGCCATATATTTAGAGAACCTCTCATATTCCTTGCTTATTTGGAAAGCGAGTTCCCTTGTATGGCACATTACTAATACGTAAACATGGTTTTCTGAAGGTTCTAGCTGTTGCAGTGTTGCTAAAACAAATACGGCGGTTTTTCCCATTCCGGATTTAGCTTGACAAAGAATATCCATTCCCAAAACAGCTTGGGGAATACATTCATGTTGAACTTCTGAAGGGTGCTCGAAACCGCAATCGACGATAGCCCTCAAAATCTCTGGTTTCAACAAGAAATCTCTGAAACCAGAGCTGTGAATTGAAACATACGATCCTTTAACCTCTTTTTTTGGCGCCGCATCTGCCGCTCCGTCGGCGGTTTGTTGGTCCGCTTGCTCCTCGTCTTCGTAGTCCAGAAGATCGTCGTTATCAGCCATTGTGTTTATTTGTTTGAAGTAAATTCACGCGTTTTACTACAAAACAGATGTTGAATGCACGTGAAATTCAATTTAAAAATGTTTCACAATAATGGCGGCGTCGGCGTCAATTAGTGATGCGCTTTAAGTTGAGTTGAGTGTTGAGTCAAGTCAGATTTTTAATCGAGAAGTTGCCTCGACTCATGTAAGTTTATTTTATTATTCGTATAAATATATACTGGGATCGATTCTGGCATGATTCTCTAAACCTAAACTTAAATTTGACAACAGTGTTTCCTGTCATTCTCTATACAGAATGAAAAAGAGAGACTGATGTTAAATTTAGTTTTAAGTTTAGAGAATCACGCCAGAATCGACACCATTGTATCCTTGTCACGACAGAACGAACAGGAGAGACTGATCTTAAATTTAGCATTAAGTTTAGTGAGTCATGCCAGAGTCGATACCATTATTTATTTATTTAAGGGTTCATATTCATGTATTATATGCGTATTACCGAATTAATTGATCACAAGTAAATAATATTATAAAGTTAAAAAACGTACGCAATGCACGCGGCTGCCCAAAACCAAAACACAGTAAGTCACATTTGGAAAATTTTACAGGACTAGCAGAAATTTGTTATTGTCTGTCTTTAGCATATTTAAACGTAGTGTAATAAAGTGTTATACGTCAATCAAAGCGTAATTTATTGCCTGTTTTTTTTCAATATTTTTATTTTATAACATAACTCATTTAGAATGCTTTAGCATTAAAAAGAAAACCAAATATATCATATTTTGACCTAGTATGGAACAAATGCTTGTTCATTCTGATTAGTACTGGACTAAAAACTAATACAAAACATAGTATCTCTTATTATAGTCGTATACTGGTGTCAATTTTGGCATGATTCTCTAAACTTAAAACTAACTTCAGTCTCTCCCTTTCATTCTATGTAGAGAATGACAAGGATACACTGTTGTCAAATTTAAGTTTAAGTTTAGACACTAACAACAACTTTAAGAAACAAATTTAATTTAAATTAAATTAAAAAGCTAGTGGGGTCCGCTACTTCGTCCCCCTTTTGAGGGTATTTATAGGATAAAATGTTTTTTCCCGTGTCTCAAACTATCCCTATACCAAATTTCAGTAGTTCAGTATTTTAGTAGAATGCAGTATGTGCCGGGTCGAAACAAAAACTCAACGTGCTTGCGATAAATCACATGGCAAATTACTTACCGCAGTCGTCCGTTCACATTTCTTTAGAATATGTGAGTGTTACTATGTAACGGTCGAATAATTTCGGCGGTAAAACCAAACCCAAAATCAAACTATGTCACAGGAACAAAATCAAAACATAGTAAAACCACGAAACACCCATATAACATACTGTGTTTTAATTTAGTTTCTGAGACATACTGTTTGATGTGTTTTAACTGTTATATAGTATCTTACTAGGTTTAAATTTCTTAAAATAATTCAGGCTCAAGCCAGACCAGATCATTTTGAAGAGCATAACAAGGTGAATCAGGGCAGCAATTTTTTTTTCTGTGTTGGTCCTTACTGTGTTTTGGTTTTAGGCAGTAGCACGGTTTGTTGTAAGAACGAGATAAAGAGCCTCTATTTTGACTATCTCATTGTATCTGTGTTGGCCCTCTTTGCATCTAACAACGTAAAATAAACTTAAAAAATTAAAAGAAAAGGACAATTTGCGACAACGCTTTTTTAAAGTACAATGCACTGAGTATTGTATATTATGTTTATTTAGTACGTCCATGCTCATAAAGTTGGCCATTCTTCCAAATTTTCGCCAAATTGATGCGTCCTTTCTTGTACTGGGACAGTCAGACAATCCTGGTTCCCTGATTTCCACCCAAAATTACCTAGTTGGTTCTCTACTATATCTATAATACATACATTGGTCAGTCCCCGTAGCATGAGCACCACAGTTTACATTTTATCATGTTTTTTATCGCGCCTAACTGTCAAACTTTGACGACCTCCGTGGCTGAGTGGTTTTAAACGCCCGCCTGAACACCATTCAAGCACTTCTTGGTTCACAGTCACACGCGGACCGTTGAAAAGTCAACATGCCGCTGAGCTCCGTGAAAAATTACGAAATGAATAGTATGTAAAATGTCGTTTTTTCGACATATATCTCATCAATGTTTGTTAATTTAACGCATTTGAAGTAGATTTTATTTTAATACTTACTATAAATTGGTTTAATAGAAAATATTTGTGATATTCAAATGTATGGTCGGTAATATAGCCGTCTCTTTTCCTCGCGGTCCGTACCTGCTGTATTGCTAACAGCGCATTCAGAATTGCGCGTAGAGTCAAAGAAATAAGGTCTATATTCTTCTACATATAGCTAAAAATTTACGAGCTTACATCTCGGACTGTCATAACTCTTTGACGCATGCGCTATGATTAAGACCTTATACAGTGTGCTTTCAAGGTGATTTTCAATGTTTAAATGTCTTATATTGTTTAGACTATGCGATTATCTTACGGAGCTCCGTGGATCGTCCAATGTACCTTTTGGACAGGTTTCGGGCATGATTTTGTTCGTGTAGATACACTAGTATCTAGGGTATTTAATATCGTTGCTTCGGATGCCCAAAACGCCAAATCCAGCTGTGCGGAGAGTGACCTTCAATCACTGCAGCAACCACACTCCCCAGTGTTTGCAAAATGCAGCAGTGGTTATTTCGGATCTATGTCTGTGGGGTAGGGTAATTAGGTTAGGGGCCGTCCATAAATTACGTCATCGATTTTTTCAGATTTTAGACCCCCCCCCCCCCTACAATCATCCTATCGTCATTTCTTAATGACCCCCCCCCCCCCTTCTCCCAAAATTGACGTCATTACCAGTTTGACAAAATTAAAACATTGCAGATTTGAGAAAAGCTAGTATTATATGTAATATTATTGTTAGAGTATTTTATCTGTAGTTATTACTGTATTTGTGTACATCTATGTTGCATTATGTATGTTTATTATGAGTTATTTTAGTATTGTACGCGCCTTAGCCACAGAATATATATGTTACCGGCCAAACCCGATTTCAGGACAATCTAGTTTTGCCTAGGCTAAACTGGTTCTTCCTATACGCGATAGGATTAACTAGTATAGCCTAGTCCAAACTAATTTATCCTAAGCGCGACAGGATAAACCAGTTTAGCCTAGGCCAAACTAGATGATCCTGATATAAATACGCACACTCTAGGATAAACTAGTACGACCTAGTCTAAACCAATTTAGCAAAGCGGAAAGTAATTGAACAAACATGTCAGGACTTGTACAGGGCGCGTCATGTAAAAAGAACGCTGGAAGAAAGTGGAGGGAGTGTTTTTTCTGTAATTGGTTTTTGTTTAACTCTTTTGTTGTTGCCGGGAGTTCGGAAGACAGTAAAGCCGGGTACGCATTAGCGATCTGTTACCGTAACATGCGTGATACAGTACGAAGTTCTAGTGTGTACGCTAGTAGCTCAGTTGTGAACGTTGGCTCGCTTCAAACCGCACGCGTACCGTTCTCGCAGCAGGTTATCGAACCACGTACACACTATGCTTTTTGGTTACAGTGCGTGCAACGGTTATGGTTACAGCTCGCCAATGAGTAACTACCCGGCTTAATAAATTCCGAATCATTCGAACCTTTTACAATTCATCTCACTGTAAACTCAAAATATTTTAAGAAAAGTTTACTAGAAAAAAAAACCACGCAGACCAGGCAGCGGACCGGACTCGAACCCGCACCCTTCGCAATCCGGGCGAATGCACTGACCATTATGCTACCACGGCCCTATTCGCCGCGTCGAAATTTTCCTAGCCTTAAGCTGCAAGGCAGCGCCATCTCTTCGCATTGTAGGTTGCAACCACGCAACCCACAATGTCAAATGTATTCATCGTATTTTTCAAGTATTAAACATTTGAAAGAAGAAATAGCAATTATAGTTAGTGTTTTTATTTATTTTTAAGCATTTAACTGCTAGGTGTTTAAATCTAAAGAAAAGTTTACTAGAAAAATTAAACTTTTCTTACTTTTCTTTGTATTACTAATTATCCATAACTTGTAACGATGAATCATTATGGTTTTAATAAAAAATATTATTTTTCCAATTACGGATTATTTTATTCAGTTTATCTATTTATTTTGACTTTCTAGATATACTATAATGTTTACACTAGGCCATACTAGTTTATCCTAGAGTATGCGTATTTTTATCAGGATCAACTAGTTTGGCCTAGGCTAAACTGGTTTATCCTATCGGGCTTAGGAAAAATTAGTTTGGACTAGGCTATACTAGTTAATCCTATCGCGCATAGGAAGAACCAGTTTAGCCTAGGCAAAACTAGTTTGTCCTGAAATCGGGTTTGGCCGGTAACATATACACTACACGAAAAGAAGCGACACTTAAGCATGTGTGCTCGTAAAATCGCCCGCGGCTATGTGTGGGTGTCTGGAGGTGCGCGGAGGCGTTGCGCGGCGCGCGGGGCGTGGAGAGGGCAGTCGCCGACTGCCTCGACCGAAGGGATGGCAGTAGCGAAATTGTAAAATAATAGCGTTGCACTGCATTGCACGCACAGACTGACTACGCTACGCAATCTTATTATTATTTAGATAATAATAAGAATTATAAAACGAATCGAAAAAGGAGAAAATATATAAAAGTTAGCAATTTGCTATAGTACCTACATTAAAAGATTAAAAATTGATTATAAAATCAAACCTATCCTTCATTATTTACCCCAGTATCCTTGAATCAGTTTACATTTAATAACTTATTATGCATAAATATTCATTGGCACAAGTCTAAATTCCAAGTTCAACCCTAGCGCATACACGCTCCTGCTCAAGGTCACTGACGCTGGAACTCTCACGTACACAGAGTGTCACCGCTGTGCCTTAGCCGCCTCTCACATTTGCAGTCTCACTTACTAGGTGTGCTGGAGGAAATTTCTTTTTAGAAATAATCTTTTTGTACGTGTACAATAAACTATTAAACAATATACAATACAATAAACTTACAAATGTGAATATTTAGATTTTCTATCCATTAAAAAGAGCGTAGTGATAATAAAAACAAATTTATATCTAAACTTTATTTGGTCTGATACAAAAATTATAA